CACACAACACATCACACACTAGAGGTATCATATTGTTGACAACTGAACTGTTCTCACACACAACACATCACACACTAGAAATATCATATTGTTGACAACTTAACTGTTCTCACACACAACATCTCACACACATCACATCACAAACTAAAGATATCAAATTGTTGACAAATATACTGTTCTTACACACAACACAACACAACACACACAACACATCACACACTAGAAATATCATATTGTTGACAACTGAACTGTTCTCACACACAACACATCACACACTAGAAATATCATATTGTTGACAACTTAACTGTTCTCACACACAACACATCACACACTAGATGTATCATATTGTTCACAACTGAACTGTTCTCACACACAACACATCACACACTAGAAATATCATATTGTTGACAACTGAACTGTTCTCACACACAACACATCACACACTAGATGTATCATATTGTTCACAACTGAACTGTTCTCACACACAACACATCACACACTAGAAATATCATATTGTTGACAACTGAACTGTTCTCACACACAACACATCACACACTAGATGTATCATATTGTCGACAACTATACTGTTCTCACACACAACAAATCACACTATAGAAATATCATTTTGTTGACAACTGAACTGTTCTCACACACAACATATCACAAACAACACATCCCACACTAGAGATATCATATTGTTGACAAATATACTGTTCTCACAAACAACACATCCCACACTAGAGGTATCATATTGTCGACAACTATACTGTTCTCTCACACAACACATCACACACAACACATCACACACTAGAGGTATCATATTGTTGACAACTGAACTGTTCTCACACACACACATCACAAACTAGAAATATCTTATTGTTCACAACTGAACTGTTCTCACACACAACACATCACACACTAGAAATATCTTATTGTTCACACACAACACATGAACTGTTCTCACACACAACACACCACACACAACACATCACACACTAGAAATATCATATTGTTGACAACTGAACTGTTCTCACACACAACACATCCCACACTAGATGTATCATATTGTCGACAAATATACTGTTCTCACACACAACACATCACACTATAGAAATATCATATTGTTAACAACTGAACTGTTCTCACACACAACACATCACACACTAGAAATATCATATTGTTGACAACTGAACTGTTCTCACACACAACACATCACACACTAGATGTATCATATTGTCGACAAATATACTGTTCTCACACACTACACATCACACTATAGAAATATCATATTGTTGACAACTGAACTGTTCTCACACACAACACATCACACACTAGATGTATCATATTGTCGACAAATATACTGTTCTCACACACAACACATCACACACTAGAAATATCATATTGTTGACAACTGAACTGTTCTCACACACAACACATCACACACTAGAAATATCATATTGTTGACAACTGAACTGTTCTCACACACAACACATCACACACAACACATCACACACTAGATGTATCATATTGTTGACAACTGAACTGTTCTCACACACAACACATCACACACAACACATCACACACTAGAAATATCATATTGTTGACAACTATACTGTTCTCACACACAACACATCACACACAACACATCACACACTAGATGTATCATATTGTCGACAAATATACTGTTCTCACACACAACACATCACACACTAGATGTATCATATTGTTGCCAACTATACTGTTCTTACACACAACACATCACACACAACACATCACACACTAGATGTATCATATTGTTGACAACTATACTGTTCTCACACACAACACATCACACACTAGAGGTATCATATTGTCGACAAATATACTGTTCTCACACACAACAAATCACACACTAGAGATATCATATTGTTGACAACTGAACTGTTCTCACACACAACACATCATACACTAGATGTATCATATTGTCGACAAATATACTGTTCTCTCACACAACACATCACACTATAGAAATATCATATTGTTGACAACTGAACTATTCTCACACACAACACATCACACACTAGAAATATCATATTGTTGACAACTGAACTGTTCTCACACACAACACATCACACACTAGATGTATCATATTGTCGACAAATATACTGTTCTCACACACAACACATCACACTATAGAAATATCATATTGTTGACAACTGAACTGTTCTCACACACAACATATCACAAACAACACATCCCACACTAGAGATATCATATTGTTGACATCTATACTGTTCTCACAAACAACACATCCCACACTAGAGATATCATATTGTTGACAACTATACTGTTCTCACACACAAATCACTCACTAGAAATATCATATTGTTGACAACTGAACTGTTCTCACACACAACACATCACACACTAGAAATATCTTATTGTTCACAACTGAACTGTTCTCACACACAACACATCACACACTAGAAATATCATATTGTTGACAACTGAACTGTTCTCACACACAACACATCACACACTAGATGTATCATATTGTTCACAACTGAACTGTTCTCACACACACACACATCACACACTAGACACACAACACATACACACTCATATTGTTGACAACTGAACTGTTCTCACACACAACATATAACACACTAGAAATATCATATTGTTGACAACTGAACTGTTCTCACACACAACACATCACACACTAGAAATATCATATTGTCGACAACTATACTGTTCTCACACACAACAAATCACACTATAGAAATATCATTTTGTTGACAACTGAACTGTTCTCACACACAACATATCACAAACAACACATCCCACACTAGAGATATCATATTGTTGACAAATATACTGTTCTCACACACAACACATCCCACACTAGAGGTATCATATTGTCGACAACTATACTGTTCTCTCACACAACACATCACACACAACACATCACACACTAGAGGTATCATATTGTTGACAACTGAACTGTTCTCACACACAACACATCACAAACTAGAAATATCTTATTGTTCACAACTGAACTGTTCTCACACACAACACATCACACACTAGAAATATCATATTGTTGACAACTGAACTGTTCTCACACACAACACATCACACACTAGATGTATCATATTGTTCACAACTGAACTGTTCTCACACACAACACACCACACACAACACATCACACACTAGAAATATCATATTGTTGACAACTGAACTGTTCTCACACACAACACATCACACACTAGATGTATCATATTGTCGACAAATATACTGTTCTCACACAACACATCACACACTAGAGATATCATATTGTGTGTCAACTGTCTTGTTCTCATATTAATGTTTTTGTCAGTTATCCTTTAGACCAAAAGAATTGACAACAGTTTAAACCTATATCAGCCCTCTTTTTGCTATTATAAATGAACACATCAGTTCATCAGTGAATGTATAATCTGAAAGGTGTTAAATAACACTGAAAGATATGTCAGGAAATATATACTTCCCGATATGTTGATCTTAATATCACTTAATAATTGCGACAAGAATCAGTCCAAAAGTTACCTTGAATAGAGTACAGAACAGAAAAATTGTGTACGCATTCTTGCCCATCTGTAAATAATGACCTCTGTTACATTAGCGTTCATGTAGGGACCCGGGAATAGTACTTAGCCATGCCCCATCTGCATCGCTGTGACCCTTGGAAACTCGAGGGCGAGTTATTTCCTTGAGGGGGAGTATGCAACGTGGTAAAATACTAGCCGCAATATACCACGTCGCTGCTAGGTAGAACTGCTCTTTAGCTCGATTGGTTGGACGTCAGACTAGTAAGCCAGGGGTTCCGGGTTCGATTCCAAGCGGAGACATTGAACTAAATAATGACCTCTGTTACATGCATCTAACTGAGGGAAACATCTAAAAGACAATTGATAGTTTAGAGTAGACAGAGGGACTTTAGTTAATGAAAACAGCACAATTAGGAATTAAATGAGAGCAATCGTCGACTGGATGCCTAAATTTTGATTGCTATAAAGGTTACTATATAAACTTACGAAAGTCGTCTCTGTGGATAAACAAATAAGTCTGTGTCAAAGTATATTATGAAATGTTATAATCATATCGACATTTTTTTATTTTTTACTTTTCGTTGCCAACGTTATTCACTCTATAGTTGGATCCTGGATCTATCGAACTGAATTAATAAATCGTGAATCAACCAAGTAATTTTATTTTTCGTTTATCTTATAATTTCGTTTGTTAATGATTCATTATTCTACTTCAGGAAATGGAACTCATAAGATTATTCTGGTGTATTCTTCTTACGCCGGGATTAGTTCTACAGCCAGTAGACTCTTCTAATACGAGTAAGTGTTATATGTTTTCCATAAAATCTATTTATTTGATTCCAACAATTACAGAACATTTAAAAAAAATAAATGTTACATAATTAACGTTTTCCTAACGTTGTCATTTCGCTTTGTCCTACAAAATTCTTCACATTTTTTTTCTGATGTAAATTATAAAGATATCAGGCCCATCAATCATTATATGATATCTGTATATTTCAAATATTTTGTATCAGCCGTAGTGAAAATTCAGACCACCAACTTGTTAGGTCTGTATTCAATATTTGTTTACCGGACGTTGATGATGCACGTCAAAATAATTACTCCGTCCGGAAATATAATTCCACACTTCAATAGATATGAAAAGTAATTTTTTATATCATTGTGAAAAAATCTAGTTTGTAGCAACAAATAAAGTCACTTATAAAGACATTTATTAATATTTCAAATGACATATCCAAGTAAATCAGGAGTGTAACTTTGTAGAAAGCACGTGCAGCTAATTTCCGTCACTGCCTAATACGGCAAAAATATATGTGATAGGTGTATTCTGACAATGGCGGCGGAGTTGCAGGATAAATATAATTATTGACTTGTGGGCGAATCCAATTAAAATGTTATGAATTAATTTTTTTTTTACATATTTTAGCGATGGGGCCACCGATAATTGGCAGTTCAGACCCGGAACATTTTTCAACCATAGGTGTAGATGTGGATTTACCATGTGATGTCTACGCATATCCAAACATCGATACTGTCACGTGGTATAAAGTTGTCTCCGAACATTCCGTCGATGTTGTAGTAATTGACGGCACGAAATATTCCGGTGCAACAACATCTACGACGGCAATTACAATCCTTAATCCGGCCCTGAATGATAGCGGTACATTCTACTGTGAGGTTGCAAACTCCTATGGTACTGCTTCTGGTACGGTAATGACGTTACTGGTCACCGAGACGGAAGGTAGGTTAAAATGGATGTCATCGATGTAAAAAATAACAAAAAACCGTTTACCCTTCCGGAACTACTGAGCTTGTTGCCTCCGTGTAAATCTTTCATAGCATGCACTGGTTTCATCGACTGTGTATTTGAATTAAGATGGTGTTAACATATCTGTTTTTATTTGAGTCATTCTGAAGTCAATCACTGATTAATCTCCCTGTCTGGAATTTGACATTTTTTTTCGATAACTTTGGATTTTTCTCAGTCGAATCCTAAGCTTCAAAATTTGTTATTCACTTGCGTGCCTCAAGTACAATTTTGCAGGAATCTACTTAAAGTCGGCTGAACATAGCATGTAATTCAAAAGATCAGAATGATGTGAGCTCCTAAAAGGAAATGAGGGTCAAAATGAAATGTTTAACAAAATGTTTCTTACTTATAGAATATTTGAGTACAAATTGTAATATTTGAGTTTTCTGCTTAATAAGTGTACGGTTTGAGACTGAAACTGAAATTTTCGAAAACAAATGATGATGTTTATATTCACTTATTGGTATGTCTGGTCAGTTTTTACATGCCTTTAAACTTACCTAAAACAAACTATCCGTGCCATTTAGTTCCCAATGCATCTATTAACCATTAAAACTATTCACAAATAAAATAGTTTATATACACACATGGTATCAACTCTAAAGTCGGTTTGATTGGCTGACACGGTGAACTTTGGCTTGGACTACTTTGTGCAAGTTGAGGTCATTACGCCACACGTTCCTTGCTCATTGTCCCCAACTGATATAGTAAACCAAATAGGTACAGAGCATGTTAACTCATCGTCATAATACCTCTGTTAAGGATGTGAAAACAGATCACACATGTCTCTGCAATAGGATGTTGTACGAAAGTTTTCCGGACTTTTTTCGGTAATGTTTTGAGTTATCAAAATGAAATTTAGTACATGGCTTCTTGTTGGAAGGGTTCAGATTAAGTTCGATTTCCGGCTGTCTGTGACCCTTCTGGGCAGAGTAATGTCCCTTTTAACTTAGAAAATTCTCTGGGAATATTGTTTTCTGGACTTTCTTTGGTTATGCTTTGAGTTAAAGAAATAAAAATTTGGTATATAGCTTCCTGTTGGAAGGGTACAGATTAGTTTTGACATCCAAGTCAATTTCTGGGTGACCATGACACTTTACGCAGGCGACACATACAGTTCGGAGGAACTCTTGTGATAATTTAAATCTGACTAATCGTAAAATACATATATAGATATAAGTACTAGGCAAATTGCTGACGTCACAGGAGTCTACAGAGTGCATTCTTAGGATTTGAATATATGTTAATCCACACCCGCTTGAGACCATTTCATAAAAATCAGACAAGTGGCCTCTTTGAAAAAGCCTCTTTCAGTACCTGTCTGACACCAGAACCTGTATATGAGTGTATGTGGATAAGAAATTAACAAATTGCAATTGATAATATGTCATGATGCCTTTTTTTAATTAAATTTTTTTTTTTTTTAATTTTTTTTAGGTCTCCCGATTGTGACGATGTCTCAACACTTTTACACGGTGAATGCAGGAGACAACGTAACCATTGATTGCAGCGTAGTGTCAAACCCAATATTACATGCTGTAGAATGGATTTTGAACTCGTCAAAAATTGTTATAGATAATGTCGATTTCTTTGGTGGTTCCAACTCTGCGCCCAGCTTAAAAATTTTCGCCATTGAGTATTATGAAAGCGGGAATTATACCTGTGAAGGAACAAACAGCTACGGATCCGCACTGGCAAGTGCATGGGTGAATGTTGTATCAAGTAAGTAAGAAATAGTCAACAGCAGACATTTATTTGGTGTGATAAAGGACAGTTTGACGGGGAATTTGTCATATGACAAATGTCAGAGGTCAAAAGGTCAACTGATGATTGAAAAACTAATAAAACATGGGGACTGTGTTCACAAGTTAGGCAAAAATGATGGTCAATAGTTCGTTAAGTATCTAAATAGGTGATTGTTGATAGTTCTTTAAGGAAATAGTTAATATTTCCAGAAGAAGTTATTTTACAGATGCAACATAGAAGACAATGGTCAATGGTTCAGCTGGTGATAAAATAAATTTCGTATGAGAGCGAACTTTCAGTCAAAAGTTCGGCAAACATCAGTATATAGATACAACAAAGGACACGGCGAGGACCATTTTACTTATTGGAGACCATACAAGGGCAGAGTGTTTCATAGCGTAGTAGGCGACAGGATCATTCTTGAAACAAGCGGAACAGTTGTTAACTTTTTAGGCAAGACAAGTAATTGGTTATCAGACATATAAGAGGGTCCAGTATTTAGCAAATCATCTGTGTGGGTTAAGATGGTAGTTATAACTGAGGAAAACTTGGTCAACAGTCACGGTCAGGATATCACGTATAGTAAAGGGAATACTTTTTAACATGGTGAAGCATCCGAAAGATAGCTTAAGCAATGGAACAAATGTTCTATTAAAAATGAAGTAGGTTATATAAGTACAACGCTTTGTGGGTATAGAATTACAGTTATACGTTATATCAGTACATTACATTAGTACAATGCTTTGTGGATATAAATTTACATAGTGTTTGACATATGCCAAAAGTTTACAAAGTGTTATCACTAAATTAATAATTGCTAAAATATTTTACCATAAAACGTGATGATTGTTGCACTACATGTTGTGGTATTGATAACCCAATATAAATCACTACTTAATAATGCTCTTATTCTGCTTGATCAGAAGTTGACGTGTAGATTATCTTTTTTATTTTATCATATTTTGCCCTAGTTTTGTAGAATAACAGTTTGAATTAAGATATGGCAGTATTTTCTGTATTGTGTTCATTTTGTTAAAACTATTTGTTTTGTCTACACAGGTATTCCGACTGTGACACTGCCGCAAACATATTATACACCAACAGAGGGCGATAACGTCACCTTAGTATGCAACTTTGTATCGTACCCAAGCCTTTCGGCGGTGTTTTGGTATCAGGACGGTATTTTGATCTATACAGATGACGTTTCAGTTCTAGGATCAACCCCTACACAGCCGTCTTTGACATTACTGGAAATCGGTTATACACAAAGCGGCATTTACCAATGCTTTGGAATAAACGCTTTGGGATCAGCAAATAAAACCCTGACTGTGAATGTATTAGCAGGTAAGATACCAGGGGGTAAGAGTGACTATGGAGGTATTAGCAGGTAAGATACCAGGGGGTAAGAGTGACTATGGAGGTATTAGCAGGTAAGATACCAGGGGGTAAGTGTGACTATGGCGGTATTAGCAGGCAGGATACTAGGGGGGTAAGTGTGACTATGGCGGTATTAGCAGGTAGGATACCAGGGGCAAGTGTGACTATGGCGGTATTAGCAGGTAGGATACTAGGGGCAAGTATGAATATGTCGGTATTAGCAGGTAGGATACTAGGGGCAAGTGTGACTATGGAGGTATGAGTAGGTAGGATACCAGGGGCAAGTGTGACTATGGAGGTATTAGCAGGTAGGATACCAGGGGCAAGTGTGGCTAAGGAGGTATGAGTAGGTAGGATACCAGGGGCAAGTGTGACTATGGCGGTATTAGCAGGTAGGATACTAGGGGCAAGTATGAATATGTCGGTATTAGCAGGTAGGATACTAGGGTCAAGTGTGACTATGGAGGTATGAGTAGGTAGGATACTAGTTGTAATTGTGACTATGGCGGTATTAGCAGGTAGGATACCAGGGGTAAGTGTGACTATGGCGTTATTAGCAGGTAGGATACTAGGGAGGTAAGTGTGACTATGGAGGTATGAGTAGGTAGGATACTAGTTGTAATTGTGACTATGTCGGTATTAGCAGGTAGGATACCAGGGGCAAGTGTGACTATGGCGGTATTAGCAGGTAGGATACTAGGGGCAAGTGTGACTATGGCGGTATTAGCAGGTAGGATACTAGGGGTAAGTGTGACTATGGCGGTATTAGCAGGTAGGATACTAGGGGGTTAAGTGTGACTATGGCGGTATTAGCAGGTGACTATGGCGGTATTAGCAGGTGGGACGCTAAGTGTGACTATGGTCTAGGTATTAGGTAGAATACCAGGGGCAAGTGTGACTATGGCGGTATTAGCAGGTAGGATACCAGGGGTAATGAATGAGAACTATAGAGGCAAGTCGGTGAGCAGTGTGACTCCTGGCTAGGTATTAAACCTTTTAATCTCTAAGTGTAGTATTTTTTACAGCGTACTCATTTAAGTTTGATACCAGGGGCAAGTGTGACTATGGCGGTATTGGCAGGTAGGATACTAGGGGGGTAAGTGTGACTATGGAGGTATTATCAGGTAGAATACCAGGGGCAAGTGTGACTATGGCGGTATTAGCAGGTAGGATACTAGGGGTAAGTGTGACTATGGCGGTATTAGCAGGTAGGATACTAGGGGCAAGTGTGACTATGGCGGTATTAGCGGGTAGGATACTAGGGGGGCAAGTGTGACTATGGAGGTATTATCAGGTAGAATACCAGGGGCAAGTGTGACTATGGCGGTATTAGCAGGTGGGACGCTAGGGAGCAAGTATGACTATGTCGGTATTAGCAGGTAGAATACCAGGGGGGTAAGTGTGACTATGGCGGTATTAGCAGGTAGGATACCAGGGGTAATGAATGAGAACTATAGAGGCAAGTCGGTGAGCAGGTAGGTGACAAGGGCACTCCTTGAAAGCTAGAAGTACTAGTAAACCTTTTAATCTCTAAGTGTAGTATTTTTTACAGCGTACTCATTTAAGTTTGATACAGGGATCAATTTTTCTGCAAGAGGTATTCTTTAATGATGCCATAGATGTTAAATTTTGCAGTTCCTTTGATAAGCATGATATTTCTTAGATATCTTGGTTTTGTACTATTACTCATATCATTAAAAAATAGAAATACTTCGTTCATTTTCTTAAATTAATTGTTAATTAATCAAATTCAGTGATACTCACTTTTTTCTGTTATCTTTGTGAAGTTAAATATCATACTGAACAATGAAAGACCAGGAACTACTCTTAATATTGAATATTAGGCTTCATGTCTGTCATAACACAATCATACTGTTACAACAATGGCAGAAATTACACTGTTGACGTATTGTTGAAATTCTTCGTTCGGTATATATATATATATATATATATATATATATATATATGTATCAAAGATGTGGCATGAAATGTGAAATACGCTGTCATCCCTATACAGATTTTGTTTGAAATAAAATTTCATTTTTGAATCACTCGTTACAAAAATATCCACTTTAAAAGAAAAAAGAAAAAACTTTTAGGTTTCAGGTTGTACACCAAAAACAATAGACGAATGATAATACTGTTATATTCTGTTTATAAACCTTTCATAACAATGGATGATATAAAATAAAAACAAAATATTACAATCAAAAAGCATTGACAAACAACTTAATTGAAAAAAGACTTATAGACATTATGAGCACTGCGACAAGATAAATTTAAATGCTATGATATACCAGTGTAGTATGGTAAAGTGAACCTCACAATACCATTCTACGCCGGAAGCAGTAAATGGAAATGCAGGGTTATAATTAAACACCATGCATTCTCATTGAAAGCAAATCTAATTGCTATGTATCCGTTTCGATAAATACAAATATTGGAGTTGGTTAAGTTTATAAAGAGACTGCTATACAAGCGTACATATATACGCATTATCTCCTTATCCTTTCTAAGAATTTGGCCCCCACATTGTTGAGACAAGAATTCTAAGAGTTAGCTTTTAGTTAATTAAATAATGTTTAATTTCAAGCAACTACGACTGTAGATGAAACAACAGTAGCAGAAACAACAGTAGCAGAAACATCAGAACAACAAACAACAGTAGCAGAAACAACAGTAGCAGAAACAACAGAAGAACAAACAACAGTAGCAGAAACAACAATAGCAGAAACAACAGTAGCAGAAACAACAGAAGAACAAACAACAGTAGCAGAAACAACAATAGCAGAAACAACAGAACAACAAACAACAGTAGCAGAAACAACCGTAGCAGAAACAACAATAGCAGAAACAACAGAAGAACAAACAACAGTAGCAGAAACAACAATAGCAGAAACAACAATTGCAGAAACAACAGAAAAACAAACAACAGTAGCAGAAACAACAATAGCAGAAACAACAATTGCAGAAACAACAGAAAAACAAACAACAGTAGCAGAAACAACAATAGCAGAAACAACAGTAGCAGAAACAACAATAGCAGAAACAACAGTAGCAGAAACAACAATAGCAGAAACAACAGAACAACAAACAACAGTAGCAGAAACAACAGTAGCAGAAACATCAGTAGCAGAAACAACAGAAGAACAAACAACAGTAGCAGAAACATCAGTAGCAGAAACAACAATAGCAGAAACAACAGTAGCAGAAACAACAATAGCAGAAACAACAGAACAACAAACAACAGTAGCAGAAACAACAGTAGCAGAAACAACAATAGCAGAAACAACAGAACAACAAACAACAGTAGCAGAAACAACAGTAGCAGAAACATCAGTAGCAGAAACAACAGTAGCAGAAACAACAGTAGCAGAAACAACAATAGCAGAAACAACAGAACAACAAACAACAGTAGCAGAAACAACAGTAGCAGAAACAACAATAGCAGAAACAACAGAAGAACAAACAACAGTAGCAGAAACAACCGTAGCAGAAACAACAGTAGCAGAAACAACAGAAAAACAAACAACAGTAGCAGAAACAACAGTAGCAGAAACAACAATAGCAGAAACAACAGAACAACAAACAACAGTAGCAGAAACATCAGAACAACAAACAACAGTAGCAGAAACAACAGTAGAACAAACAACAGTAGCAGAAACAACAGTAGCAGAAACAACAATAGCAGAAACAACAATTGCAGAAACAACAGAAGAACAAACAACAGTAGCAGAAACAACAGAACAACAAACAACAGAAGAACAAACAACAGTAGCAGAAACAACAGAAGAACAAACAGTAGCAGAAACAACAGTAGCAGAAACAACAATAGCAGAAACAACAGAACAACAAACAACAGTAGCAGAAACAACAGTAGCAGAAACAACAATAGCAGAAACAACAGAAGAACAAACATCAGTAGCAGAAACAACAATAGCAGAAACAACAGTAGCAGAAACAACAGAAGAACAAACAACAGTAGCAGAAACAACAATAGCAGAAACAACAGAACAACAAACAACAGTAGCAGAAACAACAATTGCAGAAACAACAGAAGAACAAACAACAGTAGCAGAAACAACAGTAGCAGAAACAACAGAAGAACAAACAACAGTAGCAGAAACATCAGTAGCTGAAACAACAGTAGCAGAAACAACAGAAGCAGAAGCAACAGTAGCAGTAACAACTCTATGTAAGTATATTGCATGAGTGTTGATGTAAGTTACTACGGCATATATTATAAAGTTAACTGATTTGATCTAACATCAATTATTTATAGCATAAAAAGCAGCAGAATGTCAAAAATATGCTGGCAAATAAATAAGAGGTACCCAATTTGATGTAACAATTAATATAACACAGATAACTGATTAATGAATATCTTAAAGAATATTGCATTGAAATGTAAAGTATTTTGTACGTGAAAAGAAAGAATAGACAAATTCTATGTTTGATTATTCACCAACAGCAACAACACCACCAACAACGACTACCATGACACAACCAACTACTACCACGATGCCAGCAACTACAACATCAACATCAGTGCCTACTACAACAACGAAAGTCACTACCACTGTGAATCCAGCCGTTGATCAAAGTAAGTTTCTACCACTGTGAATCCAGCCGTTGATCAAAGTAAGTTTCTACCACTGTGAATCCAGCCGTTGATCAAAGTAAGTTTATCTTTATATTCAGTTTTACCTTTATTTATTAATATAATGTTGTAGAGAGGCACAATAATGCTTTAGATTAGAACACATATAGGGTCATCTACAAAAACTTACATGTGTGCATAATGCTTGAACCATTATTTAGAGATTTTTGCGTTGTTTAACAGTGTGTCTATGAAAATATGTAATTGCAATATTATAGATATTTCCCTATTTTGCTCTATGGAAATGTATTTATAACTGAAACTAAATGAATAAAAACATGTCTCACGTCAACAAAACAGTTTCACCGGATGTATTTCACGTTTTAGATTTAAATGTACTCTGTTTATTTATCAAAAACATTTAACAACTTCACACATCACTGTAATGTGACAAAAAGATCATCTTAGACAAGAAAGTGGCATTTATACACGAAATAAAACAATTCTGTAGAGGAGTAACAGAACAACAGCAAAACATGTTTTATGATATGGCTTTGTTGATGGTTATCATCCTCCTGTTTTTATTATGTTGGTATATGTACTCCTGTATTTGATCATGATAATAATATTGAAAAAGATGGAGATCTTTTGAAACTGCCAGACAGAATCCTTACATCCATGTTTCTTTTTATTCTACACACAAGTGAAGTTAAAATAGAAGTGTATTCTGAAATATTGATATTCTTAATTCTCTAAATTCAATTAATCTATCCATCCACAATTTTCGAGGAGTTACTATCACTTTCCGTCTCTGCACCCCTGGAACAAGTCATGGCAATACTGAATAATCCTTATGCGACACCTTGAGGACAAGACAAAAATGCTGGTTTAATTCTTTGATATACATCAAACGAAACTCGAAGTTGTATGATGGTATATTGTAATGGCTTTCAAGTTGGTGTAGGTCCTTTGTTATTTTCAAAAGGAAGGTATCACCTGTGATTGGTCCGACTCTTTTTCTCCTGAACCCAACCAAGTTACTTCGCTTGTGCCTTCAATTTTGCCATGACATTTTCCACGGGTGCAGATCGCGAAAATGATCGTCATCCCTGGAGTATCGAGGATGGATTCTATCTAAAATATTGATATATATTTAAGGACTGGTGGGTTTGAAAAATAGTGCAAATAGCAGCCAAACTGTCAGTGATGTGACCTCGTCTATCTCCTCAACACTGAACGTCCTCAACAGTCTTGATGCTGACAAAAATATTGCTGTACAGTTGGTGAGTTGTCTATCTCAGCTTAGCAGCTATACGCTATTATATATATTTCAACCGATCTCTTTCAAACTCTGGAGACTTTATGACTGAAATTGAATCGTTTTCCTGTATAGCATTTTGACTAAACAAGAGTTATTGCCCTTTGTTTTTTCATATCTTTGATTTTGTCTTAAGTTCATCTTCCTCAGTTTTCAACATATTTTGTTCAAATTTTGTAGACTTTACGATGTAAGGATATGAAATGGTATTTGGACTGATATTTTTTCATTTTTATATATTTTTTTCATCACGAGACAACAATTCATTCATCATTGATATGGGACCGGTATACATTGTTCCACACTTGTTAACAAAAGTATTGGAAGTAAGATGATGATTAACGACTTATTCCGATTCTTTTTTTTCGCATTAAGTGAGCTTGTCGGTAATATCAGAATATTGATAACTACAATAACAGTTCAAGTCAGTTATCATACCGATTTGTACTATCTGTATCTCAATTAAATGTGATCATATGTTACCTTGTATTTTCTCCTACTTTTAATTCCATACAGAATGATAGAAACATGTCAACAGATTTGGATTGGTCTCCTATCGCTTCATGATTTCCACTATTTATCGTTCTTCTTTAATGAACAAATACCATTATCATTCAGAGTTAGACATGTTCGCAATGAATCAATATAAACCACTATTGAGATGAAAAAAATTCCGAGAACATCCTGACCCCAATCTATCGACAACTTGGCTTGAAAGAGGGAGGAATTTCTATGCCATTAATGATTAAAAGTAGCATTTTGATTTATTGAGAACATTTGAGAGACTATTTTGAACAAAATGATGAAGATCTATTTTTTGTTGGAATTTGTTGACAATGCGATAGTTGTATCACTTGTAAACTTAAATGTTTTTAGCACTGGGATATTATGTTTGTTTTAAGGTACATGCTGCAGATTAAATAATGACTTCATCTCGTGCTATTCCCAAAATGCATTATCTAATCTCATATATGTATATAAACAAGCACACTTTCCCCAATTAGTTATCATGAATATCTATATCACTGGACTGTATATCTACCTTAATTTTTTTTATTGCTTCATTTTTGATAGGGAATGTAGACCATAATATCGAACAGGAGTGGCTGGTGTAGTGCTTAATCAAATTGATTGCTAACTTATATACAGATGTGCAAGTTGAAGATGATTGAGTGGTTGTGTACATTAAAGTCTTCTTGGGACTACAATAAGTTTTACCTTCTGTGTGCTAGAAGGATCTTTGAAACAAGAAAAAGTCATCATGCATGAAAATTCAATCTTAACATTTTTTTTTTTTTTTTTTTTTACATATTTTTAATAATTACTTGTATTGAAGCACCATAATTCCTTGCACTGAATCTTGGTTATATATGTAACATATCTTGTAATCTGTGATCTCCATTTCATAGGAATACGTGGCCAGTATAATGGAAAGTAGTGTGAGAGTCACCATATCTCTGAACGGTTCCTCGGAAGAAAACGAGAAAGTTGCAGAAGGTATGGTGAGAAAAAAAGAAAGAAACTGAAGGGCGAAATGAAAAGAGTTTTTGATATTTATGAAGCAGAAGCCTCGGAAATCCTTATCTTATTTTCCTTATACTTTTCAGGAGACTGTGAATCATTCTTTCTTCCTGGTTTGCCTTTGTTTTGAGTTTTGATTTTAATTTCATTGACGTTTTTGTATTTTCTTTTTTTAAGATGTTATAACATTGGTATAACAAAAGTCTTGTTTATTTCCTGTGTAAACTGTGGTATATCTGCTTTATCGAACAAACAAGTACACATTAAGGAAGGACATCTTAACTTAACCTGACTATTCACCCATTTATAAAGTTTTCGCTTTCTTTCAGACATACTAAAACTGACAGACAAAGTATCATCTTTGTCCCACACCTGCACTGGCACTTGTGAGGTATGTTGTTTTATCATATTGTTGTGCTGTGCGATTTTATGTATGAACATGGAAGTTATTTTGTAAAACTTTATACCTCTGGTTTAATTTTTTTTACACATATTTTACCTGTCTTCATAACTTGTTTCTTTAAACATGGTGTATGTTTTCAATTTTTTAAAATGTCCTTCTGTATGTATGGACTGCATATACTGGCTCCGTATAAGGATAAACACGTGATATTGTTGACAGTTATTAATCCAAGATCTAGCCTTTCTGCAATCTTCTTTTATCGATGACCTTATCGATACAGTGGTAGGGTTCATATATATAGAAAGATTTCCCAAATGAAAGTAATTTGGATTTATCCAAATGTAACTTCAACATCTATGTTTCTGAGTTGGAGCTAGATTCTCCTTCAGGTTAATATATTGGGTGGATATAAATTTCTATGTCATTATTGAAAATTATTTCTGGCAATTCTTGACAAATAATGATGCTTCAATTATTTAAATTGTTATTTTTCCACACTAACGTCAATTTGTTTCATAACTTGTAATGTTACGCAAAATGAAATATTGGGTTACAGATCTGTGTCATGTCGTGCTTTTAGATAAACATTTCCATGATAGTTTGGTTCTCTTGCCGCGATGATTCTTAAAGATCAAGGTAGGACCATTGTAATGGTGTTACAAATGTATACATTATCTACACGCATCAAAAGTATTGATCTTAATAGCAAACGTACAATTCACTGAAATATTCATTACTATATTTAGACATCATACCATGTGAATGGTGATCATGTGATTGATTGTTGATGTTATCTCAAAACAAATACTACATTATGAATTGATAACAATGGGTTATAATCAATGAACAGTTAATAGCAGATAGCTTTTCTCCAGAACAACGACATATGTTTGACCGTATCCTTAGAAACATTATCAATGAAACTGTCAAATTTTCGGGAACACCAACCCCCCCCCCCTCCCCCATTCATCTGGACACAAAATATTACTCATAATCTTACCTTTAGAAATTGATATAAAGCTATATTGTTATACTTATTTTACATCATATTGCCATGATTTATGTCATCATATCTGCTTAAATCCAATTATCTTGATAAATGTATGTGGTTCTGGGGTTTGAAAAGGTACTTTACATATTCTTTAAAGTCACAGAGATTTCGTATCATTCTTATGAATGAAATGTTTATAATATCATCTTGGACGAGATAATTTACTCTGTTATGGTCTATTTTTAAGAATTGAGAAAATTGTATATAAAACAGACATCTTGGAATTTAGTTTATTTCTTTATCAGAAAATTTCCGTAAGTTTCACATCAGTTGAGTCCAGTGCATTGTCCATGATAAAGAGAGTGCTAGATAGTGATCAGGACTTCAATAATTCCCTCTCCAACGTACATGCTAATGGTAAAAGTGAAACAGGCGATCACCTCCCCGCGACCTTAAAGACTGATGTTGGTGACGTCACACTACCTGAATGGGGAACTCTGCAGAAGACACTTGCAGAAGACAAGGTCAAACTAATTGTAAGTTAGTAAAACCAATGAAGACGACTATCTTAAAACATGTGAAAGTTCAAAAATTTATTACTGCAGTCTTAATTATCGCCTTCCTCTATACTAGCAAGTACATTAATTGCAAATATCAGTATTTTCATTTTTGATATTTCATCAGAAATATTCAACTCAAAGATTCAATTTCCTTACCCTGAAAGCAATTTTTTGTGAAGGTTGAATCAAGTTTCCGATACAAGTTGGTTTGCTTTTATTTTATTTCAATGTAAACATTTAAGTCTAAATGGAAGATGATTTTCTCTTGTTTTGCATCTGCAGTATAAACTATTGTATAAATGGCAGCATTCACAGTTTATTCTACTCTCGCTACAAAATCGTTCCTGGTAAATGCTTCTTTCTTGTTTAGCATCTATATCTAGTTCTTAGTCTTGGGTTAACCTGCAGTCACATTTTCATTTATTTGAATAGTGGCATGGTTAAGATATAAATTGTGTATAACATTCTTTGAAATCAATCGATAATTTTCATGTTGAATTATGGCTAGAGTATCTCTAATGGCAGATTTTGACATTTGTTTCCGCCCAGTTTTGGTTTTTTTTCTCAGAACTCTCCTCGTTTTTATTAATGATTTATTTTGTTAGGATCAATGGCGAGCAGGTGAACAGTTTTATAATGTTGAATTTATAGCTAAATTTTGTCTAATTATAAATTTGTATCAAAATGTTGTATTCTTTTGTGTGTCTTTCGTACAAAACTTTCAGCATGCTTGTTAATAAGCATCTTTATTTTCATTTTCTCATCAATCATGCTGGAGATCTTTATAGTATTGATTTTTTTTTTGCTCTCTTGCAAAAATGATGAAACATGTCAATTTTTGACCAGTTGTGGATGTCTCATGTTTACAACATTTTTCTGTCTTAATCTTACCCTTCAGTTATTTTATATTTATTTGTGTATGCGTAGTATAATTTTTATGTGTGTTGTTTATATATATGTTTTTGTTAGTTTTTGTTTTTGTTTCTGTATCAGATATTGGCATACAATGATAACCCATATGTGGCAGAAGGACCGTCAAATGTACATATAAACACAGGAGTTTTGACAATTGGGATGTTTCATGAAAACAATGAAGAAGTTGTTTATGTAGATAATGAGGATCCAATTACCTTGAGCATTAATGACGACACAAATTTAGATGATTTAGGAACACCATCAGCACAGTGGGATAACGTTCTGGAACTCCAGTCTGAAAAGGGATCCTACTTGACTGTAGTGACCTTCACCCCAAATCGGAGTGCTGCGATGGTGCTGTTGCAACTCCCAGGGACAGGACCATGTGTAGTGTATGGACGAGAACGGGGACAGAGGCCGTCGACCAGAGAGTTTGATTTTTATGTGAAAACAATTGGCAGAAGCCGAGTGACCAAGTACAGGCCCTATGGTCTGGAACATAACTATCGAGATGGCGTCCTCACTCTGTCAGTAGAGGGAACGGTGGACAGCAGCCCTTTGTTACTTCTAACACAGTGTCAAGGTGAGTATCACGTCGAACTTCAGGAAAAGTTCCAAAAGAGTGACAACTAGGCTTCAGAATGCCGAATTTAATATCCTTTACCTATGGCCTCTATATAAATACCTTTAACTCCCCTTTAAAATATCTTTCTGTTCATTTTAGACTTAATCCAAACTATGAATTATTAATTCGTTTGATTTTAATCCTAACGATCGGTTTCTTTTCTCTTGCTATGAAATAGGCATTGTTTGTTGTGTCATTATAACCACATAGTGTGTTACATTATATACAGTTCCTCATGAGCGTTACACACACAGTGATTATAGAATAGAATAACGATAGAAAGCCAACACATACATGTCTGTGCTTAGGTCTCGAGTCATGTTTTAAAAGCAAAAATGCAGGAATCTGTTGTATGATTTTAAATACGTATGAATGTTCTTACTTTACCATTGTAGTTGCTGACACCACAATCGTTGTAAAACGAGATACGAGTAAGTATCATTTAAACTTTGAAGAGTAGAAATTACAACATTTGGTATCAAAATTTGATGTAACTTTAATGATTATCACTTCTTTCTTTGAGAACGAGATATATCAATAGGATTTAAATAATATTGTCTGAGTTCCTAATTTAGAGTATAAGAGAAGTTGATAACAGGGTCGTACATGTAATGATAATTATGGTAGATATTTTTTGTTAGTCTGGCTTTTTTGCAAGTATTATAAGTTATTTAAAAACTATTGATGTATCTCATTCTGAAAGAAACGTCTCCAGGCAGTGATAATCGCAACAGTGTGCGAAACTTAAACTTGAATCTAAATGAGGATGAGTTTGAGAACATTCCAGCTACATGATTACTGACGTTTAAAATAATTTTTAATGTGAATGACTTCAATATAGTTACTACAAAAATGCCAGCATCGGAGCTTTTCATTCAATTACCATCTTTGTATCAAATGAACATTATAAACTGTTGCACTGTCAGAACATGATGTAAATTTGGTTTTATGCCATACTAGACAAGGCAAAGCGTGTTGACAAATATTTTATGCCACACCTACCTGGACAAGAGTAAATAAGTTTCATTTTACTATCATTTTACATACTTTGATGCAGCTCAGACAGTGCCGACGCAGAGGGTGGTTGGAGTAGACCTCCGGTACTTTGATACAGTAACAAACACCTGGCAGAAGAGTTCTGGATTAAAGGTAATTTTGATTTGTAATTAGAATGATTTAACATTTTAAAGGCCAGTACTTGTACTATTTTCATAATTAAAAATATTTTAAAAGAAAACCACACAAACAGTTGTATGCATATTATATTGAGATATCGCATGTGGAGTTCTAGAATGGTTATTTAATTATTTATTATATAGACAGTTGTCTATTATAGGATAATAGTTGAATCTAAATCAGAGATGGATGTAGCAGAACTTGAATTTAACGATTGATACTAGCACATGGTGAAAGAGAAATGTAGTCAATAAATAAGATGATAGAATCATAAACATTAAATTAAATAAACACAAAATATAAAATGGTCGAAGTACATAGATAGGAAAAAGAGAACTGAAGTCAAAACTATGTAAAAAATCACGGGTTCGCACAGCGTACGAGAAGGAAAGTGACGTAATCATTACTAATCAGATGACATGATACAAGAAATTTTAGAAAACATGCTTTACCTTCTTTATCAACATTATGGCTTATCTGTTTACTGATTTAGCTTACTCACGTGTGACGAGCTACAATAATAATAGTAATCATCTACACATTTTAAAACTTGAAGGAGGTAATGGCAAGATTTTTGCTTGATGATGACTAATTATAATCACTTTGGTTTGAATTCATCATAGGTTTATAATATACATACTATTTAGTAACCAATTGTATGAAGGAGTAAACCTATTGATGGATATTAATGATATATATGTAATCACCTTTTTGTAGATTACATCAGGAAGCATCGGACGAGTGCATTTCAAATCTAACTTTTTTGGCTCTTTCTCTGCAAGTACTTTACTGATACCCCCAAGTCCCATTCAGTTTGACGCTGTTTTCCTGAATTTCGGAGAGAGGCTGGCATCCACACCGCATGTGCTTGTGACTATAACCGTAGTGGTTTTACTATTCATGTTGCTTTCCCTTCTGCTTAGACGATTGGATAGGTCAGATGCGGAGCTGGTATGTATATAAACAAAATGATTTTTTTTTTAAATATTCATATATGATACATATTGTTTCCTAAGTGCACAAGGTTTACATTTTTGTTCTACACAGACAGTTTTAGGACCCATCACTTATCTATATCAACTTTTACCATAGGCTTTGAGGTCATATATTTATAGGTATACTACTTCATTGCTCCTGTTGTAATTAACAGACGCAAGTGTTCAATGTTCTAACGGCTGTATTTTCATTCATCTCCCACAAACATTTTACTCCAACATACAGACAAAGCAATGTTAATAATCCTTGTTACATTGATACTTCCATTTACAACCATATGTGTGCTATCTTTTCAAATTCCCCTTTATAAAAAATTAGCATTTTCTTTCCAATTTTAGACTGTTGTCATATTACAATAAGCAGGCCTGAAATTATGAGAGCTGCAGAAGATGATACTTGCCTTGAAAAATTAGACACCAGATATTTTACCGTCGATAATACAGTATAGAAAAGGGTTGCTCCATTCGCACCAATTTCCATGTTTTGTGAATTTTGAGAATATTATAAAAGTTCATTTTAATGATAAATTGCCATTAGACAATTATGAAAGTTAAATAAGGAAATAATAATGAAACAAGAAATAAAAATTGTTGACAGAATTAAGTAATAATTCATTCAGATTGCAAAAACATTCCCAGTGAGTTGTTCTTTGTCCATCTAAAATATGAAAGAAAATACGGAGTTATTCCCCTTGCCGTGAAACATTTGAAAAATAAAGGATTATTCCCTGTTTCCATTGTTTGCTTGTGGCATTATACATTGAATACCATACAACTGAAACTTAAATTATATTTACTATGCAGTGTGAAATTATTATCATTTTGTTTTCTGTATCAAATTGAAGAGGAGAGGAAGAAGGATAACTTAGCTGATTTCACTTCTGGTAACACGTTCACTTAATGTCACTGCTTACTTCATTACAGTGGGATTATCTCCCCTTGATAGACAATAAACCTGGGGCGATCTTCATGTATTATTTTGCGGTGTCAACTGGCCTGCGTTCAGTCAAACACATGACGGCAACGGTGTACATCAACATGATTGGAGAGTTTGGGGAATCTGGGCCCCGCATACTGATAGACGGCCGTCGAAAGGTGGGTAACGGTTTTTTTTTTCTTCCTTTCTGAAACAAGTCTTATTGTCCTCATACTTTTCCAGGGGTCTCCATGTGAATCTTTCTTTTATTCATATTTGATTGCATTTGAGTTTAAATTATAATTTTTGTCACATGATTGTATCTCCATTTTTTTGTTGTTGTAGAATTTCGGTCGCGGAACCACATCACATTTTGTGATGACGTCAGATAACTATCTTGGTCCATTGCAGTCCGTTCAGATCTGGCACGACAATACTGGAACAGCACCAAGATGGTTACTCAACAAGGTTATTGTCTGTGATGGCATGGACAATGAGAGGTTGGTTTCTCTTTGTTATGGGGAATAATCTTGAATAATAAAAAAGTTGAGAAGAAATAGATATTGGCCATAAGACTGGACATAAAATTCTTGTTTATTGATAATTGTTTATAGAATTTTAGCAAAATCAGTAACAAAAGTCTAGTATCATCTGTATATGATATGAATGTACTCTCTCTTACCTGGATATAAATACGAATATTATCCCACTCAACATATATTACGGTACACCAACAGGTATGTTTTCGGATGTGGTAAATGGCTATCCATGGATACAGAAGACGCTCTGACTTTCCGGACTCTACACATGATAGATGAATCATTGGTCGACATGGACGCCGTGTTCGTTGACGTTAGCACGCGGTACATGTTCGATGACAACCTGTGGTTCTCTCTCCCGAAGCGCCCAAGCTTCAGTAAATTTACTCGTGTACAGAGACTCTGGCTTCTAGCTGCAATTTTGTTTCTTTCCATGGTTACATCGGCCATGTTTTTCCGGTCGTCAGGAGACGATGGTCGTTCCGTTACCATAGGACCTCTCAGACTGAACTACAAACAGATATATGTGGGGTTCTTGTCTTTCGTTGTTACCATATTACCTTCTCTAGCAGTGGTTTACATATTTAAATACAGGCGATGTAGAGACGAAATGACACGCTATAATCGGAATCATAAGGAGAACGTAAACTGCTTACCTTGGTGGTCAATTTTCATCGCGTATGGCCTCATTTTCTTGGGAATTATATCTGGAGGCTTTTTCACGATGCTGTATTCCCTTGAATGGGGCCGGGACACAACTGTGGACTGGATGATGTCATTTTTTATCGGGATCATGGAGAGTATTCTGATTATGGAACCATGTAAGGTAATTGTCTTATTTTGTCTTATATTTCATATACATTGTATGTCGAATTGATTTATGAGCCAGTTTTATGATCGTTTAACTCATTGCAAAATGTTCCTTATGCAATATGAAGCTTAACATGTTTCGTGTTCGTTAGTGTACCTGGCAGTTCTATTGTTGTTTACATTGTTCTTATTTGGGAACGTGACATTACTTTCTTGAATTAACTCAGATTTACATGGCTGGTGTCGTTGATCAAACAGAAGATGCAACACCAGTTTGAATTGTTATTTTTTTCTTTTTTTTTGTCTTAGTTTTATCTGCTGGAGTTTGAATTAAGAATCAGTTGACATGTTGGTATGCCGGAATGATTTTTTTTCAAAACATATGAATTGTATCAATGTACATAGTGTTCTTTCCTTCAACTTTATATCATATGACTGTGGTGCCAGGCGGCAGTTATGGCCATTGTCATGACGATGCTGTGTACAGGTGCAGCACAGAGAACGATGACAGAAATACCATCCTCTGACGGCATGCGGATTGCCTGGGGTAGGTCTAACAGAGTTTTCTTACATTAAAACCAATCTCTGAAGGGTCATGGGCTGTAAAAAAATTTAAACAGTGAACATTTTATCAAGCAATATTTGATGCTCGTTAGTTTGCATGTTAGTTCCTTGTTGTATAACCTGTTCTGTCGTCAATGAAGCAGAAGACGCTTACTCTTCCACAACACCTGGACTTATTCTCCTTGTACTTTTCAGTAGTCTCCGTGTACATCTTCCTGTTTTTGGTCTATAGTATTTGAAAATCAAAACATATGAGTGTGTTTTATCATTTTGTGAATTTGAGGAACCCGCCCTGATACAAATAAAATTTCTCATCTGTTTCATAACACATCGGGAAATGATAACGATCATTTAACAATATCTGGTTCATACACATTACGTAAACGATGGAAATGATGACATGTGATATTCCATCGTTTAGTTACGGTTATCTGTCTTGACAACTCCATTTTTGTATTTATGTTGAGGTCCATTTTACAATGTTAATTTCTCACAGTCGCTTATAAACAAACTTTTTGATTTAAAACAAATATATATCGCATACAATTATCCATAAAAGTTCATATTGAGGTCACGTCACGAAAAATGTTATTGCCCATATAAAAAGTTGATAACCTCCAACACATAATGTTATTTAAAGAGGATCAATAAAAAGACAATCGAGTCTTAAATCAAAGAGCATGTTACAAATTATCCTTTCTATTTAAAAAAAAATTAACACTTGTTTTTCGGTTTTTCATGTTTAAGGTGAATGGTACCTTGATACGTCCGGTGTTATAAAACCTAAGACTGGGGACTCCCAAGAAGCTGACGTAGGCGAAAGACGTCGCAAATGCCACCTTGACAAGCGTTTAAACAGTGTCATTCTCAGCTGGCTCTTACATTTCATATACATTCTCGTCGTTGCCATCATATGCTCCCACAACCATGCGACAATGGCCTATTACCAAAATGTTGCACTTGGCAAAAGAATAAATTCCTCTGCATCTGTAAGTTGATTGTTACCTTACAATTATGTTTAATTCAAACCCAAACAATCATCATTTTAACTGAAATTGTTATGAATGTGTGATTTTTATACTCTCAAGATAACTTTGTTAGCGTATGATCTTTTGAAAATACATTGAAACATTGAAAATTACCAATTGTAGTAACTTAGTGAGTTTTAATATCAAAACTGTTATAACAGATTTTCATTACTGCAAATCTAGGATCTATTCATTCTGCATGGCCGTAACTTTTGTGTTCCTTCTTCCAAACAAGAATGCATTTTACGAAAAGAAATAATACCAACTGAATGATGAACTGACCAGGAAGATCACACTGACAATGCAGGTTGCGACAATACTAAAAAATAACGTGGCATTTGATTATTTTGTTCCCATAGCCGAAAACGGTGGCGGACATTTGGAATTGGCTGGAAACTTCACTTGTAAGCAATATGTTTCCGTTCAAATATTATAACGGTGACATTATGACGTCATATGTACAGCAGTCAGCGGGCCCATTTTATCGCCTTGGCCTAGTGCGGCTCCGACAGACGCGTGTAAAAGGTGAATAAAACAACCTCCATATGGTTACTGTTAATCACTTAAATTTTGCGTGGGATTTATTTTCACGTAAAAACGTCAATTTATTTGAATAGTGACAGGTTCAGAGTATACTCATGTTCTTGATGTTCTTTTGAAATCAATCAGTATTGAAAATTATCAAAATTATTGAATATTGGGGAAAAAGCATTTTGCATCTTATTCAGACATTAATTTTAAACAATACCGATTTTCCTCAGACCTTTTTAAGGTTTCAACAATATAGCCCCTTATTATCACGGACTTGAAGGATGAAACAGCTGTATGACTGAGCATCACTGTCACGAGAAATGCTAAAACAGGTGTATGATAGTTTTCATATTTTGTCTCAAGTGTACCTAATTTTTTTTCTTTTTATTTTGTGCATTCTTCATATCTTTCATCTATAATTTTAGACGGGATCACATTAATGGAGATAAATTTAAATATAGGCATTTTTTCTGTTTAGATGAATGTGAAATACCAAATCTAATGCGACCTTGGATGAATAGGTGTCCGCCGGAAATGACTTCAGAGACAGAAGAACGAACTCCTTATTGTATCAATTGGGCAAAATATGACCCGTCTTGCTTCAACGAGATTGATGAAGATCACTATTCGTACCAGTACAAGACTGCATCAGAGACAGAGTCACTTTACCATATGGGAATAGTAGGAGACTATGGTGGAGGTGGTTACGTTAGAGACCTTGGTCCTACAAACGAGGTCGCGCGCAACACGATCAGCCGCTTACGTCAGCAGATCTGGATTGACGATAAAACGCGAGCACTTTTTGTAGACGCCGTCGTTCTAAATAGCGATACTATGCTCTTTAGTCACATCAAAGTCGTGTTTGAGCTGCCCTCTTTCGGTGGTGTCTTCATGAAGTTTCACTCGACCACCTCCAATTTGTATCCTTATGTAGGATCATTCGATTACTTGGTTCTTATCTTCCAGATTATCTTTATTGTGATCATATGTGTGAGGATAATCCTGGTGATTGTTTCCGTCATCAAAACGAAATGTTCCTGTCTGACGTCTTTAGGTACTTGGATTGTGATTCTGGAGATTACATTATCTATAGCGGCCATATCGGTATATATTCTAAGGATTGACCGTACCATTGAGGCAGTAGAAAGAGTATTCAATGATATAGGTAAGTATAATATTTGAACTATTGGATTATCTTCCTTTTAAAAAGTAAACTGTCTATATGTAGGATTCCTGATAAAATATAAACCTGATTGCATCAGCTATTGCTTGGAATATTATGATGTTCAACAAGGTTATCTATCACTTGAGTATTTCCATGTCAGTGTATTCTTTGTATTGTTATTTATTATTCCGGTGATTGTGCATCTGTTAGGGAAATTATTTTTTACCTTGAGAACTGAATACATGTATAAACATTTTATTTATGCAAATTTAACTTTTGATCAGAAATATAGTTTAACAAAAAATAAATATGTACTTAATGAAACTGACATGTTCGTCTTCAATTGTGTTATTTTTAGATATTTTAGTGCAAAGTCTAAGTTTAACTCTGTTTAATTTGCAGGTTTCTTTGTGTCGTTCGAGATGGTAGAGTTGTTGGATATTTTGTACAGAATGTTCATCGGCAGTGTTTGCTTTATTGCGATTTTGAACTTACTGAAACCTTTATCTTTTAATTACTATCTACACCTGATGAGAACGGCAATTTCAATATTTCGCGTGGAAGTCATCAACTTTTCAATTATTTCCTTTTTGGTCATAATTGCTTTTTCCTGTATTATTTATTTGATGTATGGCTATTCCGAGCCAGGCTTCAAGGATTTTAAATTAACGTTTCTTTTTCTATTTCAAATTATGATAGGAATGATACATTTTAAAGAGATAATAAAGAACGATAACATTGGTTTGACAACATTACTCGGGTTGTATATATCTATTGCAACTATTCTTACAATCAACTTTTTCTTGGCCGGCCTGAATTTTGTTTTAACTGAAGCTCGAAGTAAGTCAACAAGGAGAGGCAAATATCAGTTTGATGAGGAAATAAATAAACATTTCTGGTGGAAAATGTCAACCGTTGCCAGGAAGGTACTTGGGCAGAAGGAAATTGTTCTAAATAAGAAGGAACTGCCGTCATATGGTTCAGGTAAGCCATAATATAGTATATTCAAAAATAAGTTACTAACTTCAAATCTGAATCAGGTGAAAATTCCTTGCTAGATACGAAAAATCTAATAGGAATACGAAAATGTAAAATTTCATTCAACACATTTGTTGTATTGAATTTATTACCTTTTCGTTCTGTCATCTTTTCAGCTGATGACGAGACGGCGGACTCATTAATGGAACAAGTGAGAATATGTTACATTTATAGCTTTCTTTAGTCTTCAATGTACAGTTTCCTATCCCAAACCTAAATGCTTTTTATTTTCCTTTTATGCCTCCCGATTTTCTATCTTTTGATTATGTAAAAAATCCTCTCTGATCAAATCTTCTAGCAAGAAATTTCGATTAAATGTATACTAACCCTGTATGGCATCTATAAATCCTTTTTAAAAAATTCAATCCTTTAAAATATAGACATGCTTTATATTGTTTGTCCAAATTATCCAATATACAGAATTTACACACATTTTTCATATCTAATCTTTCTATTCCTTAATTCTTTTTGTTTCTAACTTCATCAACAGTTGTTGGTTTATAGGTGTGTAGTGCAGTTTTAATGATTATCAAACATGTTATTTCCTATCAAATTTTTGTTGGAAGGTGTTAAATGCATGCATATTTGTACACCCGTTTTATTCCTTATAGATGTGTTAGTATTTTAGCAATTATTATTTTAAGAGTTCGATTTTGACGTCTTAAAACAATATTAGTTTCAACAAATAATGCTGTGATTATTATATAAATCTTGATAGAAATATGGTGATATCAGGTTCAGTATCATCATACCTAGTTCAATTATCACTCAATAGTGATTTTTACAAAAATAAAAATTTCTGGGTCAATTTCGATTCCAATGCAAAAATGTGAACTTTTGAATTTTTCGATTAACTTTGACCCAAATTTAAACATAACAGATGATAGAGACTCTGAACACGAATGTTCACATAAGGTCTGGTTTGACGTCATGCCAAATATTTTCACTTCATGATAATTTCTGGTAGAAAATCAATATATGGATATACTCCAGCTATATATCCCAGGTTACACTGACACACAAAAGGAAACCTCTGACACGACTTCCACTCATATTAAAACATACGAGTTCCCTTTGACTTATCAAAAACCTATGGATTGACTTGGAGGTGATTTCGTCTCATATGAATAAAGTCAATTATAAACATACCATTTTTGATTTGACGAGATGACTTTGATTCAAATGAAAACATCTTCGACTCATACCTAAACATAAGGATTGATTTTGACTCCAAAAAAAAGAAAAAGAAAATACAACACAATACATCTGTGAAATTCTCAGGAGTATTTATGGATATTTTAAACAATGACTGATGTAGATACACAATGCTCAGATAATGATAAAATGGATAATACTATTCAATTTTTTTCAGGTGGACTTCATGTTGTCGTCGATAACTGACAGGGTATTGGTCAGCGAGAACGAGGAAGTGCGAGTTGAGGTCCAGCAATTGGCACACATTAATCGATGGTATAACAACCAGCAAGATATAGTGGAACTCGATGGTTTCCGAACTGACACGCATGCAACTACAGAATTTGTGTAAGTAGTTTTAAATCGTCACCTAAAACACCTATGTCCTTTGATTATTTTGTGATGACGAATAAATCTGCATGAACTTCAAACTTTTATGAGTATGTCCATGTACCTTTTCATGTACATCTTGAAATTATATATTTTTGCGTGCGGATGGAAATTGTAATGATAAGGCTGTATTGATGGAGATCTTTTTTTAATTCCTACTATCTAATCCTGTTCAGTTTTGAAAAATTATATATTCTGCCTTTATTTCTGAAATCTTCCCATTTCTTTACACATGATCTCATGATCACTCGATATAAATGTCTATTATTCCAATGATTTCGTTTTTAGAAACTAAACTAGCCACCAAACTCGAACAGAAAAATATCAATTTTAAAAGAAATTAAAAAAAACAAAAACAACAAAAATCACAAAGTTGATACATTTGTTTCTGAACAAGAAACTCATCTTCACTTTCTAGTTCCAATTTTCTTGGGCAGTTTCTGCTGTGTTGTACATGACCATATGTATCTTGCTTTTGAATATGCTTTCAGTCGAACTCACATCCATGTTTAATATCTGTAACGTAATGTAATGTAACTTTTACAAACAATAGTAAAGTTTGTATATCAACAATCTATTTTCAGTTATGAGGACAGGTATGGTCAGCTTGTGTGTAAGCTCTCATGTTTGTCACTCGATCAGGGCGACAGAATATTTGGAGCTAGCATGAGTGTCATTACGTCAAAATGGAATAGTATTTATCCATGCGGACAGGCTACCCGCCCATGTAGCAGGGTCATCATTCTTACTCAGGGCATGACCAATGGACAGACAGTATGTAGCAAAAATCTTTAAAGTAAATGGAATAATAATTATATACTAATGTTTCTTCTAGTTAAAAAGTGGATTATTTAAGTAAAACAGTTTATTCTGTCGCTATGATAGTTTTGAAACATTTAATTCAAACCGAAACAGCTTGATATAAAAGAAGAGATTGATAACATGTGCTTTTTCATATATTTATTTTAAAAACATATCTTTATACCATTGTTTACTATTGAGTAAAATTGATATTTTTTAAAAACCTTCTGATATGTTGACTTATATTACAACCAGGGTGCGGTGTCAGTAGCTGTTGCAGACAAATCGGAACCACATTACGGAGAGAAGGACCTGCCCGTCTTCATGGCAACCAGTTTTGATAGCGGTATCTCCTGGCACATTATGACAGCTTGGCGTAAAATAGTTGAAGTGATTATTATTCTTTATCATATATTGGCATTACCTTCTCAATTATATCAGTGCGGATTGGAGTATCAATTGTCTAATTATTTATGCATTCTAGTCCTTATTGTATTAACTGGACGTCGACGGTGAAGCAGTAGAAACATCTTGGCTGTATTAAGGCAACTGAGCAATCAGTGACGGCTAGGAAAGACAGATGGCATCCAGGAAAGACTGGTACATGGGTGTTAAGGGTTGGCAGTCCAACACTAAGTTCCCGTGAGGGAACACCACTGCAAGCTACAACACAGACAGGGTCTTCCAAGAGGGGAGGGGGGGGAAGGGAGGACGAAAGACCTAGTGAAGAAGATATGACGGTAACGACTCAACTTGTACAACAGGCACTGACAGGAATTACGACAGAAACAAAGTGTAACTGCGGGAAAGAACCTGAAGAGTTTAAAGATTTGCCAGGCGAAAGTCAAATGTAGGCCTGAGAACCAGAAGAGGGAACGCACAGCTACTACTGATAAGACGGAGGAGAACCAAAGCCAGGAAGAACCCCACAGTGCTGAGGACCTTTTAACCACCGAAGCAGATCAGGCCGGCACGGAGGCGGAACCCGGTAGTCGGAACCCAACTCAGACTTACCACGAGGAAGTTAGCAACACCAGGAAGGAAGTAGTGCGTTGACCATCTTCAGAGGACAAAAGATGGAGGCCTTCGACCATGACCTCGATCAGATCTTACAGAGGACGCTGTTAGGTGACGTGCACAGAAAGAAAACATCACTGTCAACATTAGTGCACGCAGTGGGACTTGAACGGTTCGGAGCAAGGCAAGGAGGGGGTAAACAGAAGGAACAAGCAACACCAAGATTGTCAAGAAAGCTAGATCTGGATCAGCACCTGGTGCTTTATGAGATTACGACTTCAACAAAAAATGGAGCGTTTTATCAACAGACACCTCCGGAAGTGGTTGGGAGTTCCTCCAAGCCTCCAAGTAGTAAGACAAGGTTTAGGAACAACTAAGAGCACCTTCTGGAAAAAAAGCTGGTGTGGAAGAAAGACGTAGGACGGTCCAGAAGGAAATTAGAAATGGTGGGGAAGAACAAAGACAGGCCAAATCAGTTGCACATTCCTGGTCAGAAGTACCCGCAATTCCAACCGCAATTCCTCCTCCTGTCTGTGTATGACGTACTTCCAACACCAGCAAATCTCCACTGATGGGACCTTGTAGTAACACCTGATTGCCGCCTGTGTGGACAGAGAGGAACATTTCAGCACATTCTTACCTCTTGTAAGGTGGCCTTAGCACAGGGAAGATATACATGGCGCCACAACCAAGTCTTAAGGGAGTTGGCAGATATTATGGAAAGGGAAAGAAAGAATGAGGCCAGCCAACCAAGGTCCAGACATACACAGATTAGGTTTGTGAAAGAAGGTGAAACACCAACATCCGCATCACCACAGAGAACTTCCGGAATTCTTTGTCAGGCAGGAGACTGGAAACTGGCGGTAGACCGTAATCAGAGACTAACCTTTCCGGACGTTGTACCAACCAACCTTCGGCCGGATATGGTTCTTTGGTCGTCAACGACAGGAATGGTCATTGTCATTGAGCTGACAGTTCCATGGGAGGAAAGGTGCAGTGAAGCACAAGAACAGAATAGAGGAAAGTATGAAGCATTGCTGATAGAGTGCAGGTAGAAAGGGTGGCAGACTTGAAGCTACCCGGTCGAGGTGGGATGCAGGGGCTTCCCCGCACAGTCTGTGTGGAGAATGCTAGCTGCATTGGGAGTCTCGTGCAGGACAAAGAGATCAGCGGTGCAGAGGATGACCACGGAAGCAGAGAGATCTTCATGCCGAGTGTGGATAAAGCAAGACTCGAGTAGCTGGACACCAATCACCGGCGCGCAGTAACTGATCATCACTGTTGACCCCCATCTTGAGAGTGTACCGTGCTAGGGGGTCGAAACACGCAATGAGGGATGGTCTCGCCTGAGGACGTCGGCGGTGAAGCAGTAGAAACATCTTGGCTGTATTAAGGCAACTGATTGTTGCATATCTTTTATACCCTTGGATGTCTGTACTCGTTTTGAAGCAAGGCTTAGACTGAAATGTCTGTCACTTCCTTATCATACGACAACCTGAAGATATCATAATCACAGAGGACACGTTGGAAACAATTTTTCCCCTCGCAATGAATTCTTTTTTACTTGCAATTTTACCTTTAAAATAGATGATTGTAAGCTGTTTTGATAGAATTTCCAGTTCTGTATGTTTGTCATGACCCTGAATGTGAGGACTAAATACTAATGAAAAGAAGAAATGTTTCAGTAGAGAGTAAACATGAAATTTGTAGTTAATTTAATATTGGATCATACATAAAACATGAGGTTGTACTCCTGGTACCACTTAATTGCCCGTTCGTTAGGTAGACGAAATTTTGTGCAGTTTTATTCATTATTTTTATATTAAATTTCTTACTTAAACCAGATTATACTTGGTCTTTAGAAGTTATGTTAACACGCAAAGCATATCGAGAAGAGATGGCTAAATATCGTCAATACTTTTTATGTCTGAACTGATTTGATTAGAAATTTGACTTGATCAGTTATAATGATTTGTTTTGATTTGTTATATTTTGAATTATGTTTTTTAGATATTTTCTTACGTTACCTTACATATGCAGGGAATGTTTGTCATATATTTAGTTTTATCCTGCAACTGTGCTGCTGGAATATACCTACCACATATGTTTTTGCTGTATTCAGTAGTGATATTTTAGCACGTCGGGTAATTTGACAGAATTTCCATCTGGTTTACTTAGATATTTCATTTAAAAACACGAATAACTGTTTACATAAGTTTTTTTTTGACGAAATTTCTTTTTAATTATGTTTTTTTATATCCACTGAATTGTGGACTTATACTTTCACACAAAGCAATGTTTTTGACGTGAGTCATAAAGCACAATTCAGTGTAGTGTCAGGTAAATAATGATTGAATGGACCTATAAAACTGTAAAAAAAATGAAATTGCGACGGTTAGAATTTTCAATAAGTGTTGCAGGATAATAAATAGCTGGACAGAAAGACGAAAGTTGCCTCTTCTCTCTTTCTTCACCTTCACCAAAACACAGCTTATATTTTCGAACACTATTCATGTATTCTATATATATTGCTGTCTATTTTCTCTTCCTCAGAATCATTCTTGCATATGCTGTGACCTGGCATCCTGTCCAACACACCTGGTAGGCGTGGCTTGTGACCAGTGGCCGTACCTACCACAGAGGTTAAGAGGACACTGGGAGTCGTGGACAATTGATAGGTGCAGCTTCACCGTTTACTCTGTCTTCCACCCAGAGCTTAGCATAAGCATTGGTGACAGTTCAATTGAAGACAGGGCCAGTATCTTCCTCATTGTAAGTTCTGAAAAACACCCGGATTAATATTGAAATCTTTTTTTGTTTATTTTACATGACTTGTTAATTTGGATGCTAACTTTGTTAAATGTTTTATACCAATGTAACTACTCATGATAACTTGTCCAGCTTAATTATTTAAACAAGTAAATAAATCGATTTTTAACAAAAATTCTATTGACAGTACATGTTCATTTAGCTCTCGGCAAAATTAGAAAATGAACTGAACTTTCATCAATGTTTTTATCTTTTTTTTTTAACGTTTTGCTTTCTAATGTAGTTGGAACCAACAGACTTCTTGCCGACAATACATTTTTTATCGTCGGAGACTTTTATAAAGCCAATCACTGTGAGGTTTTCTAATACTGTCACTGATACAGGTATGTCCACTCACTGTGTGATTCCCCTTGTAAATATCAAATATGTTGTAATCAGAGACATCTAATGCCATAAAAGTCACAATATGAAAATTAGTATGACATAAGCATCATCAGAAATAAATTTTGCTTTATGTTCAATGTCTACTGATTGTTCTTGTTCAGGGAGCCGACCGATACTTAATGAAATTTCTAACACAGTATCTCCTAACCATTTCTAATACAAGCTAGTTTAATGACTTGGCGTTTACCGATAAAGATTTAATTGGTTTATTTTGTCTCTCTAATGTCAAATACTTTGCGAACTTAAATGATTATTTATTAATTTTTATCACAGTTTAAAAATTGATTTTTATTGAAATGATTTGTTTAATTTCAATTGGAAATATTTCAAACTTGGTTAGAATTACAAGGCTTGATGGTATGCCCATTTTGATCCTGACTGACCCCTAGGAGCTAATGGGTGGGGCCTAAAGGGGGTCAAATAGCATTTTTGAGCTTAATGTTGGTTATTTCCCACTGGAAATAACTTAATAAGAATTATCAGTATAGGATGACAGTTTTGATGGTAGGCGTGTATTGACACTGGCTTACTGTATTCAGTGTCACAATTTCTGTTTCACGACACTTGATAACTATCCTTTAACATTTATATTAAATATTGCTTATCTCGGGTGACCTTCAAGGCCTCTTTATTTCTTTTTCATTATGTTGATTTTTCTTTATTTCATTTTATCCTTAAAAATAATGACATGGGACCCTTCAAAATAGGAAATTTATTTTTTATAAACAGTGTAAGTTGAACTTTCCATAAATCGGGAGTATTATTTGACTTAAATCATAACATTTTTCTACGTTACTTAATGTTCATGAAAGACATCATTTATGGTCTTTCAAAGGTTTTTGTTTTGTTTACAAAATGTGTCCCTTTATAAGGAAATTAAATTGTGTTGGTTTGAAAGCAACGATATCATAACGCTTAATTTCATCAGAAATATGTCTACTATTGATTATTGATAGTTATGCTTGATTTTTATTAACTTCATCATCAATAAACTGAAGCTTGTGTTTTGCTTCTCCAAATGTCTTTTTGCTAGACTGTCTTCATAAGGTATTAGTGCTGATGCAAGATGGCGACTTGGAATGGAAAAGAAATTGTGTAATAGCCATGAAACCAAAAACATCTGAGATAAAGTTTGAAGTTCACAACATCAGAAAAGGGTAAGTTTGAAACATTTCCTAATGCCCTGAAAATCTTTCTTACTCTGAGCATAATGTGCAGTTGATGCTGCCCTGCAATCCTAAAATGGTCTTGTTTTCTGTTTCCAGGGTACGACGAGCTATTTCCGTTATTCCAGCAGACCTCGAAAGGTATACTCTGTCGGTTTCATTGTTGTTCACACCTGTTTGTCATTCTGAACTGATGAGTCGCAAGGCTAACAGTAATGAAAGAATTGAATTGAAATTGACTGTGAGTAATTAACAAACTAATGCATCTTTCAATGACCTTTAACAAGCAAATAAGTTATTTACTGGAGTGAGAAAGAGAACAATTAATAAACTAAAAACAATGCTTGTCATTGATACAAGTTCGTGTATTACTAGTCAACACAATCTGCTATATATGATAACAACTACCATGTTTGTTTTTCAGTTCGTCCAATTCAGTGTACGGAGTCAAATGTTACAACGGCCGTGTTAACTATTCGTCCCAAAGACTGGTCAACGAGTTGTTGAACTATTCCGGTAGGGACAACGTTATCTAATTTATAAACCAGATTAATACACGAGTTATCGAACTTCTCCCATCGAGAAAAAGACTTCCACATAAGAATGAAGACGTTTGATTTATCATCAAGGTTGGTCAGCGAGACAATGGAGTCATTTATTTATGATATGGTTGGTAATTTTCTCAAATGGTCGTTCAGTGACAATGAAGGCCAACTTCGCAAAGACGCCAACAAGGGACACAACCCTTCCTACATAAACTGCTTAACAGCTTCTCACAAATTAGAGAAATGTTATTGTTATATAGACAAGGCACCTAATTTATGAGACTTATTCATGGTGTATCCATCTGCTCCAATGTACAGTACAGATTTAACAGTAATTTCTTATAAGTCATTTCTATTGTTCGGAATAACAAGGATCATGTTTCGCCCTGTACAAAACAAAGGTACATGACAATGTAATTCAGGAGATACATGTCAAATGATATAGGCATCAAACAGTTACCAGCATGTCATTTCAGACTGATAACACTAGAAATATATTGTGTGATACTCTGACTCTGACTTGAAGTATTAGATATTCTGTTTATGATTGCAATAAATATTAAGTATTTTTTTAAGCAATGATATGTATATGTATATAGAAGTATTTAAAAGTTTCTCAAAAATGGAAGCTATTTGAAAATGGAACTTTTGACCTTCACAGATGGTATGAATTTGTCCCTGCTTCAGAAAGACCTGTAGTTCAGGTATACAACAGCATGCTTCTGAAATGTTTTAACAGATACCAGATAGAACCCATCACGGGGTTGAAGAACTGTATTTTCAAAGTTTGAACCAGGGGAACTTTGTAAATTTAGATGCAGATGTGAAATGTGAAACTAACATTGAGTCAAAATGGTGCTATAAGCAGGATACAAGCAGAATGTTGCATGGCTTAAACCTGTGTTTTTTTTCTTTATATGGTTATAATTGTCTCTAAATCTCTTCCTGATTGTTCACTAAAATTAACTTTCCTGGTGTACTACAGCAATGTAAAATTATGAAATGATAATTTTTTAAATCATGGAAAAATGATAATCCAATATATTTTGCAATACCATCATGTACAACTTATTCTTGAGAATAAATAAGAACATATATGACAAAGAAAGATTTATTATTGTAAATTTGTAGATTTGTATTGAAAAAGATTTTTTGATTTTATGATAAATAAAATTGTCAAAATCTTAATGTTTTAATAGTGTTTATAAATGTGGTTTTTTTACTCTCGGACTAGTTCTTCAGTTTTCATGTCACATAATACTGTATATTACATAATTTTACTAAAATGAAAAATGTATATATATCTTTCGCCAAATCATCATGACAGCTAATGTAACTTAAGTTACTGGTTAAATCAATAACATATTAGAACAGATTTTTGTCAAAGAAGAGTGAAAATTCAACAAGTCGAAGGTTTCCTGGTGTATAATAGTTTATCCACTACAGACAGAAGACATATTCGTGCATTTCCGGCTTTCAAAGAATTAAAAGATGAAGTTTATTCTAAATTTACTTTTTTAGTGTGTTTCTGCAAAATAAGCTGTAATATATCATGTTATATCCAGCATCCTGGAAATTCAAAACTGTAGAAAAAAATCAAAACCAATTCAACAAATGTTTCTGATAAAAACGACCCTATGTTCCTATGTTTGGCAGTTTTATCTGAGATCTAACACAGGTGATAGCCCAAGAACTCAACACAGTGTGATTTACCAAAGGACTAATTCCTCACAAAAGAAATTTCCAACAGCTTTGCATCAAATTTTGATTTAGTATTATTGGAGAATGTTATCAGAGCAAGAAAGAGATAAACAAAGGTGGCATGGATTCTAGTTTGGTTATCGAACCAAGGTAAACTATGGATGAATGTAAGAAATACACAGAGACCCATCAAAAGGTATAGGAAGAGTGTGTTCCATGTGTTCCAGAAAGATAAGCATCTATTGCTTCATTGACGACATCTGCCATGGAAATTGAGATATACTTTGAAAAAAAAAAAAATGAGTTAGTAACAATGGAACCCTCAGGTATATTACTAGATATCGAACACGTTTAACGTCATACTGCACGAGTAAATAGAATATTTCCAAATTAATTCTCATCTGCATATTATTAGGTCGCAGACACAAGGATAAGAGAATAATACAGCTTACGTATGTCTCCCATGATTTCATGTCCAGTTTGACTTCACTGACCTTAACCAGGTAGTGGATACAATCATAAAGATGAGGGTATGGATGAAGGAATGAGTTCCTTTGACAATTACAGCGACGTCATAAGTGAGAAGCCACAATCCATCAATTTGTATGAAAGGTGGGTATGGACCCCTCAGACCTGAGAGCAGGACCCACTTGGGGAAAAAGGGTGCTTTCTTAAAAATGCTTCTTCTTTAGTTTGACTTAATATATTGTCCAATTTCGGTCGGAATCTTTGAAGCACTTCTAGACAAATGGAATTCAATTTTGTGACCCTTGGGAGAAGGTCTGGGGATTGGGTCCAATAGGAAATAATTAGTAAATTCTTTAAAATAATTTTTCTTTACAAATGACATGATACTGTTAAAATTTTTCTCTGTGACATCCTTGGGTGAACTGAACTATTTTTATACAAATGTTAAGTCTGAATACCCCAACCCACCCCCTTACCCTCCAAAAGAGAAGAGAGGTGGAACCCAAAAGTGAAAATGAAGGGAAATATTTAAAATACTTCTTCATTTAAGATGAAAGTATTTACCTAAATTTAGTCAGAATGTGCCTTGGAGATTGGAAACCTATTTTGAATAAATTATGGTAGGGGACTGATGATCAGGGCACCTTTATCTAAATTAAGCAAAGTTCTTTAAAATCCTTCTTCTGAAGTCTGTTAAACATTGTAGTCATTAGTGTTCGAGAACTTCCCTTCTATTTATTAAAGCCTTGACTACATATGACTGAAGATACACACCATCATCTTTAAAAGCTGTTTTGAAATTGTATTTTTGAGATTTGAATTGTGAGAAAAAGATTTTAAATGTCTGGTTCTGAAGAATTAACTGCAGGTGGTTTTATATTTGCTGCGTTTATTCCCCAAAAACAATCTCAGGCTCATTTTGATATTTTCATGACGAAATGCTGGACGCCTGTTGCATGTTAACTGAAGCAAGGAGGGAGAAAGTGTCTTGCCAAACAACACAACCACAACAACAGACTGGTCCGTTTCTCAGCTTGCTGTTTAACTATAATTATCTGATGCAAACAACACAGTAATAATAATATAACAATAGATATATATATATATTGTTTTGGTATTTATCCACAAAAAGTGACATTACTTATTTGATTCTGATATTATGTATCATTAAATGTCCACAATCATTGATATCATTAACTTGAATTAGTGATATCAATAATTAGAAGTATTTCATGTCAGTAATAACCAATTTAATGATATCAGTAATTAAATTAATTATCAATTGTTTATTAGTTTGATTCAATGATATCAGACATTAAGGGTATTCAAAGATATCAATCAATCAATAATTCATCTAATGATATCAATAAATGAATTATTGATATCAATAATTAGATGTATTTCATGTCAGTAATAATCAATTTGATGATATCAATAATTAAATTAATTACTGATATCATTAAATTAATTATCAATTATCTATTAGTTTGATTCAATGATATCAGACATTAAAGGTATTCAACGATATCAATCAATCAATAATTCATCTAATGATATCCATAATTTAAATTAGTGACATCACTAAATGAATTCATGATACTAATAATCTGATTTAGCAATATTAATAATATTGAACTATCGGTATTATCAAATGAATCATTGATACCACTTTTTGAAGATACATACAAAAATGGCACCTCATAGGCATCACACCATCCTGATTTTATGTCAATCAGAATTCCATTTTGGCCATAACAGCCATTATCAGGAGCAAGGCCATCAATTGTTATGATAATTTCTGTTTGTATGTAATTGAAACTAAAACCTGGAAGGGATTTTTCAGTATTTTCATATCACAGATGAAAAGATGCACAAAATCTGCACTGTCATGATAAGAGTTTAAAATTTGATTACTTTAATTGTAATCTGGTTTAACCTGGTCTATTACTTTGTAGTGTATTGTCAACTTTACTAAAAGGACAAAGTTTTACCACTGTCACACCAGTGTCACTTGTAACCTTTCATGACTTACAAAATATTTGAGGTGGTGAATGGTGGGGGTTATGATAATGATTACAAACTGATCAATCAATATTGCCGCCTCTGGTGACCTGTATTTTTGCAATTTTCATCATTTCTAAATCATTTAAATTGTTTCATGATGAGCAAATGAAACAGATATTGATAAGATTTTCTGGAAAATTTGACATTTGGCCTTCCATGTCCTTGACCTATTTATGATATAAATGAAGTTAAAATCAAATGTAAGTCTTATTGACTGAAATTGATGAACAAATTTGACTTTTATTTTAACTTTTGATAACATTCCACATACAGTACTTAGTCCATAAAAATATTTAACCTTATTAATTTGTTTGATAAATAAAATGATGCAACCTAATGATGCATAATTTTTGTATTGATATTATGTATTATAAGATCTGAAAATTTACCTCATCCATCATTAGCTTTGAGAAAGACAAAACACAATTACTGTATAACAGGGAGTAATGCCACTAGATATCACAGAGTTATATGGTTTGAATCCACATAAATTTTATTGATTCACATAACGCTCTCACATTTTAAAAATCATCTTTGATATATTTATCATACTGACATGTAAAATTCAACAAAATGTCACAAAAATTTAAATAAATAAATAAATAACAACATATACATTAAACACATTATCATATATCACCAAAAGGGATCACATTTTCAGATGTATTTAACCCTAAAGCACTGGGATTTTCACTTGTTGCTAAAATATATTCATCCAACGTCCGTTCTGTACACTCTGCCACAAATCTTATAAATGGTCTCACATCGCCATTATTGGCCGTTTCTAGAGTTTCATAATACTTTAATCTGTCTTCAAATTTTATTGAGACTGGGGGATAGCCAGCCTGCATGAGTATAAGATTCATTAATAAGCGAGAAGTCCGTCCATTTCCATCATAAAATGGATGTATAATGACCAGCTTAAAATGCGCTAATGCTGCATATTCTATCGGGTGAAGCTTTATTGCCTCCTCAGCATTCAACCAAATGATAAATTCATCCATCAGTTTTGGAACCTCTGCTGGAGCTGGGGGTTGAAAATCCCCAACAAACACCTGTGTTAGACGTATCCTTCCAGCTTCGGTTGGATCGACATATCCCAAAACTCTTTTGTGAATTTCTAGAATATCCTCAAGTCTGATTTCACCAACACGTCCACATAAAGTGTTGTTAATGTACTTCAGTGCAGCATCTAACCCCAAGACTTCGTTTTGTTCCACTAGGGACTTTCCTCCAACTGCCAGCCTAGTCTCCACAATGGCTCGAGTTTGTAACAAAGTTAAAGTGTTGCCTTCGATGGCATTAGTGTGATAAATATGAGAAAAATAAGCCTCCTTTTTAGCTCTCCTTAAACCAGGATGATGAAGAGGCACTCTAATAAATGCTTCTAATTTTTTATCAATTCTTTTAAAATTGGCAAGGTCAATTTCTTCAACAAGAGGGAGAATTCTCTCCCTGTTTGAAAGAGCTTTGGTATGTTCTGGACATATTTCCAAGGCCATTCTGTATAAATGTTCTGCTTTCACAATATTTTTTTCATGTTTTTCCAGAAATTCTCCATAAGTGGTCAGTATGTCTGCATGGGAAGGATCCAATTTGAGTGCATGTTCGTAAAGTCGTGTGGCCTTTTCATGTTTGCCTTGTGCCTCCATGTCCAAAGCTAAGTTCATAGCTTGTATGGCTTCCTTCATTATCTCTGCAAAAGGAAAAAGCACAAAAAAATTATATTTTGTGGACAAAAAAGGAAGACTTAAATGTTTTGTTTGCCACAACTCAAAACTGAATCTATCATGTGTACTAACATACCAAGTAGTATTTTTTAGTACAAGAAATAAGAAGATGTGTTGATATTCTATTTATCAAAGCAAGAGACCCACAGGCCTTAATGGTCATCTGACTATAAAGACCTACATGTGAAAGAGGTCATATATGTCTAAAATAATTACTCAACTACTCTACAGCTTACAAAGAAGACATTTTTGGTTCATAAAAACATTTTCTGCAAACTTGAAATCATATTCTTTATACATACTATTACACAAATGCCATTACTCCGAACTCATTGCTAGTTGAAAAATCTCCACTCCCTTAACCCAAGAGATCTTGAATATAGGTCAAGGTAAATTATCTGAACTATTTGAACTTTCGACTAATTTGGAATTTTCCCAGTCAATGATACGATTTTGCGTATTGTTGCCATCTTGTGTATTTTTTGGTCTTTAATCTGTTCACCATCTCATCACACTATTTTCGGACAAAAAAGTTACTTGATTCCTTACCATTCTATTCTATTGACAAACCAACCTGAACAAAAATGTTCCAAAAAAAGTTATAGTACTCTTTTTGTAATCCAAAATGTATTGAATAATATTTAATTAATGCAATTCACAATTGAAGTAGTCCTGTAAAATCACATACTTAAAACACACCATATTGGTGAATTTTCTTGATGTCTATCAAAGATTAGAAGCTGTGATACATTCTACAAAAGAACCATCCTGACCTTCAGCATTTTTTTCATGGATCATATGAAATGGAACTGATTTGGCACAACCCTCATTCGGGTAATAGTTCTGAATTTGAGGGATAGTTATTGCTATAGTTATTGAGTAATCATTAACTGGGTAGTTAACTAAATGCAGGGTCATTCTGAAATTGAAGCACATACATTTTTTTTAATCATTTACAACACAAAAAGGTGTAAAATATTTGACATACCCCAAAAAAATTTATAAAATTGCATAGGAATGTTCTTTCTGTGATCTGACTTTGGGTTAACAAGACATTTCATATCACAGCCATTGACATCAGTGAATGGTCAGTGCAAATATCACAGGTGAGCATAAATTTATCTATTCTTTTTTTAGTAACACTAACAATAACATAAACAATGGAAGTGATAAAGTTTGTGATTTTTCCAAACACCGAGACAACTTAATAACTTTTTTGTGTGAAAATGGACAGCGATGCATTGGTAATTGTGCCGTGTCAAAAATTTGACACCCTTTTTTGTTATGTCAAAAATTTGCCACCTCATTTTTGCAATTTGTTTTAAAACAAAGGTGAAATGTTTCTATTTCAGAATTACACCGTATTTGAGTAACTAACTGATTACTCAAAGAGGTAACTATCCCTCATATACAAGAATGTTACCAATGAGGGATTGTGTCCAGCCTGTATTAGCGATTCACACACGAGACATATGTACAATCAAAATGTCTTAAGTTTGGTGATGGATTTGGAGAGAGAGGAAGCACTGTGCTAATTTACCGAGAGTTTGGAAAGACAACTCTGTCTTACTTCTATAATGACTACGAACGACAGCATTGAATGGGGATACTGTACATGAATGGAAGTAAATCATTTTGAATACTTATGAAATATCTGGATGTAAAACACAAATAAGCATGTTGCCATTCATGATTACCTGGACTTGGCGGTAGGATGTGTTGCCGAACACGTAACATAACTGATGTGTCATGTTGTGATACTGTCGATGCGATATGACGTTTGTCGGACAGAAACGAAAGTAGAACAGTAGGCAATACGGAGATCAAACAAGCCATCGCCATTCCCGCCAGGAACACCACACTGATAACCGTTGACGACAACATTGGATTTGTTACGTATTTCGCCTTGATGACCTTGATATTGTCGATAACCGACTTGAACTTATCACCGGCTGTCTCTGACATGATGCCATTTCCACATACGTAGCTTCCGTAAGGGTGAAGGTCATTTGACAGGAAGCAAAATTTGGCAAAATTTGATTGGCTAGAATCTATTTCCGCCTCCCATAAGGCCCTTTTCAAAATGTCTTCACACGGAAAAGCATGTGCTTTTGCTTACATTTTAAAATTGTCTTTTTGAGTAGCAGACAATGATAAAATGGCACTTTTCTCTGTGTCCAGGTAATGCATTATTCAGAGCGATCAAAGGTTGGCATATTCGTGAGTAGTGTATCAGCAAAGTCGTACCAAATTGCTGTAACAAGGAGGTCTTGCATGAATTTGGAGTCGTCCTCCAACAGTCCTTAGCACCGTAGTCGTAGAAAGTTATTCGCCATGCATACGTACCCGAGTGTGCACTGTTTTAATTGCAACGACCCTTGCTGTTCCAATTCATTTATCCCTTCTTAACGTCGCTGATATTGTTACCTTTAAATGGTCACATTAGCGTTCGGCAAATTTACTTTGTCCTCACCTGTTCAACATGTTGGGACATCGCGGGACTCCCATTATTTTTACAACGGTGTTTGTTATCCCCGTGAAATAAACCCGTAAATTGAAATAACTACAAAAGATTGTTTTGCGGGGTATTTTATACTTTTTTATATGTTAATGATAGATCGTCAGACTCGTGCAATTCTTAATACCCGTGAGTATGTCATTTAAAGTATTTTGGAATTCATATTTCTTTTGTTTTCATTCTTTTTGGTCGGTCTATCCGAAAAACAACAGCAATTGACAACAAGCTCACTTTTTGAATATTACAAAAAAATCCTGACTAATTCTGTTGTCACTCTTTAGATGGACCAATAATATACACATCATGTGCTTAAACAATTTTTGTTGCATTTTAGTTCTTCAAAATTGTTTGAAATAAGTGATATTGTCAAGTTCTGTTTATGATTACCAAAATACATCATATCAATAACTGAAAGAGGTTAAGATATTGATGGACTAAAGAATGTTTCAAAGTTTTGTAATGCTGTGTGGGGCTCACTCAGTTACTAAAGAAGAAACTAAAGAACTTGTTATATATCTCACAAAAAAGTGAAATAGTCTTGATTTTCTTAAATAGCTGAAAACCTGTTCAATGAGTATTTATTACCTCTGATGATATATTAATTTAATCACATGTTAAAGAGCCTCAAACGATCATTATGGGTTAAATATGTTGAACTATGAAATAAAAGCAAAAAGTCTTATTTATATATAAGATATGAAAAATATGAGCAAAAAAAAAAATTTATAGCGGATGGCCATCTTAGATTTTGACTGAAAGTTTGTTATTGATATTTCTTTGGAAATACTTGGTGGATCTTACTTGAATTTTGTACATTGGTTCTCCTTGGTCCATTGTTGTGTCCTGTTGATTTTTTGGCCTGATCTGATATTTAAAAGCGTGGGAAAACGGAACTTTTTAAAGAACAAATAATGTTGGATGGCAAGATCTCTGTGGTATCTCTTGTTTACCTGTCTCACATTTTTTTCACTCCATATCAAAGTTAGGAAGTATAATCAACCTGTGCTTGCATTAGTCTGCTGGAACAGAAATCTAGGCATTTTCCTCTGTGAATTTCAGTGAAACTTTACGCAAAAGAATTTTTTGATATTTTGCGATGTTTGAACTCCTGAACTTGTACAAAAGACCTCTACCCAGACTACTCCACACGACTATTTCTGTTTTATATTGAGCATTATTATTCATTATTTCAGGTATATGGGAGAAGAAGATGCAGTCATTAATGAAAAAGAAAAGGACTTGACATCTTCAAAAATATTAGAGAAAATAAAAACTGAGGCTAAACAACGCAAAGCTGATAGAGAGAAGAATAAAAAGGAAAAGGTCATCGAAAATGACAATACTACAAAACACAAAGATGAAGAAGTGTCAGCAAAGCTTAGAAAAAGTCCACAAGTTCAAAAGAAGAAAAAGAAAAGAAAAGCTGAAGATTTAGAAACAAAAGAAGATGAAACATCTGGAAAAGAAAAAAAGAAAAAGAAACTTAAGTTAGATGAAAATGGTGATAACATTCAACAGAAATCGGAGAAAGATTTTGTTGCAGAAGAAACAAAACTGTTGAATCAACATGATGTTGATGTGGAAGAAAAAGACATTGCAGACATGTACAATGATGACACTATGGAGGTGGATCACGAAAAGAAGTTTCCAGTACTTGGGAATTACAAGCAGAAAAGTGTACAAAAGGTATACAGATTTCTACATTTCCACTATCTTGTAGGTCACAAAGTATTCATTCACACCTCAAAGGGTTCACGAGGAAAACCTCTTGTGTATGAACATTGGGTTCTATCTAGGATATTGGGGAAAGTACTTTTTTGTGTCTAGGGGAAAATAGCCTGGGTTCCAAACGGCCAGTCTTAAAACAATTTGTAGTTTTATTGTGATAAACTATTGAAACATCTCTGGAAAAATGTAAGATTTTTTTAAAACAAAAAAATACAAATCCCATCAAATTCTATTAAAAAAACAATACAACCGAAAGATCAAATTGTAATTTCTGTTGAAGTAGGAGAAATTCAGAGAAGATTGGTAATTTATAAAAATAGGGGATTATATTTTTTGATTCAAGGGAAACATTCTGTAAGAAGGGAATTTAAGTAGTTGGGGGAAACTACCCAATACTGATGATAAAATAACCCTGGATTGATCTCTGACTGCTGAAGAGAGCATGTATGATAAGAGTCTCGAAATGGTATTAAGTAATTGAGAATTCTACAATAAGAGGTGTATATGTTAGTAGGTTATGGTTGATGGCAAAATCACGTCAAAATATTAATCTCATACACATCTTTTAATTAAGTATAAAGTTCTTTAATTCAGTCCAAGATTTTAGCAGGTAGCATTATTTTCTGATACTTCATGAAAATAAAGAATATGTTGATTGGCTTTCTACTATGATTTCAGGGTGCTGCAGAATGATGAAGAGTTTCCTATGGCAGGTTGTGCCAGGTGCAATATTCATAGCTAAATTGAATTGCACCTGTCCCGGCCTGCTATGGTTGACAACAAGCAACAAGACTCAGCACCAACAGATCGAAGAACAGAAATACCACCACATATACTTACAATTGGTTTGTTGTGTAAGCGGGAGTTGTGGGATTGTCAGTTGAACAATGTATAATGTCAAAAATTGTTTCTGCTGTTTATATTGAGTTGGGTAATTGTTGACATCATGAAAACTCTTGAACTGCTGGTAGTTGTTATGACATAAAAAACCAAAACCTTGATCAAAAATGTCATTGGTGAATTACTTGATTTTTATTCTTGGTGTAGGATTTTTCATTTTTGTGTTTTGTGTATAATCATATACCTTCTTCATTTGAAGTTGTATCATAATCTAGTTCAAAAATATTTATTCATTGGCATCGCAGCATCCACATTAAAACACTCATCCTTTGTGCAAGAGACTGTGTTACTAGGATATATATTTGAATTGTTTTCAATCATCCTAGATTCAAGTTGTCATTGTTATACACTGAAGCAAGTGATGTTTTTCTCTTTTCGAGAACACACTGGTTCAAATCAGGTTTACTATCAAGACTGGGCTGTTTTTAGATACATGGGTATTCTTTCCAGCCAGTATTTGGAGGAACACTTTCTGTTGTTTAAAAGGGTGCTTTTGTTACTATTTGATTGAAATCTGTTCTTGTTTGAGGTAAATTGTATACTCTATTTTTGGTTGGTCAGTTCTAATATTATCGCTGCTATAAAAGTTCATAATATAAGATTATAAAAGTTGAGGCTACTGGATTTTAAATATGTATAAAATCTACTCTTGTTTAAGGTAAATCGTGTCCTCCCTGATTGGTTGGCAAGTCCCAATATTATTACAGCAGATCTGCGATCTAATACTCTTCCTGTGGCAGAGATGGCAGGCCTTGATACTGAACTTTTGGAACAACTACGAGAAAACAACATTTCACATTTTTTTCCTGGTAAGTTTTTTTAAACAAACGATATACAATAATAGTTTATCATTTCACTGATGATGTATTTACCTGGAAGAGAAACTAAGTGAACCTAAGGAGGAAAAAATAAAGGTCGTTAAAGTTGGAATATTAGCATACTGAAGGAAGCCAGCAGTTTTATTAATATGGTAAATAGTTCATTGAAACTTTAGTCCCAACTATCATAAACATTTGATCTGAACGAAATAAAATATTATCAAACCTTTTCAGATTGTAAAAAAATTTGCTTGTGAAAATGAATTAGAGTTTGAACTACATGTATCCAAGTTGACAGCATTTAAAACACAAAGGAGTGTTCGAAAACATGCTAGCAGGCTGTGAAACTATTGATCTGTATGGCCTGTGGATTATGATTTGGTTATTTGTTAAAAACTTCCATGTTAATAAATTCAGGGTGTTTTTGTTCCTCATTATAGATATTGCGACAAGAAACCATGTAAGCCAGATGAAAACATGTTTGCTTGTGTATTGACATGTCAGTATACTGGGTGTGATTTGAAACTGATGGCTGTGAATTAATGGTTATTTAATCTAATGTTCATGAATGTTTACGAAACATATAGTCTTAAAGTTGTTAGATGCACCAGTGACATATATAGGGATAATCTTAGCGTGATTATCATACAAATGTGTCCACGCATATAACTTGATTAAGCCTTTTTAATGTACAATCAGTTCAAATTTACAGATACTTTATAAGTTATTCAAAGACATAGTCAAATTTCTGACTATTCCATGAGCTGTATATAGTTTGTGTGTATATTTACAGTTTCTTCACTGCGTTCTTTGTGTAAACATTTTTGTTAACTGGTAAACTGTGCAGATTTATATGCAGTAAGTAACAGTGATTATGCGTGGAAATATCCAATGCTAGACAAGTGTATTATGAAATGTCATTAATTGAAATTTGTTAGAAATAAGATGTGATTAACAGGGGACAAGATTTAGGTGTGGCACATCTGTAAGTTGTGTGTGGCAACAAGGTAGAAGAGTCAGAAATAAGATAGAGATATCCAAAATAAGGTTAGGTAGAAGATTCAGAAATAAGGTGAAGTAGAAGTGTCAGAAATAAGGTTGAGATATCAGAAATCAGGTAGAGGTCTAAAGAAATAGGTAGAGGTATAAAGAAATAAGGTAGAGGTATAAAGAAATAGGTAGAGGTGTCAGAAATAAGGGAGAGGTCTCAGAAATAAGATAGAGGTAACAGAATAAGGTAGAGGTGTCAGAATAAGGAAGAGGTGTCAGAAATAAGGGAGAGGTCTCAGAAATAAGATAGAGGTATCAGAATAAGGTAGAGGTGTCAGAATAAGGTAGAGGTGTCAGAAATAAGGGAGAGGTCTCAGAAATAAGATACAGGTATAAAGAAATAAGGTAGAGGTCTCAGAAATAAGATAGAGGTATCAGAATAAGGTAGAGGTATCAGAATAAGGAAGAGGTGTCAGAAATAAGGTAGAGGTATAAAGAAATAAGGTAGAGGTGTCAGAAATAAGGGAGAGGTGTCAGAAATAAGGGAGAGGTCTCAGAAATAAGATAGAGGTATCAGAATAAGGTAGAGGTGTCAGAAATAAGGGAGAGGTCTCAGAAATAAGATAGAGGTATCAAAATTAAGGTAGAGGTATCAGAATAAGGAAGAGGTGTCAGAAATAAGGTAGAGGTATAAAGAAATAAGGAAGAGGTGTCAGAAATAAGGTAGAGGTGTCAGAAATAAGGGAGAGGTGTCAGAAATAAGGTAGAGGTATAAAGAAATAAGGAAGAGGTGTCAGAAATAAGGTAGAGGTATAAAGAAATAAGGTAGAGGTGTCAGAAATAAGGTAGAGGTATAAAGAAATAAGGAAGAGGTGTCAGAAATAAGGTAGAGGTATAAAGAAATAAGGTAGAGGTGTCAGAAATAAGGTAGAGGTATAAAGAAATAAGGAAGAGGTGTCAGAAATAAGGTAGAGGTATAAAGAAATAAGGTAGAAGTGTCAGAAATAAGGTGGAGGTATCAGAAATAAGGTAGAAGAGTCAGAAATAAGGATTGGTAGAAGTGTCAGAAATAAAGTAGATATTAATATAAGATGCAGTTGTCATGCTGTTACCTTGTATCCGAATCATTTAGAAAACTTGGAAATTTGATGGAAAAAATGTATTTGACAGAACACTTACTTATTTAACATTTTGGTTTTGTTTTCATTTGGCCAGGAAAATTGAATTTCAATGCAATGACTAGAAAGCACCACTGTAGTTGGTTAAATCTACCAAAACTATTTCATCAATGGATAAGTTATATTGTCTAGTGATGATATTAGATTTCTTGTATCATCACTGCATGATTCACGTTTTTATGAAATTGATAGATTCCTATATTTTACTGCAAAACATTATATGAATTCTTGTAGTTATTCTGGCTCTCGTTCCAAACATGTTATTAACTTTAAGTTAACAAGTTCATCTTAAATGTTTATGCAGAGATTATAAGCGGTTAAACAGTAGATATCAGATGTTTCAATAATTGACACTTCTAATTGTATTCACAAGGTCTTGGTATTTAGAAGATGTCTACTCTGTCCATTTCAGTGCAGATGCAGGTTATTCCAATGTTGTTGGACACAATAAGCGTTGGAGGAACAGTTGGGAAGGCGGGTTACTGGCCCAGCGACATCTGTGTTTCTGCTCCCACAGGCAGTGGTAAAACCTTGGCATTCGTCCTTCCAATAATCCAGGTATGGTAAACCTTGCTCCCCTTCTTTATGATACTCATCCAGAATTATCCAAGTATGACTTGCCATCATTCATAAATGTCAAAGTACTCATCATTCAAGTACAGTCCCACCTTGTTATCTCAGGCTGTCAAGCGTCCCTAAAATTCCAAAAAAATCCTAATTTTTTTCAGTTTTGCTAAAATTCCTTAAAAAAATGAAATGTTCAAAGGGAATTCCTAAAAAAAGCCCTAATTTTTCACTTCAGTTCCTACTTTTTTATATTTCTTACAATTTACTGAAAATGTTTTGATTTAATTCATACTTAAAATGTGTTTTAATGTAGTCTGCAGTTCTAATTCAGGGTAGACCATGAAAGGCAGTTGACCAGTGGATCTATGTACCCAGTTTGTTATTGGTTGTGACTGAGTGACAGAGGTGTGATTCTTAAGGTCACAGCCAACAGCAGCTGGGACACTGAAACCCTGGAAGACACCTTTCCTGCAATTAAGGCATTGTATGTTAGTTTCTATTTTGTCAAATTTGCAAAGGCAAGTCAGTTTAATGCTTTCATACTCCCTATTCTAGTTACAAACATTCCTAATTTTAGCCCTTAAAATTGCCCTAAAATTTTGTAATTTAGCCCTAATTTTTTGTCAGGAAGTGCTGGACAGCCTCACATATTCAAAGTATTAAATTAGTTTTGGCTTAATATCACACTAAACATTTAACTTTGTCAGGAAGTGCTGGACAGCCTCACATATTCAAAGTATTAAATTAGTTTTGGCTTAATATCACACTAAACATTTAACTTTGTCAGGAAGTGCTGGACAGCCTCACATATTCAAAGTATTAAATTAGTTTTGGCTTAATATCACATAAACATTTAACTTTGTCAGGAAGTGCTGGACAGCCTCACATATTCAAAGTATTAAATTAGTTTTGGCTTAATATCACACTAAACATTTAACTTTGTCAGGAAGTGCTGGACAGCCTCACATATTCAAAGTATTAAATTAGTTTTGGCTTAATATCACACTAAACATTTAACTTTGTCAGGAAGTGCTGGACAGCCTTACATATTCAAAGTATTAAATTAGTTTTGGCTTAATATCACACTAAACATTTAACTCACTTAAATGGAGTACTCGGATATCTGGAAATTTTTCTCATTGTTCCATTGACTTCAAATAATGAGGTTTGACTGTACCTATTTCATTGCGGGAGAAAATCACGGTTTAATCCTATTCTGTACATGTTATTTTCCTAATGTACACGATGAGATATCTTTAATGCAGTATATAAAACTGTGGTAACCACAGATCAACCTGTCAAACTTGATATTTGTAATCTCAGGATGTTATGCTTGACATAAGAGGCCAATCTGTCAAAAGTATTAATTAACACCGGGGATTAATTCAGACAAGTTTTACAACCGGAAAAGGGTAGTATGTTTTCCCCACTGAATATTTACAGGTTATCAATCAAAAAATATACCGAAGTCTTGGGGAAAATTTATTCAAAACAGAGGTTATTGGGATATTTTTGCTTATGAAATTTTCAAATTATGCAAATCATGGAAAAGAAATACCAGTTTAGCCTCTATCTGTCCATGGAGAGGGTTGGGGGGGGGGGGGGGGGGGGGGGGGGGGGTCATCAGTTAAGGTTAAAGGGTCAAATTCTATATATGACAACTTCTGCAAGTTTATTGAACAATGAAACTGTAATGCATGTTGGAGCTGGGACACGCAATATCTTACAGAATTTTGTCAAAGGTTTCAGTTTCTGTGTGATAATTTGAGTTTGCTTTGCCAAATCTAAATCACACTTCATACAATGCAATCTTAACAAAAGTGTTTGATTGAGATATTACTTTTTATTGTATAAGCCACATAGCGGGGCCCTTGCTGACCTGTCAGTGTTCTAGTTTTTCCTGTCTTTATATTTAATTGTTGCTATATATTGTTGACTACTAAGGGATAGAATCCATATGGAGTAATTTGTCCTATTGCTTTAAGCATCTACTATGGAACATATGCACAGATATAGTGCTGTTGGTCATAAAGATCCAGATGAGTGATACAGGCCTTCTGGGCCTCTTTGTCAAAAGATACATCAAAAACAGGGAAATCTGAGACACTGTGTGTTTAGTTATAAAGTTAAGATCTCTGGTACCCTCATTAGTACATGTTGTTTTAATTGTTTTACTAAACACCCTGATGGGTAACACTATTGTCTATCTTCATCTGAATGATCTGAGTGTTTGTCTTCCTAGGCTTTGAAAGGGCGTGTATACAGACAGGTAACTGCATTGGCTGTTTTACCTGTAAAAGACCTTGCTGTTCAGGTGTACAAGGTGTTCCAGACCTACAGTAAAGGCTCAGACCTTAAGGTAAGTAATGTTGTACAGTTGTACAAAGTGGAACAGGTGTACAAACTGTTTCTTCACTAAGAGGTAAGTAATGTTGTACAGGTGTACAGTGTGGTTACGCATAGGTTCTGTTGTACAAAGTCATGGATTCCTCAAACATCACTTAGATTAACTAAATTTATTAAGATTTATGAAACAGAAGAATGTTGCAGACAGCAAAAAGATAATCATATTTAAGTTATATACAATATTTCATGACAGGTTGGCCTTCTCACTGGACAGAAAGCTTTCAAATTGGAACAGCAGACATTGGTCCGAAGGAGGTGAGTTTGCAATAACAATGATTAAGGTATGTCTAATTTTGTAAAGTCTTGAAAGAAATTGTTCATAGATTGTTAGCATTTTGTATAATGCCTGAAAACACTAGAGCATAAGATGACTTCTTGTCAATCATTTGTTGAACAGTCTCCGTGGTTACCAAAGTCTTGTGGATATAATCGTAGCAACACCTGGCAGACTTGTAGACCACATCAACCAGACACCTGGATTTGATCTGACAAGTCTACGATTCCTGGTAAGTCAGTTTGTTTGTTTTTGTTAATTATTTATCGTATTGGTAAAATTGTCTGCACACTAAAGGAATGAAAAACAGACATTCATTGGTACCTACAAATTCTGAAGCAACCATTTTAATCAGAAATCATGAAATTGAACTTGCCTACTTTATCAAAGTACAATAAAATGAAATGATACAAAATCTGTTATTAATTAATGAATATTTATTATTCAATTAATTTATTAATTAATTCATTTGGTAATACTGATGGGATTTATCTTCTCCTATGTACAGAATTTGTATCTGTACTAATAGAGGAGAGAGAAGAGTGATTGTTGTTGAAATTGCATGGGGGAAGGTTTGGGGGTAGTTTTTTGGTATTTCAGCATTTCTGTCATAGCTTTGCTTTTTTGTACATTGTGTTTTGTCAGTATCTATGCCGATCTTAGAACAAGTAAACCACCGTCCTCTCATGTAGGAATTTTTTATTTTCAATTTAAACAAAATTGTAAAATTTAACAAAACTGGTCTTTTTAACTTAAGTTAATTGATGCAAACTCATTGATATAAGTTTTATAATGAGTAAATGCAAAAAAGAGAAGGGTGTGCCAACGAGCAGGAGTTAATCTAAACTATACAGGACAAATTCCTTGTCAAAAATCAAATTAGGAGTCATCAATGAAACTAGATTTTTGTTTAAAATTTTGTAGTCAAAATCAAATGGAAGAGTTCCTGAACTTTGTGTTAATTTCACAGGTCATAGACGAAGCAGATAAAATGATGGAACTCATCAAACAGGACTGGTTGATTAGAGTAGAGAATGCAGTATACAGAAACCAACGACCAAAACCAGAAATACTTACACCTTACAGGTCAGTACTGAGACACTCGTCCAGACAGAAATACTTACACCTTACAGGTCAGTACTGGGACACTCGTCCACAAGCAAAAATACTTACACCTTACAGGTCAGTACTGGGACACTCATCCCCAGACAGAAATACTTACAGCTAGCAGGTCAGTACTGGGACACTCGTCCCCAGACAGAAATACTTACACCTTACAGGTCAGTACTGGGACACTCGTCCCCAGACAGAAATACTTACACCTTACAGGTCAGTACTGAGACACTCGTCCAGACAGAAATACTTACACCTTACAGGTCAGTACTGGGACACTCGTCCCAAGGCAGAAATACTATCACCTTACAAGTCAGTACTGAGACACTTGTCCACAGACATATAAAACCACTGATGATATGAAATACTGTATTTGATTTAATAAGCACATTTACATGGTAATGTTTCCATAAAACTCCTCTTTTGATTTACATGCCATCTAATGTTCAGACTTGTGAGATGAGAAACGTTTTTACAGGTTTTTATTATTGCACCCATCCTCTTTGCCTGAAAAGAGGTGGGCTGTACTTATAGGTGGAATATGGTTTGTCAGCTGTCCAAACAGTTATACCTATATCATGACCATATACAGAGAGTTTTGTTATATCTCAATTGAATTTAAACAGATTGTATTCTGTTTAAAAGATATCACAACTTGAAGGAAAAGTATGGGCAGTATCCAAATAATTAACAAAAGGATTTATAGAAATATGTCTGCTGTCTGTGGAAACAAGAAATGTCCTGTTATCTAGAAAATTCAGTTTCTAGGTTTTAATATTTCCTTTGAATAATTTTTATTTCCATCAGTCCCCTCCTTGGTTCCTAAATTTAGGCCTTTAGCATCATTGACGAGTCTTAGAAGGATGAAACAGCTGTATGATGTAGCATTACTGACGAGTTCTAGAAGGACGAAACAGCTGTATGATGTAGCATTACTGACGAGTTCTAGAAGGACTAAACAGCTGTATGATGTAGCATTACTGACAGTACTAGAAGGACTAAACAGCTGTTTGATGTAGCATTACTGACAGTCCTAGAAGGACGAAACAGCTGTATGATGTAGCATTACTGACAGTCCTAGAAGGACGAAACAGCTGCTTGATGTAGCATTACTGACAGTACTAGAAGGACGAAACAGCTGTTTGATGTAGCATTACTGATGAGTTCTAGAAGGACGAAACAGCTGTATGATGTAGTATCACTGACGAGTTCTAGAAGGACAAAACAGCTGTATGATGTAGCATCACTGACGAGTTCTAGAAGGACAAAATAGCTGTATGATGTAGTATCACTGACGAGTTCTAGAAGGACAAAACAGCTGTATGATGTAGCATCACTGACGAGTCCTAGAAGGACAAAACAGCTGTATGATGTAGTATCACTGACGAGTTCTAGAAGGACTATACAGCTGTATGATGTAGCATTACTGACAGTCCTAGAAGGATGAAACAGCTGTATGATGTAGCATTACTGAGAGTCCTAGAAGGACGAAACAGCTGTTTGATGTAGTATCACTGACGAGTTCTAGAAGGACGAAACAGCTGTATGATGTAGCATTACTGACGAGTCCTAGAAGGACAAAACAACTGTATGATGTAGCATTACTGATGAGTCATAGAAGGACGAAACAACTGTATGATGTAGCATTACTGATGAGTCCTAGAAGGACGAAACAACTGTATGATGTAGCATTACTGATGAGTCCTAGAAGGACGAAACAACTGTATGATGTAGCATTACTGACGAGTCCTAGAAGGACGAAACAACTGTATGATGTAGCATCACTGACGAGTCCTAGACGGACGAAGCAGCTGTATGATGTAGCATCACTGACGAGTTCTAGAAGGACGAAACAGCTGTATGATGCAGTTTTATTCAGTATTCGGCTCTACTATATCTTATTCTGAATATGTATTAAAAAGCGCTTTTCACTTGTCTTTTGTAAATTAATGTTTTGTTGATTTTTGTTTCAGTTGCCTAAAGCCACACATACCTGTAAGTACTTTTGTTAATTTTATGTTTTTAATCTCTTTTTAATTGAATTATGCATGAAAATGTGTTAATGATTATGTCGCATTAATGAAACTTTCATAGAAGATAGTCATTTAATGGGAAAGTGTCGATGACGATGATTATGGTAAAGCATATTATGATAATGTTTTTCATAGTGTTCTAAAATCAATAGTAAAAATCTGATTGGCCTTTTTGACTCTCAGAAAATAGCTTATTCCTTAACAGTTTCCAAAAATAGCTTATTCCTTAAAAGTTTCCACTAAATGATAATGAAATTCAGCTTTTGTTAAGACAGAATTTCATCCCAACAAAACTCTAATGATAAAATCTGAACAATAAACACTTGCTGATTCCTACTTAATCAAGAGTTGTTGTATATCCCATGTGATTTATTATATTTGTAATAAAACAGGAAATTCTTGGTATTTATTTATAGGTCAGGAGATAATTAAAGTTGTGGTGTTGACATTGGGATTTTAGATGACATATATATGATCAAATGGAGATCTATTACAGAATTGCTTCAATAATGTGCTTGATAAAAATATTTTTCAAAGGATTTTTTTTTTAAGTTTCGCTTTTAAGGAATTAATTTTTTTTAAAAAAAAGAGGAAAAAACAGAAAAAAAACCTTATTTACTTATAGTATGTTATCATATTGTTTATCTTAGTTACAAAAGCTGTTGTTCTCGGCAACACTGTCGCAGAACCCTGAGAAACTACAGCAGCTGAACTTGTTCCTGCCTAAACTTTTCACATCAGTAGTCACCGAGACACAGCTTAAGCCTTCCAGCATCAACCCAGTGTGTGAAGATGACACTGGTCTCTCAGGTACACACAAACAAGCCAGTCAATTGATCAGCTGCTAGTTTATTGACATGAGTAAAAACACTATGGTTTGATGTGAAAGTTACTGATTTCTGAGCCTGTCTGTCCTTTTGACTTTGTGGGAAATAAATTTTAATGAAAAAATTATGAAATTTATAGAGTATTGAGGGAACATTTATCTTGATAATTTCTCAGTGGATACGGTATAGATCATCATCGCTATATATAGACTAGAGGCCCTTTTAAACATACAAATCAGACATTGTTGAAAAATCTGTACTGATGCAGGAATTGAAATAAAATTTAGGTTCTAATTTTGACACAAACTCTTTTGCAGTTGATACAGTTGGAAACCAGGGAGAGTTTGTTGGGAAGTACACAACACCACAAGGGCTAAGTGTAAGTACAACATATGATCATTACTCTCTCTTTTATGTACTATATCAGAGGCTCCTCCTTAAAAACAAAACCGATTTTTAACATTAAATAAACAGATATAAACTATACTGTAGTGTGAATTCATATTTGTTATTAAGAAATATTAGGTTTTAGCTCACCTTGTCTGAAGAACCTGTGAGCTTATGCCATACCACAACATCTGTCGTCCGTCAACTTTTCTTTCAAATTTTAAACTAGTCGTAAACAAATTTGCTGATTTTGTTCAGAAGCATCCTTGGGGGAAGAGGACAGATTTTGTATAAATGGTGAGTCTCAGCCTCCTGGAGCAGGAGGAATGGGGCTCAATAGGTGAAATAAAGCAAGTCCTCAAAAACTACTCCTCCTGTAGGAATGATCTGATTTTGACCAAATATGGTATGAAGTGTTCTTGATTACAGAGGAAAGGATTTTGTATAAATGTTTGATCTAGGCAAACTATGGCAGCGGAAATTGGGCTCAATAGGGAAAATAGAGCAAGTTCTTTTAAAGTCCTTCTATTAGAATACTGTGTTAATCCAGTTTTTTTCCAAATTTGATCTCAAACATGCTTGGATGAATGGAACTGAGTTTTGTTTAAGCTGTGCATCTTTCAATCCTAGGAGCTTCTTAGGGTAAATAGATACAAGTCTTTTAAACGCTTTTCCTTTAGTTTTGATGAGAATTTCATCAAACTTAAACCAGATGGATGATACAGGCCCTATTGGCCACTTGTTCTGTTCGATGACTACTTGGTTATAAAAATAATATAAGTTCCTGCATGGTGTTGATAAATTCTACTTAAATTGCCGTGGATCTTGATTTAAGTATTGTATATTATCACATTGGACTTGATGAAGAATTGACCTTCAACCTTACAGGAGTACTTTGTGGAGTGTACAGCTGCCACAAAACCCTTGATCCTGCTCCACTTCCTACACACCCTCATGTTCACCAACGTAATCTGCTTCGTCAATTCAGTGGAAGCTACACATAGGTTTGTGTTATTTGAATATAACAGAGGAAAAATAACATCTTGTCAAGTTTTTAATGCAACTTCACACTTGATCAAGACAGCAGAAAAATTTATAAAACAGAACATGACACAGTAATCACATGACAAAGTACAAAAAAAAATCAATCTTAATGACAAGTCTGCTTGATAATCAATTTATGAGTTGTTTCCCTTTTATGTTGCTGAAATGAATAAATACATGCAAATATGCGAAAAAAGTCATGTGAATTAGTTTTTGTTTGGGTATGAAAAGGATTCAACAAATCAATATATAAAGATATCAAAGAAATAGTATAAATCTTCAAAAGTTGGGTCTGCGTTTCTCAGAGGGAGAAAATTAGTGATAAGTTTGTGAAGTTCCAAGAAAACAAAAGCATCCCCCTAAAGACCGGCAGATTTGGCTTGTCAGCTCGTGTTCATGAAGGAAGAGGAATATTTCATGATATCTTTTATTTCCGCAGACTATATCACCTGATCCGACTTGTGGGAGGGAAAGAAGTTCGTGAGTTCTCCTCCGGTCAACAGGCAAACAGAAGGAAACGAATCCTCAAAGAATTCTCTAATGGAAAAATTGATATGTATGTGGAAACATGACTTTAACTATACACGCAGTCAGCAGTAATGATACATATTTTTAGCTCGTCTCTCAAGGAGAGGAGGGGCTGATGTTGTCTCCCTTGCATCAGCATTTGTTTCTAAATGATTGGATTCAAATCATTTTGCACTTAAGACTTTTAAAGTCAAATCTTATGTAAAGTTTTTGGTGTTGGTGTTGAAAGGCATAAAACCTCCTTTATAAGTGCACTAGTGTACTGATATTTGGTGGTTTGAGGGTTGCTGTGGGGTTGATTTAGTTTCTAAGAGTTTGAATGAATCATCTTTTTTTAAGTCTTGTGGTTTTTTTCATCCTTACACCAAGACTTTTTATATCGAATGTTCAGATTTTTGGACAAGTGTTGAAAGGTACCGATGAACTATTTACAAGTGTACTAGAGTACTGATGTTTGGTTTGAGGGTTGGTGTTGAGGTCAATTATTATTTCTTAGTCGTAATGAACAATGCTAATTTTATGTTTAGTGATAAACAATGTGAGGCGAGCTTTTGTACATTGGCGTTATTCTTGTTGTTTTTGAATTCTTATTTGAGAATAACTCATCATAATAAAACTTACATCGATTGTGATTTTTGGTATCAATAAGAAATTATATCTTTCATTATAACAGAATCATCTGTACAGATGCCATGGCCAGGGGGATGGATATAGACAACGTCAAGTTTGTAATATCGTACGACCAAACGCCCAACATCAAGACATACATCCATCGTATAGGGCGTACCGCTCGTGCAGGCAAAGCAGGCACAGCAATTACCCTTCTACAGAACAAAGAGGTAAGGCTTGCTGATAACTGTACCATTCCACACATTCAACAACTCTGTTGAATATTTAAACTGTCAATGAGTAGTCGTTTATAGAGGTTTTGAATAAATATGGATGGTGTGTTGTCTGTTTTACAGTTTTATCACTTCAAGAAGATGACTCGTGAGGCAGGGAAGCCTAAGATCAGGGAACAAAAAGTTTCTGAAGAATCTCTGGAGCCAATCATCCCAGCATTTCAGAAAGCACTAGAGGAAGTACCACACATTCTTAAGGTAGGTAACCCAGATGATAAACCTGTCTTCAATGAGGCTTTGAAGATGTGCCTAATGGCTCAGGTGAAAACCTCTCTCTTTTAAATCATCTTGAAGAGATTACAGTATATGTGATTAAAATTCAAGATACAAAATCTAGGGACTAACTCTAGGTACCTCAAATTATAAACAATAGTAGCTTTTGTGATCACTGTTTGCATTAGTTCTCATGAGGGTATCTTTGATCACCTTCTAAATGGCTTTAGAGTCACTACTTAACTTAAAGGATGAATGTCTACTGCCAGATGTAGGAGGAAATGTGGTTCACATCATTATCGGGAGTATGTCTCTCTGATAACTGTAGTTGTTTTCACAGAGTTTCTAAGATAACATATTATAAGAGTACTGAAAATCAGGGTATCTATTTCTTGTGAATATGCATGTTTTACATCGTAAGTGTAAGTGTTTCTCTACAGTAAAAGATCAACCTCTCTCTCTGATGGTATAGATTTTATATCTGAAATCCTATTTGGGGAATATTATGTAGTAACACTATCACTTCTTATAGTGTTGAATACTAGAGTGATAGGGATAAGCTGTATCAAGTGTCAGACACGCAGGGCAATACACCAAGGTTCAATACAAGCACAAGTGTGTAGAAAAGCTACATGTCCCTTCCTAATTGATGTCATCGTGTGATACAATGTATACATATGTGAAAATAGTTATTTGCAATGACTGTTTATATTTTGTTTTAGTTTTCAAGGGCAAATTTAGGCACGGAGTATCCATTTTCTATGTGAATTTATTGATTTATGGTATAATGAAAAATTTCATCGTTGTGTAATATGGCGTCCTTTGTTGTGTAATATGGCGTCCTTTGGTGTGTAATATGCCGTCCTTTGGTGTGTAATATGGCGTCCTTTGGTGTGTAATATGGCGTCCTTTGGTGTGTAATATGCCGTCCTTTGGTGTGTAATATGGCGTCCTTTGTTGTGTAATATGCCGTCCTTTGGTGTGTAATATGCCGTCCTTTGGTGTGTAATATGGCGTCCTTTGGTGTGTAATTTGGTGTGTAATATGCAATATGGCGTCCTTTGTTGTGTGTGTAATACGTCCTTTGGTGTGTAATATGGCGTCCTTTGGTGTGTAATATGCCGTCCTTTGGTGTGTAATATGGCGTCCTTTGGTGTGTAATATGCCGTCCTTTGGTGTGTAATATGGCGTCCTTTGGTGTGTAATATGGCGTCCTTTGTTGTGTAATATGGCGTCCTTTGGTGTGTAATATGCCGTCCTTTGTTGTGTAATATGGCGTCCTTTGTTGTGTAATATGGCGTCCTTTGTTGTGTAATATGGCGTCCTTTGTTGTGTAATATGGCGTCCTTTGTTGTGTAATATGGCGTCCTTTGGTGTGTAATATGGCGTCCTTTGGTGTGTAATATGGCGTCCTTTGTTGTACATTATCAATGTGTGAAGCTATTTTTGCCATTATTTTAGAATGAAAAATTGAGAGAAAAAATACTTGATGAAGCCTCAGGTTTTACAACATTTTGTGACCCTTCAGGTAGAATATCCCTATCCTACTCCCCGACATATGAAAGAGTCTGATAGGATAGTTATGAATCTCAGTAATAAGTATCTGTGAATTTGTATCTCTATTTCAGGCTGAAAAGATGAAGAAGAACTCTAATGGATGAAAGCTGCCAAGAATTCATTTTGATGGACACGGTACATTGTCAGGAGACCCTCCTCCCAGAAAACTGAAGTGAAGGTTCTAAATGTTGAAAGTAACTGGTGCTAGTCTATATGAACTTTGCTTTATGGTGACGAGATGCAACCGGGAAGAAATACCACCTTTGGTTACGTGGAGCTGGTATCTATTCAAGTGGTCTAGATATAAAGCAGTAATGGCTTAATCATGATGGCTCATTATATCTCAGTAACTCCATCCAAGATCTAGCAACTACAAGTAAAAAAACCAATTTGGCATCAATTGCAGTCGATTCATTGTGATTCTTTGAGCTGGCCTCAAATGGAAACAACATGGATCTGACGAGAACACATTTCAAATAAAGTACAAGATAATTTAATGTCTTTTGTTTTGAGCTTTTGTTCAAATGGATTTGATGCTAAGATTCATTCCATTAAACATGTAACTCACAAGCTATTCAATTGAGTCTTAAGACTGAGCTTTGGTAGAATCAAATGCTCTTCAGGGATGGAAGGGTCTAAAATTGCTCTGCCAAAATTTTGAATTTCATGACAATATAGTCAGTTTTTTGTGTTAGGGTTATTTTACAGTAATATTATCAAACCCTCCCCAGTACTCTCAAGTTATTTTAAAGTTATTAAATGGGGAGTCAGACCCATCAATTATTGTCTCATCAGTCCCAAAAAGTCTCTGAAGTGTGATTTTGGTGTTTCTTTTACAATGGTGACGGTGTCAACATATCACCGTGAAGTTTAACATTGACATCCATCACTTAGAAAATACAAGTCTAACTATAACCAAACATGTTTTGTAGTTAGATCATAAAGAGGACATCTTGATGCCAAAACGTATTCCATATTTTACAGTTCAGCAACTCTGCGTATTCGGGATGATAAGCCAGATTTCATGTTTATCTTAGTGTTTCATTATGTACAAGCGCTATTTCAATCAAACCTGGAGAATAGTACCAAGATTGGATTTAATTGTCACGCTCCCCAAAAATTTCTTGGGGAAGATCTAGTGGCTGTTTTGTCTGTCTTTCTGTCTGTCTTTCTGCCGGTCTTTTTCGTGTTTGAAGCATTTTTTAAAAATTGTTTGAAAGCCTATAATTGTAACAGCCAGTAATAATAACTGATCTGTAAATGAAATATTAAGCGGAGAGAAATGTGCCCTTACTTTCATAGCTCGAGCATAGGTTCTGGGAATAGAACACTGGATGCCATGGAGAAAGGCGAGCATTAACACCAAGCCACCTGACCACCTACTTTTTATAGAATCATCCTCCATACTTCAGGTGTTGCACTCATCCTTGCTCTCTGTACCCCTGAAACACTCCATGGCAAATTTGAAGGCACAAGAAGTAATCTGATTGGTGTAATGTAGATTTCAGGAGAGGAAAAAAGGGCGAAAAACAGACTGATATGCTCCTTTGAAGATTACAATAGTGTAACCCCTGGAGTATTGAGGATGTTAGAGGATTATATACAAATGTACCGCAGTATCCTGCTAATCCGATTGATACAAAAATGCAAGGAATACTTGTGAGATTTCATGTTTGTCTGGGTTGCACATAGTGCAAACCAGGTTATAGTATGGTGAACGGGTGGAGAAAAGGGGAACCAGCATTGTAGAATCAACTCCTCCTAGAGTTTTTGACATAGAAGCTTGAAACTTTGTACGATGTTTATATATACATGTATATGTTGAAGATGTGCACCTCCTATTATGGATTCATTTCAGATGGTTTTTTCTTGATACTCAACAAATGAAACGCCCTTAACTGTCTTATAAATATCATATAACATTGCACTCATCCAGCAACCCAGCCAATTGTGACTCTGCCCCATTTTTAATAAATTTATACAAAAAATGACAAAACCATGAAAATGTCTGAAAATGTATTCATCTCCTTTCTTTTCATTATAGGTTGGTCTTGTATTTTTTGTTTTTATTACTGCGTTCACATCGCATGGATGTGACCTCTCGTTTCACAGGTGAACATCGAGCTACAGGGACATGGTCTCAAAATCTTGGATAAGTTCAGTGACATACAGTATATACATGTATGTCTTCAATTTATTTGTCAAAAAATATAACCAGAACAACAATAAGGACATTTCAATATCAAATATCATTCACGACAAAAATTATTTGAATTTTTTGTGAATATACAATAGTCATAATACCTATTTCAGGTTATGTAAATTGTTTTTAAACACCATTTTGAGGTATATGATGGTTATACCATCTAAACATATTTGACCACTGTAAACTCGAATATAGGTCAAGTTTTTCATTTTTTCACAAACTCTGAGAACCTTCCAGCCATGGTATCAGGACTCTTGGCCTGTTTGTTATCAAGTAGAACGAAGTCGTTTGAAGGGAAAAGTTGACTCTAAATGAACCACTGATGCCAGGCACTGCACATTGGCATAATTTCACTTGTCTGTGTGGCAGGTGAGCTAAAATATATCTCCATTATCCGCTTGACATCATATACCTGTTACCCACATTTCTCTTGGGGAAAAGATCTGCGCATGTGTTATGCTTTCAGATTCAAGAGATATCTCTATGATATTAGTGATGCGCTACTCAAAACACTTACTGCACATCAGCCTACATCTGGGGTCTTACATGTAGTCACTAATTTGACATCTATCAAAACTGCCCAGTCCTTACAAGTCAGGGTCACAGGGTCAGCTGGTTAATTTGATTTTCTTCTTCACTCTATAGAGTTTCACTGGGCGTAGATAAGGATTGTCAATAGATTCTGCATCCTGAGTTTCTCCTTGACCTCCAGTCTGTTGACCTGTGTCCTGATCTTTGACCTTTTTTTCACTTTCACCATTGGTGGATTCCTCGTCTTCTAGATCCTGTTCTTTACACAGCAGAGCATCTAGGTAAGGTAGAGGATTGGGCTTAACTGCAATCACTGAAACCATTCAAAAGCATGGATAATGAAATTCCAACACAGGATTTAAGGTTAAAATAAAAATGTATTCTAGCCTTTCAACTTACTCAACTTTCAGAAATTAAGAAAGATCATATTTTAGTCATAATTGTTTTGTGTCTGAATACCGACTCAAAACATACCTTGTGAAAATAATTTCAGGAAGTTTTTTCTGACCAACATCTTTTCGTTTTTTTTTCCTTGCAATCAAGATCAAAATTCTGCCCTTTAAGCACTTAAAAATGATATTCAACATGTAGCAGAGGAAAATTCTAAACCTGGACATCAGGGATCTAGCACAAAAATCTGCTCTTTAATATCTAAACAACTGAGCCTTTTACAATCAGTCTAGAACAGAAATGAGGCCTTTACCATTTGTCTACTAACTAGCAACTATTGGATTAGAACAAAAAACAGAGCCCTGTACCTTAAATCTAGAACAAAATCCAGTCCTGCTGAAAAAACTAATACAAAATCTAAGTTTTTTAACCATCAACTTGGGACAAAACATGTACAATATTATAATATCAAGCAGTTTCCACTGTGTCATAGCACCTATTACCGTCGTGAATAATCCAGAGTTGTTTACCATTAGAATAAGACCTGCAAGCCTTTTACTTTCAGTCTAGTACAAAAGTTGAGTGTTTCCATCAACCTAGGATAAAATTTCGTCTCTCCACCATCAGTCAAAGACAAAATTTGAGCCCTTTTGGTACCATCGATCTAAGACAAACCCTCCAATATCACCAATACGTAACCAGTACCATCAATATTTAACCAGTACCATCAATATTTAACCAGTACCATCAATACTTAACCAGTACCATCAATATTTAACCAGTACCACCAATATTTAACCAGTACCATCAATATTTAACCAGTACCACCAATATTTAACCAGTACCATCAATATTTAACCAGTACCACCAAAATTTAACCAGTACCACCAATACTTTACCACCAATACTTAACCAGTACCATCAAAATTTAACCAGTACCACCAATACTTAACCAGTACCACCAATACGTAACCAGTACCATCAATATTTAACCAGTACCACCAATACTTAACCATTACCACCAATACTTAACCAGTACCATCAAAATTTAACCAGTACCACCAATACTTAACCAGTACCATCAATACTAAACCAGTACCACCAATACGTAACCAGTGCCACCAATATGTAACCAGTACCTCCAATACTTAACCAGTGCCACCAATATGTAACCTGTACCACCAATACTTAACCAGTGCCACCAATACTTAACCAGTGCCACCAATACTTAACCATTACCACCAATACTTAACCAGTACCATCAATATTTAACCAGTACCACCAATACTTAACCATTACCACCAATACTTAACCAGTACCATCAAAATTTAACCAGTGCCACCAATACTTAACCAGTACCATCAATACTAAACCGGTACCACCAATACGTAACCAGTGCCACCAATATGTAACCAGTACCACCAATACTTAAACAGTACCACCAATACGTTACCAGTACCACCAATACTTAACCAGTACCATCAATACTAAACCAGTACCACCAATACTTAACCAGTGCCACCAATACTTAACCAGTGCCACCAATACTTAACCATAACCACCAATACTTAACCAGTACCACCAATACTTAACCAGTACCACCAATACTTAACTTTTACCATCAATTTTGGAAATCTAGAACTTTGTGGATTATTTGTGATAAAACTTGTGCCCTTTGATATTAACCTCTGATGAAGCAAAAATCGAACTAGGTAAAACCTAACTGTCAATGAATGAATCTAAAGATATGTTTGTACACTTATACAAAAGTCATGAAACTTCAATAAAGGTCAAACAGTCTTCTTATAACCAGAAAATCTAAATAGTTTATTCAAATCCTGGTATCAGTTTGTGTAAAAACAGTCCTCTCATAACCAGGAAATCCAAAGAGTTTGTATTGAAACCCTGGTGTCAGTACTTGAACTTACAAGGATATGCTTCTGTGTTGTCTGGAAACAAATTCTGTGTCTCCCCGGTTTTAGCAATAAAGCGTGTTAAAGCCCGCTCAATGTCGCGCTTCTGTGAGGCAGCCTTTTCTCGCACCAGCTGGTACTCTGTAACTGGAGCCTTGTTTGTCTAGTCAGAAAAACAGCAAGGAAAAATGTATGTTGCCATCTCATGGTAGCTTATGGTTGGTCTATTAAACACTAATTTCAGTTCCATGTAAATTGACCTATTTCAGTAATATCTTTATATAACAAAAATTTAATGCATTCTCAGATCCAAAATAACCTGGGCTACCTAAGTACAAATATCATAACAGTCAATGGCAATTTCTTTGTAAACATGATCATATGTTCAGGTTTACCACTTGTTACCCTATAACAAGGAGACATAAATCAATAGCTACCGTTTAGTCAAGCATTAATGGCAAAAACAAGATATTTCTTGTACATATGTATTTTCAAAAAAATAGTTTTTTTGGATACTTTATAATGCAACCAATGAGCAGGGAACAATGTATATGTACTACATATCAGTGCAATAAGTACATACAAACTTTTTATAATGTACTTTAATAATTAAATGTGTATTTGGAAGAACATTTATCTAAATATTTGTTCTGAATTTTGAGATGAAATAATCTGTGTTTTTTCATTATATTTTAATATACAAAATAGTTTAAATTAGGGTTTATAATAACGGTACAGTATTCACTCTCTTAAGTCTGATTAGCCTGTATAAAAATACACAGATAAATAGCATGTCTTTTGATCAGGTGTTGCCTTGGTTAGAAAATTATGATATAGTTCTTTCAAAATTATTTTACTAAAAAAATCTATAAGGGGAGAGATCTTACCAGAGTCCTGATATAGGTATGTGGATCTGGGAATGCTGGCAAATGATCAGGAATATGTGACGGATGTGAAGGTCTATCCCCCACCTGTAATGTCTTCAGGGTGGGTGGAGCTGCAGAATGGGCCGCTGAAACAAGAGAATACAGAGCCAATGTATTTGCGAATATAATAGAACAGCTATGATTAATTTTGAAACAATATATCTACTGTCCTCAATTTAATGACAAAATGACAAATGAAGGTAATCCCTAAGTAAGCTTAACGTCCTTGCCAATTATATTTCTAAATGCTTAGAGAAAAATGAGAGAATTTGTTTTATCAAACCTATAAGCAATCTCTTGCATACATTTGGAAATTCAAGTCATATATGTCAAAAGAACAACAGGCTTTGAGGGCCTGTATTCTTCACCTAAACTTATTCTTATTTTAAACGATATAACCAATATTTCCCTATTTTAAGTCTTGTTTCACAGGAATTATCCTCTATGTAACAATCCATTTCCTGATTCTAACCTTTCATCAATCTTTGCATTATTTCTCAACTTTTCATACAATTTCATTTTCCTCATTGTAGACAATTTAGAAATGTAACAAATAGGATATTTGGTGACTTCTTTAACAACAAATATGTTTCATGAATACAGAAGAGTATTTCCATATTTTTTACTTGTGCCTCACACTTAATATTCTGCAAAATTCATCAAATACCTGGTACATTAGTAATTCCAGAAGATCCCAATACATATTCCTTCTTCTCTTATCAGCGAAAAAAATCTGTTATTTCATATTATTGATCTGTTTTAAGAGCGATACTTACGAGGTAAAAAGACACTCTTTGTGTGCCGACGAGCATGTGACTGTATGGACTGTACATTTTGACCTGGAACACGAGAAGTATATTTTGTATACATAAAGAAAATACCAGAGTTCTCCCCAGACTGTTTTAAATACATGGTAGACTATAATTTCCTATGTTATTATCTGGCTCTGTAATTCTACGTTGCCTTGTTTTTAGACAGTGTTCTCTTTTGACAAAATTATGAAAATGCCAAGATCATTTCAAAACATTCTGACACAGCCATTGAGTATCGGGTTAATTTTAATCATGAACTGAACTATGCCCAGTCATTAAGAACATGTACAATATCTAATCATGATATTGGTGATTTGTTTCTAAATTCTTACCCATATCAACTAAAGCCATGAAAACATCCGTCATCATGCCTTCAGACCTCCCAGCCAGCTCCGCATAATTTCTACAACTTCGTCCTAATTCTGTTAAAACTGTCAATAAAATTAATTATAGAGATAACATATATAAATGAATGTACATAGGATTCATGACAAATGTACACAGCTGATGGTAAATGTTTCTATTTGCTATTCTTTCACATCAGATCTCAATCTCTCAATTGAGAAAAAAATTGAGCAGGTCACTGTTAGTGTTATAGTATGTGAATAATAATTATGTAAAATGAACAGGTAGACTCAGTTTGTCCAAAGTGAAAGGTATGCTTTCTGTCAACCAACTTACAGAGCATGTTTCATTAGCTCATCTCCAGAATTGGTAAATTATCACCCTGGAGATCTGGGTTTGATTCCTAGTCAGGGCACTCGGGTATTGAAAGCCCAGCAAGTGTGTAAAAGGAGAAAGTCTCTGTGGCTCGCACTTAATTTATGGAGCACACTTCAATTATCATATCAGAAAACAGGGCTTAATTCCTGGTTGGTGCAATTGATATGTATGTGTATTTTACCTGTTCTGTCACAATTAAATATGTACTATCCTCGTTCCCAGGTGAAAATTGCACTAAGCGATAATGTAAATTTCACATGGGGCCAAGGGTGTATTTGTCAAATGTACAAAGTTTCTGTATGGTCTAAAGTACCTACCAGGTAGGCACATGTATCATCACTCAGGTGATACAAGGACAAAAGCTTGCTTCTTAAGTTAGTACCCAGTAGCAATGCTATAAAATTATAATGTACATGAAAACTCATTACGTCTTACAAACATCTGTAAATGTAATTAGCTGATGTTTTCTCTGACTCCTACATGTCAGGCTTTGATCGGTCATCCAAAGTAAAATGACATTTTTCTCAACAATATCGATTCCTAATATTTGTTAATTATCTCTTACAATAGTGAAATACCTGATATACCCGTACATTTTAGATATATGTACATTGCCATTATTTTTTAAACGATGTTCCATGTAACCAAATACGTCCTGTCATTTTTCCTACATAAAAATATTATTCTGCTCTACAGATGTAGTCTGTTAATCAATATAAAAACTTACAACTTTGCAACATTTCTGTAAGGGTTTCTAGCACCGATTCTTCAGCCTTTTCATAGCCAACTTCAAAGACAAGGGCGCTAACCGCTACTTTCAGGGCTTTTCTGCGAGAAACTTCTCGTGGATCCATTTTTCATAAAATTGCTCCGCTGAATATAGGTAACTCATTAATGAAGTAAGCTACAATCTTAAATTATCTCAGAAATTCTCTCTGAGTGTCGGCCACCAAACACAGCGTATGGGCGACGCCATCTTGGAAAATATACAATTTTAGAACCAATTGATTCCGGAAATTTTCAATCTGGCTGCCATTAATATTGAGGATGATCTTGCCAAGAATGAATCTTATCTTTACTATTGTACATTGTATTGTATATGTATGTAACGATATAGGTAGCGATTGCTATTAAAGCCGAAGGACAAATTTCTATCCGCTGTCGCCAAGACGAAAATAAAATCCGGAATTGATGGTCAGAGCCTTCCAATTAATTTCAAACTAAATCCGTAAAAATAATGGATGATAAGCAACGCCATGTTAACGTTTTCTATGTGCAGTTCAGCTGCCAAGAGTATCGAGGATTAAGGGAAATCGATAACGGTGCACTTGCAAAACTGATTGATTGTGAATTTGCATAAAAATATTTAAATTTGTTTTCATTTCTTATGTGATGATTGATACTCGTCATCGCCTCGCTTAAGTGAATTTTTTTTTTTTTAATTGTAAACCAATCTCGAATGGAATGTGAAAACGTACAGAAAAGTGTGTATTGATTGTAGAAAGGTAGCGGATAGCTTTGACGGTTCGTGGACTCAGATATAGAGTTTAACATAGTTTTGAACATTAGGAAGTTTAAAATTTGTTTGCGGTGAGTCGTTTAGCGACATTATGGTACCTAAAAAATCATGTTGATGAAATTAGATATTCGGCGGGGATTTACATAAGTCTAGTGAAAAAAAGCGTTCGGCCTCACAAGAGGTGACAGGTAAGAAGATTGTCCGCTGTGATGCCCTTTTCATCGAGTTTCCCACAAGCTCTCTTCCACCCCAACAAATCCCCCTGTAGATCTTGTGAAGATGAACATTGCAAATCTGAGTTACAGTAGAAAAATTCAGAAGGAAGTTTTTGTATTTCAGAATCTGACAGGGTCAACATTTGCTTAGGAACCAAACAACCAAATGCATATGCAACACTGTCATCTTTGTGAAATCTGTCATTGAGATCAGTTGATAAATTATCCAGAAATGGAACAGCTACCATGGCTTTGTAATATTGTTGCGGACAGGAACTACCAATATTTGTTCTCTGCGTTGTTCTCGGGATCTTCTCTCCTATTTCAAGCACGTTTGCGATTCGTTTGCAATATTCATACCACGTTTCAAACTCAACATCTACTCCTTCTCTCATCTCTTTCACCCTCTCAATACGATCAGTAATCATTGTACGGGCATCATACGCGTCCAAATCACGTTTCTGAAGTTTTGGTGCAAGGGGTTTGACTGTCTGCAGAACAGCCCTGACGCAGATGGACGTAACCAAAAACTGGCACATCAGATTAGCTAGCAATCCCTGTGATGTAGTTTTAGTTTGAGCATCCCACGACCACTCATCTTGAGTGTTTTCCTCAAATTCTGGGTTTACGATGGACCGGAGACTTTCAACGATGGCAGTATACATGCTATAGAATACATCATAGCAGGTATGACGTTCTATCCATCTTGTTTTACACAAACCCAACAACTTTTTAACTTCGATTCCGGGCCATGATGTTGAAGGACATGTTCAAAGAAGCACTGCCTTTTGGGCGAGACATCGAAGAAAATAAATGTGGCATTTACCCCATCTATCATATTTCTCACAAGAGGTATTTTGCACGCGTGAGCTATGCGCAAGTTCCGATCGTGACTGATGCAGCGTGTGTAAAGGGCATGTTGATTGATAGACTTAATTCGAGCTTGGCAACCTATTTTTTCTGACGACATAGCTGCTGCCCCATCGTACGCCTGGCCCCTCATTTTGTCAACTGGAATATTGTTCTCTGTTAAAACCTCTACTATTTTATTTACAATTGTTTCCCCAGTAGTACGTTTCAGATGGAGAAAATCAAAGAATTATTCTCAAATACATGGCTCAGTTTGACTTTCATCTAAAAATCGCACACACGAAACCAATTTTTCAGGGTTTCTTCATCACAACTGCTTTCGACATAGGTATTTTTCAGTTTGAGATACTGTCCCATTCAAAATTTGAACAAAATTATATTTGGGAGTGGTTCTTTTGGTTCCGGGACCCCTCCTCTGGATCCGCGCATGCTGTTTAACTTGGATTTGATAAGTTATCAAACAGACCCAACGCTCAGCGGGCCCATTTTTTTGTGTTTTTATTTATTTATCTTATTAATTTCCTTTTATATTTTTTGTAAAAAAAAATAGCTGTTGGTGCTAGTATTTGACCTCAAATGTTGTATGAGAAAAAAAAACTTTTCACCTGTCATATTACTACTCTCTGTATGAAAGCTGTTTTTCTAAGGAATGACGTCACCTGGCCTATATATTAACCTTATGGCAACTAGGGTAGGATGATGCACCCCAGTTTACCGTTTAGCATCTTTTCACTTTCGTAAACCGATTCATGACCATAACAGATTATCTTCTGGACACTTTGATATTTTCATTGAAAGCCAAAGAACAATGTTTCCATTATCACGTAACCTATGCAGTATTCTTCAACCACGAAATGATCTAATACAACCGTGGAAACCAAGTAATTGGAGGCAAAACGGATCCGTGACATTTAAGTCACGTGACAAACAAAATGGCAGAAACGGACATGTTCTAATGAAAACAACAGGGTTATTTAGTAATCAATATTCTGGTGAGTATTTCGTAATTGAAATTTGTGTACCATGTGCTGTCTTGAAGAGGACGTGGTTATATTATGACATTGAAAACAAACCCATTTGTATATTACATAATCAAACTTTTAATATTTCACACGTGAAGATAAGAAGATGTCGATTAATAACTAACTATTGAACTTCACAAAGTTCATGACATGTTTTTATTCGCCAGCTGTTTTGCTTTTCATCTCAGTAACAAATGACATCACACTATGAAGATTTCTGGTAGATGATAAGTAAGTGATTGTTTACAGAGTCAAGATGACGAAATAGATCAAGAATTAATGGTTCTGACTCACAATTTATCCTATCTATATCTTATCCATACATGTTTCATTTCCGGTTGCAGTAAAATTCAGAGTTACACAACTTCTATGGAATGATTAACCAAAGATTAATCTTAATACCAGTATTTTTTCATGAATATCTATGAATATCTATAGTTATTGATTATTGATTTTGATCAATGAATAATTCATGTAGAGTATATCAAGTAATTTGTTAATATCAATTATTTGAGAAGTAAATAATTTTTTTCTTTTAGAACCAGCTTACTCAAATATTGTGAAGATGTAGAATGCAGATGTCAACAAAGCCATGGAGGAGAAGATATCACTAAAGACCGCTTCGCTGTTACTACCTCCTTGTAAAGTGTGTGATGGGAAGGCATCAGGAATTCATTATGGAGTCAACTCTTGTGAGGCATGCAAGGTGAACTTTTCGTCCAGCATGTTTGTATAAGTTATATGTCTAGCTTGTACACTGATATTACACTAGTAATTTCGATAGTAATTATGTACAGTTGTGGGGTTACATGTTGTGTGGTATAGGAAACTGGAGAAAATTTCCTATAGCACATTTGTGCGAAAGATGTGCGGTTCCATCGCACAGATGTGTGATTCTGTTGTGGTTCATGTAAATTTATAATGGACGTATGGATAAGTGTGGAATAGGGTGTATTTATATATTTTTTAATTATATAAAGAGTACAGTTTTGTATATTTCAAACTAAGCCTTATATTGATAAATTAGACACATGTAGATCTGTCATGTACACTCATGATTAAGAGTATTTTGTTTACAAAGTGACCAGTCTAAGTTTGTAGACATTCATTATACATACCGTAAATATGTAAACATAACCTGGACATCTCTTTTTGTCTCGTCCATGAATCATCTTAAATCTCGCACTGTCAGGAAGGAAATTTTATTTTCATCAATTCTGTATACTCTCATTTTTCTATCATTTTGTAAAGGTAAAAAATATATATTCAGATAGACTTTAAGCATTGTTTTGTACAGGAGACCTAGCTGTACGCAGCTGTCACATATATACTTGTATAATGGAATTCTTCGTTGCCCGAGGCATACCGCTTGCCACTCTCAGAGGTGTAAAAATATGGACTAAAGAGACTGATTAACACAGGGTCCAGTTGTATTTTGATGATTGTATATATTTACAAGGAAATTTTTATTCTGAAATTTTTCATCATTTGGGAAAATATCATGCATATCTCATACAAAATATTTCAATGATACAGATTAAATGCTTTTCTAATGTGTGTTTTTTTTACATGCAAATAAGGTTATTATATCATGTGTACATATTCCCCATGCTAGAAAATTCCTACGTAAAGCTTGTTAGCAATAATGTTCATATATGCAAAAAATAACAAGACAAAGGCCTAGTTCCATTTTGTAAATACAGATAACAATCATAATATACATGTATTGTATATTGCATTGTCACTTAGTGATTAACTGTCATCTCCAGCCATCCCCTGATAAAAACACCAATTCTAAACAAATCCTGTGTGTTAAATGAAAATGTAAGAAATTCCTCTCTTGTATTTTTTTCAATTTAGGGCTTTTTCCGGAGATACCTCTCCCGCAAGGAACCATATAAATGTTCCAAAAAAGGAAAGTGTGTGATTACGGACAGCCCACGAGGGAACTGTTCCGCTTGCCGCATGGAGAAATGTTTACGACTGGGCATGTCCAAGGAAGGTATATAAAACATACTGTTTAAGCTAAAATGGAGGTTGGAACTAATTAAGTCTTTGTAACAGAGATTCAAGCTTGGCATTTTAGGTCCTGCTGAGGGAATACATAATCAATATGTATATATATCTCTATTTTGGAACATGATGCTGTTAAGTGTAAAGAAATGGTAAGAAACAATCATTTTTGATATCAATATTATTGTAAAGGGCATCAATTACCGTGTATAATTGTATGTAAAAAGATTGCAATATTCTTGTTTTTTTTTTATTGATTATGCATAGTATAGGGTAAATCAGCATTTTTTTTTTATTTTACATAGAGTTACTCCCTTGGCAAGAACAGAGATGTTTGTGTACATGATAGGCAAAATATGATAATTATGATGATGATGAAAGTACATGGATGTATGGATATGTTCTATATAAGGGATGTACACAACGTTTATATAAGGGATGTACACAATGAATGCTGTGTACGATGTACAGATTGATGATGATGATGACGATAATGGTGATGATGATGATGATGATGATGATGATGATGATGATGATGATGATGATGATGATGATGATGATGATGATGATGATGATGTTAATGATGATGATGATGTTAATGGTGATGATGATGATGATGATGATGATGATGATGATGATGATGATGATGACTGTGATAGAAGCATTGTGAAACTATGTTTGTTTGTAAGAGTTTTGTCATACACATGTATTTATATATTGGTGAAGAATGAAAAATTAAATATCAAGTAAACTCTCTAGGAAAGGTGATCATATTACAAACTGCTGTAAGCATTTGTCTTCATACCTGGACAATACCATCTAACAATGAAGTATTTACATAAGGCAGTCGTGTCCAGGTACATATCTTTGCCTATAAATGTGTGTGCAATTTTAACTACAGATCTGAATTTAACAATTACCAGTGAATTTTGAAAAGCTGTAATTCTGTAAAATAGGTCACAATATTTGTTTTGTGATAAATAACTTAATTTTTTATAAATATACCAATGATAAAGAAACATTATTCAAATTTATCCTAGTACCATCTAATAGTACAATACGTATACTGAAAGCTATTTCCATCACATGTACTTACTGATACACCTTTTTTTTTTTTTTGTACAGCCGTTCGTCAGGGCCGTTATACATTGACAGAGCGCACAAAAGCCATCATGGAGGTACAGAAGCTACAACAGAAAGTTGAGGAATATCCAGTTCCTCAGGAACCAACTAAAAACAACTTTGAGAGCTCCCCGGAACAGAGTCAACCTGAGCAGAGTCCAGACTCTGGAATCGAGTCTCAAATTAGTCCTGCTGACTTGGACACTCTTGAAAATTCTGTGATATCAAATACCCCTGTTGATTCACCTTTCACAGTTCACATCCGTGAGGATCGCAACATGATGGAGGTTTCCTCTGATTCGCAATCAGAGTTTACCAAAGAAAGTGGACCTTTACAGGTTGGCAGCACAGACAGTCAGAACATTCCATCTATTTTGAATGATTTAATTCCAAAACTTACAAAATCTGCTGAAGAACTCTCACCGGTGTCGTCAAAACTCACAGACCAGGAAATTCACTCCCTGCACATGACTGCTTTGGTAAGAATTCACAGAAAGTTTTAATTCACTGTGATGTTAATCTGTTTGGAATGTGTAAAGGGAAACAATTTCAATCTACAGAATTGATCCTATTTACTGCAATGAAATTAGGGAGGGTTGTGGTTGTGTGAGAAAGTATTATAGAGTATTTACTCCAGGAGTCATATCAGTTGATGTATTTCAATGCAAAGAAGCCCTCTCCCCGAGTGAAAAATATTTACCAAAAGTAGAGATGGAGCTTATTGAAAGATGTACGTTAGTGTCTGCCATGTTTGATATTTTTTTGTACCTTGACCAAAGATACCCCCTGTTATTGATGATTTTTCACAAGTATATCGTCCGCACAAGTTCTGCCTGCATATCATTCAAATTCTATACATATATATTGTAAAATATGTAGGTGTTGCATGTATAGGTCATTGAAGATATTCAACATTTAAATCTTGGTTTCAGAATAAGTTCCGTATGAAAGAGGAAATGTTTGGGTCCATGGAACCAGTTTCTATAGAAGAATATAATCACTTGTACGAAGCTACGGGTCTAGACGTTGATGGACGACAAAGTCGTCTTCAGCGGTGTCGCAGCTTCTTTGAAGGAACCATAAAACATTATGTCCAGTTCTCGCGCGTCATTCCAGAATTCCCTGACCTTCCCGTGCCAGATCAGTCATCACTTCTTAAAGGTATACAAGTATAAAGACATCTCCATTATAATTATTCATTGAACCTCTATTAATAGGTGTTTTTTATGTCCCATATTTTCATTGGTGGATGTAGATGTTACCCACATATGTGTGTATGTTTCTTTAGCCCACCGACAGGCAGCCATCTTAGATTTTATTGAGTAATGATTGACATTGCTATTTCTTCAGAAGTACTGAATGGATGTCTCTCAAATTTCGTACATATGTTCCCTTTGGTCTCTTTTTGTTTGATTTTGGGACAGATCAGAGGAAACAAAATGGCTTCCAGACGGCCATTTTGAATTTGGCAGGTAAAGATTATCATTGCTATTTTTGCGAAGGAATGTTTAAATGTTTTCATTAAGAGCAAAAACAGAGAAGAGAAAAGAAGGGAGAAGATCCAACTTTCAAAGAGCATATAAAGATCAAACAATGGTGGGCACCAAGATCTCTCTGGGATCTCTTGTTTCTTTAAAGATTTGGTTGAAACGTGATGAAATCTCTACCTCAAAAGATTTGTACTTTGGTGGCCAGATTTAGACTTGTATATCCATGAATGAAAATTACCTGCACCCGAGGTTTGCAATGATGCACACAATTAATCTACCTGGTCACGGATGACTGACCCAGTGCAGGTCCACTACATATTATCAACATGCCATTTCATATCATTCAGGCAATTCAACGTGTTAGAATGTGACATAAAATCACACTATTACAAGCCAATAACAATGGTATTAGTGTCTTACAGAGTGAAAAAACAATAAAAATTGTTATGGACGGAGGGACAATGGACATGAGACCATAGATATACAGCATTCAATGATGGTAAACTAGAAATACAAAGATATAAAAATCTATATAGATATAAATCTTTATATTCCATGATATCTCCAAACCTATTTTCATTGTCATTATTTCATAACAGACGATAATAACCTTTTTTTTGCAGCGGCACGCTTTGAGTTTTTCATGTTATTGGAGTATCGAGCTGTTGACCCTGACCTCCAGATGGTGCTGACGATTGGTGGGGATGTATACCACATCAACGAAGCCAGTTTTTACTTTCCAAAAGAAATCATGTTATCCTGGTTTGAATTTTCACGGGTTATTCGGCGCCTCAACCTCAGTGACAAAGAAAGAGCTCTGGTCCTTGCTATTTCTTTGGTGTTTAGAGGTAAATTTCTCAAAAAAAAAACACAACATCAATGTTGCTCTAGTTGTAAAAAGATAATGGGGAAGTTCGACAACATGGTATGTTGTTAAGGTTTTGTAAAAAATTAGATCTCTGACGAAGCGTTCAGTAAAGAAATGTTCAATGAATTTTAAAGGTCACATTTCACTTGGATTGCAGTTAGTTAGTCTAAGATGGAGCACGTTCTCGATTCTCCAGGGGTTACAATCACTTTCGTCTTTGCATCCCTGGACCATGTCATGGCAAAGCATCAGGCACAAGCAAAGTAATTTGATTGGTTCCAGGAGAAAAAATCTGACCAATCACAGGCTGATGCGCTTCTTTTGAAGATTACAAAGGAGCAACACCCAACTTCAAAGCCATTACAATATACAGTTATGTGACCTCAAGATTTGTTTGATGTACATCAAAGGATCAAACTAGTCTTTTTGTGTTGTCCACAAGGTATTGCGGAGGGAATGTTCAGTATTGCCATGACTTGTTCCAGGGGTACAGAGAGCAGAAGTGATTGTTACTCAGGGAGTCTCAAGATATGGATGGAGCAAAGAAAATCATGTTTTCTGTCAATTTGTGTCATTCAGCAGTTAGTCTGGTTTTCAAGGTTCAAATGCAAGTCACTCGTGTCCAATTTTGAGTTTTTCAAGAATTCGTCCAACACTATTCAGAGAGTATCAGAAAGCTTTAGGTTTAACTCTGTCTTTGGTACCTGTTTTTATGGAAACAAGCCCCTCGAGCATTATCATGAAGAGGTTGAATTTTTGGTATTTTTCAGATCGTTGTAAACTGGAAGACCCAGAGAGAGTAGAAAGAATACAGCTGACCTTGATTTCTTACCTGCGCCATGTTTTAAGGGAACGGTATGGCCGACAGGAAGTATATGTATTCTCTAAAGTTATGAACATGTTCTTGTCTTTCCGAGAACTAACAGAGAGCTATATGAAGCAATATCAGAAACTTTGTAAAGATAAATTTCTTCCCAAGCAGTTCCCAGAAATGCTGGAGTTTTTGTTTGAGGATGATTAAATATATATATATATATATGTTTATTGATACTGCTGTTGAGCTGTGATTGTCTGTAGATTCCAATTGTGTTATTTCATTTGTCACATCGCAATTTCATGGCATCAAATTCATTTTGATGTTAAAAAAAAAAAATTAAAATTAAAAAAAAATGTCTAGAAATAGAAATTTTTTAAAGATTTCATATCACCCAGAGAAATGCTGTTGTGATTCATACTGACAAGAACATCTTAGTTATGTGATTAACAGTGTCTTACATGAATTGATGTTTGTTATAATGAAATCAAAGAGATTGTTCCACAATTTCAATTGCTCACAAGATGCTCCCTGAAATGTTAATGGGATGTTCCGCACAAGTAAGGGTTTCATGATATGGTTTGATGAAAACTGTACATCTGTGTAGTTCATTAAAATTGTATACCACAAATAACCATTTAAACAAATATGAAATTTAATTTGAGGAAATTCTTTACAGATCTAAGTAGATCACTTTTTAAAATGTTTGCATGGTCCCGATTGTGTCGTAACAGGTTTCCTTTGTTTTTAAGTCAAACAGGATGAAATATTCGTGTAAATCATGAAATCGGTCGAGTGAAGTAATAAAACTGTAACCCCAGCAGAAATTTTAGTGAACAGGATACACACTAGTGTATTCTCTCTATATACTCTACATAAAATCTAGGATCCAGTGACCTTTCAGTTCCAGATTTCCGTATGCGTTATATTTAGACAGTTTGGCGGATTTATCATTTTCAACAATTTCGCCTGGTAGAACTAATCGCAGGAAAGATATTTTGATGCTAAAAATAGATCTAAAGGTCTGTAGAATGAGTTCTTAAAAGATACAGAACAAACAGAAATTTTTTAACTTGGGCGGAATATCCCTTCATAATAAAATCCTTGACTCATCTTCATTTTCATCAGTTTTTCATGAAGTGTGGATCGTGATTCAGATTTATATCTAAGATACTAGTAATGTTTTACGTACGAAATAACACGGTTTACGATTTTGTAGCTTTACTGATATCGTATTGATGATATTTGTTTCACCATAACAAGGCCTTAGTTTAATTCTTATCAGACTCCCATGATATCGTCATGTGATCATAATCATGTGACCGTTCTGAGACATTTGGTGGAATTGTCCTTGAAGGTACTGTAACAGTCAAGTACAAGGTTGACCAACTAGCTTAGCATATATATTTAACATGAAGACTACTAAACAAGTATTTCGACAACTAAATATTAGAAAAAAATGAAGTACATTTGCTTTGAATTTCTCTTTACTTATTCCCATATTTATTGTGACATCGTCATCAATGTTGATCTCATATTCAGTCACACAAACTGTAAAAACTTACTGTCAGATCTTTTTATCTCGAACTTCTTTAACTTGAAGGCCCTGTATAATTTAAAGTATTTCATTGGTCACGGCCAAATTTTGCACTTAACATTTGATCTTGCTTAAATTGAATAATCGGATGATTCAATGTTTTCCAAAGGTCCCGCTAACTTCGAGATAGCAAGGTTTGACTGTATATAAGATTAATCTTGTCAGCACCTGATTGTATATGCAAGTCATCAAATATCAGTTATTCTTTGTAAAGATATGATAAAAATTTTGTATTATAAAATTTATAAATCAATGAACGTCCAAATATAGCTGTGCTTTAGACTTAATGATTTTGTTTACAGTAAATAGATTAGTTCTGTGTAGAAAGAAAACCAAAAGTGTCTCCATGGTCATTGTTTTGATCTATGGACAGAATTTGGTTCTCTTGTGTTCTTTAGTTATTTACCTTTATGCGTAGCAGTTTTACACAGGTACATAAATTTAAAATTATATTTACACTTATGCAATTTTTTTTTTTAGTAAACAGCTGACATTGCTATAAAATGTTTACAAATTATAGCATTTCTGGTTTGGAATTAAATGAATTTGAAATGTGTTTGAATTTAAAAACTCCATAATTTAATTTTTCTTCTGAAGTACAAATATATGTCAGAACTGAATGGACCTGAAAGTTAGCCAGCTTTTAAAATTCAACTGATGTAAGAAATCTTGGTTGTCTATCTAGTTGGGGTTTCAGTGATCTTGTATTTAGTATTTTACTAATGTGTTGTGACACTCATTGACACTAGGAAGACACAGGTTTTCTGTTAAACAAGAAGGAAAATTTTGCCCCAAATCCGCAAAAAACAGACTAGGTGACACAAATATTTTGAAATAGAATTAGTCTGAGGTCAAGGGTCAAGATTTCAAAACATTCTCTCTGCATGAATGTTGTAGTTTTCTAATTACTTAAATGCTGTGATATTTGTTTATTAGAAGAAAATGGTATTATTTAAGATATTCCTGTTTGATATTTGGAGTTAAAAAAATGTCAGTCGTTTACTTATGACCATGTAGTGTAATTGATACTTGTAATATAGTAAACACAATTTTGCTTGCTTGTAAAATAGCTACATGTTAAAGCTATGTATTCACTTAATTTTTGACTTTTTATTTTCTAAATGCATGTTTATATTTACTCTGGGAAATGTCATAGATAAATATTGACATACTTGTGTGGTATTTTCGTAGGGAATGTTAGATTGTTAAATTTTTTTGGATAAATACGAATATCTTGCAAGAAATAGTCTACTTCAAAGGAAATTTAGTTGTTTAAAAGTAATTAACTGCCATTTGTTTTTATCCAAATTGTATATTGTATAGGTTGTAGGTTTGATGTGATATGTATAGTTAAATATTACCGGTACGCAGCATTCACCAATCTGTGGCACTGACACTATAACTTAGTTGTAAAAACATCTCGATCTTCATCTCATGACTGTCAACAGAAAACACTTGAAATTTGAATTCATTTTGGCTTTCATTTTGGCATTCATGGGCTTATGAATGCCAATTGACAAGGACAAATCCATTGAAACATGTAGAATATACTACAGAATACTGAAATTTCCAGATTTTGTTGATTTAAAGCTGTGTAGTGGACAATGTACAAAAGCTTCATAAGGTGAACTGGACAATGTACAAAAGCTTCATAAGGTGAACTGGACAATGTACAAAAGCTTCATAAGGTGAACTGGACAATGTACAAAAGCTTCATAAGGTGAACTGGACAATGTACGAAAGCTTCATAAGGTGAACTGGACAATGTACGAAAGCTTCATAAGGTGAACTGGACAATGTACGAAAGCTTCATAAGGTGAACTGGACAGTGTACAAAAGCTTCATAAGGTGAACTGGACAGTGTACAAAAGCTTCATAAAGTGCACTGGACAATGTACAAAAGCTTCATAAAGTGCACTGGACAATGTACAAAAGTTCCAATATATTTGATTATATGATCATGTATATATATGTAGATATAAAACTTAGTTGCTGCTGATTTATTATCTTCAACTAACAGTTTTAGTACAAGATAGTTAATTTTACACAAGCACATAAGTTTTTAATATTAAATTGGTCAAATATTTTGTGAAATCATCTTTTCTCATTGTTCTCTTGAGTCAAAGGTGAATATAATTTTTAACTTGAGGCTTTGTGTTGGTGCCATTCTCTTATATTTTCATCTTGATACAAATGTTTCATACTAAATAAAACAATATATTTTTATAAAATACAAGTATTGTTTTATTTTTTCACCAGGGAAAATGTCTGGGATTAAAGGATACAAGGAAACCATTGGGTCAAGGTCATTTCTTTTTGCAAACTTTATAGGGCATCATCCAAGGAACCTGTCAGTTAAATATAATTCTATGCCTTTCAGTTAATCAGTAGCAATTTTTTTTAACAGACTTTACCTACGTGACCTTAAATATGGGTCAAGGTGTTTTCCTTTCACAAATATGGTTAGGTTTCATCCAAGGTAGCTTTAAGCTAAATTGGCCTTTTGGTTATTGAAATTATGTGTATAACTAAAGTATTTCAGAAACAAGAGGCCCATGGGCCTTAACGGTCATCTGACAAAAAGCAAGCCAAACTCTAACAGTGAGTCTGCTTTTAAAAAAGTGGGCTTTATTCATTTGAATAAACTTGGTAGCCCTTCCTCCCAGCATCCTACAGGCCCAGTATCAGCACTCTTAGCCTTTTGGTTACTGAGAAGAAGTCGTTTACAGATTTTAACATATTTGAACTCTGTGATCTTGAAAGTGGGTCAAGGTCATTCACTTGAACACATTTGGTAACACTTCCTCAAAGCATCCTACAGGCCCAATATCAGCACTCTAATCATTTTGGTTATTGAGAAGTCATTTGCATATTTTAATATATTTAAGCCCGTGACCTTGAAAGTGGGTCAAGGTCATTCATTTGAACAAACTTGGTAGCATGTCATCCATGCATCCTACAGGTCCATTATCAGCACTCTTGGATGTTTGCTTATTGAAAAGAAGTCGTTTGTATATTTTAACATATTTGACACCTGTGACCTAGAAAGTGGGTTGAGGTCATTCATTCGACCAAACTTGGTAGCCCTTCCTCCAAGCATCCTAGAGGCCCAATATCAGCACTCTTGGACTTTTGCTTATTCAGAAGAAGTCATTTGCATATTTTAACATATTTGAGTCCTGTGACATTGAAAGTGGGTCAAGGTCATTCATTTGAACAAACTTGGTAGCCTTTCCTCTAAGCATCCTACAGGCCCAATATCAGCACTCATGGACTTTTGCTTATTGAGAAGAAGTCGTTTGTATGTTTTAACATATTTGACCCCTGTGACCTTGAAAGTGGGTCAAGGTCATTCATTTGAACAAACTTGGTAGCCCTTCATCCCAGCATGCTACAGATCAATATCAGCATTTTGAGCCTTTTGGTTGTTGAATAGTTGTTTAAAAATTTCAACATATTTGACCCATGTGACCTTGAAAGTGGGCCGAGGTCATTCAATTGAACAAACTCTGTAGGTCTCCATGCCAGCATGCTATGGGCCAAGTATTAGCCCCCTAGGTCTTCTAGTATTTTAGAAGAAGTTTTTTGAATGAAAAGTTAACAAACGGTGTACGACGATGGACGAAGCACGATGGCTATAGGTCATCTCGACCCTTCGGGTCAGATGACCTAATAAGTGTTGACACCAGATGGAGCACCACAGCTTAACTTCAGCTCACCTGGTCATATGCTGTGGTGCTTGAATTGATTAAATTATCAATCTGAGGACACTTGATAAATCTATGGTCTTAATGCTAGCGTTTGCCAGCATTATTTCTTCAAAAAGAAGAAGTTATTACCCCAAAAAATCTGACCTTTGATCTTTGTTGTGACCTCTTTCTTACTGTGAGTTACAGGCACCAGTTTTGGTTGTTTCATTTTCTGGTGTCTCTCAAAAAATGACATTACTGAATTAACAATTTTGTTAAGTAACCCTAATATTTATATATATCCTATAGTAAATTGTATAACAAAAGTTATTTCATTTGTCGATGATACCATACCATTCTCAAAAAGATCAAAAGTAAAAGATGATCTACATTCATATATCAATAACACCGTTGGAACGGAGTAATTCAATAATGCAGACGAAAAAAAAAAAAAAAAAAAATAAGAAAGTCTGACTAATATTCTGTTTTCATTTATTTTGTTATGTTGCAAACCTTTATCACAAACTGATGAGAAGTATACAATTTCTCTTGATAAACTAACATATTAAATCAGTAGTGGTTGACTACTTAACATACACATCCATCACGCACGCCAGTTACAGACCTCAGAACACACAAACTACACAACATATATAACTTCTGGGTTTTCAAAACTCTACACGACCACAATTTCATATTTTGTTATTTGATAATCTTGACTGGAAGTATTTTGCTAAGTTTCCTGATAACGTCAAATATATGGACACTATTTACATACTAAATTTGAGTAAACAATTTTTAAAGTGCAGTGCAAATTTGATTACCAATATTTGCAATGCTCTCAATTTTACAAAAGCCATATACCAGTATACTGGTTTATATATCTAGTTTTTGTTCTCATGGTAATATATAATTTTTGTAATCTATTGAAGCAGTAGACCAATGACAATTTACAGACACACTGTTAAACCGTTCAACATTACAGATAACAAGCTTGGAACTGAAAAGTATTTTCGTTGGAGCACTGAATGATTTAGCGAGGACTTGGAGAACAATATATTATACAAACATACTAGTATATAACACACACACAATACAATGTGACACCGATCACTAATGTTACAAGTGAAAACAATTAAATATTCTGGAGTAGAAGTGACATTTTTTAATTTGTAACAAATTCATCACATATCTTCTGTTTGGATTATTGCTAACATATTTTTACAGCAATAAGTGTTAAACATCAATACTAACTATCATTTCACCCATCTTACATACATGCATTCACCCAGGGTGGTAAATAAATACAACCGCAGCACATTTCTTCTCTCCTACTTTCTGCCTATCTGTAATATACTATCACAGCCATATCTCTCACACACGTCCACATTTGTTAAGTAAAATCAAAGCTTTTACTTAAGTTTGCTTCACTCAATACAAATAGCCTTAATACGAAAACATTATCACTACAATTTTTTGAAGACGCCAAAATTGAACAGCTGTACAAAATAGTTTTAATTTGAACTGGCTGAAAATTGTGCATGTACAACTTTATAAGTGAAGAGAGAGAATATATGGAAAAATGATAGAAAAATGGACATAGCAATGATCTAGCACACAAATAGGATAAAGAAATGTGGATCATTTACATTCAGCATTGTCAAACATATCGACCAATCAGCATCTACATACGGAAATGATTCCTAATTGGCTAAAGCCGCCAAAAAGTAAAAGGTTAAAAGCAAAATTTAACATAGACATATTGGTCTTATCACTTGTGAAGGAAGTTCATAGTTTTAGCCATAAGTCTAATATTAAACATGACTACGACTTTGTACAAATACCTGCTAGAATTATTTACAGACAATTATCACAAGATCCCGCTACATCAGAATCCGTCGTCAGAAACAACAAAACAAATGGTTTGCTAAAGCTTTTCCAGGTTTTAATCCACATTAAAATGTAACAGGTTCTTGTGAGAGTAAGCTAAAAGTTAAACGGACTTTCTATACATTTAAACACAAAAAATATTTCATCCGGAATGTTCTGTCTATCCAAGTCTAAATTATTCTGAGGTTCTGTCAACTTTCTGATATCTGTCCCGTGTCGTTCATCGACACTAGACTGAAATTTTAAGTTGATAGGGTATCAGAGTAATTCGGATCAAGTCTATGCTACAGTATAATCTGTATATGCACTTTTCAGTGAATAGCATTAATATTTTATACAACATCTTTACCCTCTTGTCCTGGTGCTCCAACTATTTTCAGCTCTGGGAATCCCAGACAAGTTTGGATATAAATTAGGGACAATTTCCTCGTCTGTAGTAATGTTTCTTATGGAGATATTTATTTACCTTTAACAAACAGGTCAAAGAAAATTCTGGCTCCCAACCGTATCCTACGGTCCTTCGATATCAAAAATCATTAAAGGGCCACAACTCAAAATATAAAGAAATGTTAATACACAAAATTTGGCATTAGTCGAATCTTGTTGCAGTTATCTTTAAATGAAATCTCCATGTATCACTTTTCATCCGGATTAGTAATGCTTTATCCTAGAAGTTTGTAAATTATGAGCCATGCTGCAAAAGTTTATGATGGTCTAAAATACATGTTGTTCTTTATGCATCAGTTGCAACATGAAAACCACACAGATCAGAATTTCTGTTCTATATTTAGATCTTTCATCTCGAGTTATTCTCACACCTTTTCTACCATTGCAGTGCTGAACTACCCAATGTCTATTTATAGCAGTAATATCTGTTTGACATCACCAAACACATTTATCCAGTGTGAAAAAGAGTTTCTCTCATTTGTATCTCAAAATTAATACAACACAAAATATCAATATTGATATAAGATGACAGAATTCTTGTTACTTTGTGTAGCAGAACCTACAACGCGATCAAATGGATTATTTTTCATTAATAATCCCTGCGATTGGTCACAACTGCAGTGTACTGACCAAAATGTTTCACACATTCTCACTAAAGCCTTAAATATATCTTCACTCATTCTGAAATAAAACAATGATACATGTCAACCTTCATTCTAACACATCTTAATACATGTGTCACGTACAGATAAAGAGAGAATTTAATTTATAGCTTCAGCCTAAGCAGCTGAAAATACTCTAAAGTAAACAATGAAATTAACCACCAAACCAGAGATAATGTTTAGACTGGTTTTATCGACTGATGTTTTGACTGCCTCACCAAAAAATCACCACCCCAAACCCCATCACGCTAAACCATTCAACAATTGAGACAAGGTAGTCGCTGAAATTAAAACATTTACATTTATATTATGAAAAGCGATGACAAGGGGCAAAAGTATGGCAGATATATGTTATGTCTACAGCCTCAGCAACAAGTATTTTGGAAAAGAATCCAGCCGACTGAACAAATCATAAATTATAGGTAAATGTTTCTATTCTAACATACATCTATTGCACAATCACAAAGTAATATATATTGAAGAAAAGTGTACTGGGATTATTAATAGTTTTATAGTGAGTATCACATGCATATAAACTTTCAAAGAGAAAATGATCATCACACATAAGATATCATTGTCCATTAAGCATACAATTCATTTACCTAAAAATGACTGAAGTTCCACACACCATATCTTAAATCACATATGCAAACGAATCTTGCTAGCATGATTTCTAAGGTCAACCTCATTTCAGACATCAGTACATAAACTCTATCACTTGGGGCAAGATGGTCGAGATATTAGCAGATATAGGGATGCACTATTAATAATTCATTACATGAAAATTTGATATTAAATGAGCTTTCATATTTTTCTACAGATGATGCTAAATATCTAAATACCTGAAGGTCATTTTATATGTAAAACCTCTTTTCAATACCAACACCGAGAAACATATGACTCTTATAGAATTGCCAAGAAAATTCTAAAATCGTGCAACAAATCCATTTTAATTCAGACCCATCAAAGTTAAGATCATTAACATAATACAGCCAATAATTTTTTGATACAAATGGAAACAAGTTTAAATTTCTGATTATTTCCCGATTGCATAGCTGTAACACACTTGGCCTTCCACTAAACAGCTGTAACACACCTGCCCTTCCACTTAACAGCTGTAATACACCTGTCTTTCCACTAAATATCTGTAATACACCTGCTTTTCCACTAAACAGCTGTAACACACCTGCTTTTCCACTAAACAGCTGTAACACACCTGCCCTTCCACTAAACAGCTGTAATACACCTGTCTTTCCACTAAATGGCTGTAATATGCTTGGCCTTCCACTAAATAACTGTAATACACCTGCTTTTCCATTAAACAGCTGTAATACACCTGTCTTTCCATTAAACAGCTGTAATATGCTTGGCCTTCCACTAAACAGCTGTAGCACACTTGCCTTTCCACTAAATATCTGTAATACACCTGCCCTTCAACTAAACAGCTGTAATACACTTGCCGTTCAACTAAATATATGTAATAAACTTTGCCTTTCATTAAAAAGCTGTTATATGCTTTCCCTTTCATTTAATATACATAATGGTCAGTCTTTTTTACACAAAAAAAGCTGCAGAGATGCTACCATTTTCATTAAGATTTTATACTTCAGAGAGAAATCAATTTCGATGTTTTTAAAATAGTGTTAGACAAACATGGCTGTATCTATCATGTAGATACAGAAAGCCCCCTGGTTCAATCATCATAATTTAATTATGAATGGATAAGCCCTGGGCTGAACAAAAAAAAATTAAAAAAATTCAGCACTTTCCGGCAATTCTTCTTAACTGTAACATACATTGTAAGTCCCACATGTTCTGCATGGGCTTATTACTGAACAGCACTTTTTGAAATACAGCAATTGTCTTATGTGAAAATACAGGTACAATCAACCTATGATTAGAAACCTCCAGGCAGTGACTAGACAGGCCCTTTCACTGTAATTAGAGGACTGCATCACATGTCAAATCCTTAGCATGTCAGCTGTTCTGAACGAGACCAGAATTCATTTGTTAACCTAATTAATATACAAATTTATGGATTGCCCGATCAATGCAGTTAAATAGAATAGCGTTTTATGTGATTTGTTATTAAATATGTATTGGACAACATATTATTCAACAGCATATCTACAATCATATAATACATTTTGTACAAAGATTTGTGTTTATTCAACAAATAGTATTCACCACAGCACTAGATTTTCTATGTTATATCACAAAACAAGTACAGCTATTTGAATTCTTGAGAGCTATTTTTCAGAGGTCAAAATTTCAAAATTTCCAGAAACCAAATATTTTTTTGACAACGATTCCAGCAAAAAGACATAGACATTACTGTTAAAGTACACCTCTACCCTTCTTTACTGAAACGCTGTCAAAACTGTCAGATATGAAAATGCTGAATCAATTTAAACTTCATTTATCTGACAATTCTGCTGGCTTTTGTGTCTCAAAATATTGTAGCTATAGATAAGGATATATTGAAAAACCTGCAACATGATAGCAATGATATTCAACAGACATGTGCTTTTCTAAATCTGATGTCCAAGGCTGACAACACACAATAATCAATGACTAGGACCTCATGATACTCCATCCAGTGCTGAGAGCCACAAACCAGCAAACAACCAAACATTCAATAGAATTGTCTCCCCTCTTCAAACTAGGCACACATTCACCTAAAGAGATTGGGAGATATTCCAATTCATTCTCACATATTTAAAAAAAAAAAAAAAAAAAACAGAAAAGAAAAAAAAATTAATATGAAATTCTAACTTTTGGATTCTAATCCTCATTAACCTCACACATCCCTGCCTAATTTTTCAGTATGAGGATTGGAATTGTTCAAACCCTCAAACTTCTGCAAAATAGAACAAGCAGATTTTTTAAATACTGACAAAGTCAGTTCAATTTGACTTTTGAAAAAAAAAGAACCTTATGGATGACTTAATCATAAACAAAGCAATTGGCCAATTTCCTTTGAAGTAAGTGTCTTCTATACACACTGTACACAACGTACTTGAAAATGTAAACAAGTTTAAAATTTGAAATACTATTAATTTTTAATTTGTGGTTAAGGAGTTACTGAAAAGTTATAATTTGAAAGTTGGTGTAACCGTCCCCTGAAGAAACTGCTAAATCGTCTTCATCTTGTTCCTGTGGCAGGACTAACATTCATCAGGTCCTTAGAGGGATGAGTATGACAACTGACCATGGTCAGTAACTGGATTTAACTAGTCCAGGATGAAACAAGCCACAACACTATCTCAATGGCAACAGCCATGTAAGGTCCTATACACAATGAGATGATTGGGCGTGGTCAAGGGCGTTATTCTTGTGGGGCATCTGTTCCCTTGCCATCACTTGCCACAGTCTGAGTTGTAGGCGTAACACCCACAGGAACATTATTTGACTTGTGTTGTAGGTAACCCATTGCACCTTTCCGTCCTTTGTCAGCACGCCGGAATATTGTGATTTCCTGAAGCAAACATCCAGAATGAGTTTTCAACAGAATGATTCCGGTTAAAAAACAATCATTTTTATTCCATTCCTCTATTCAATCTTCATGTACTGAAAGTAGTTATGCATGTCAATGAAGAAATATTAAGGTAAGTTTCAAAAACCAGTATGTGTTACCTGTACTCTGTTACCCTGTATGTGTTACCTGTACTCTGTAACCCTGTATGTGTTACCTGTACTCTGTAACCCTGTATGCGTTACCTGTAATCTGTACCCCTGTATGTGTTATCTGTAATTTGTACCCATGTATGTGTTACCTGAACTCTGTAACCCTGTATGTGTTACCTGTAATCTGTACCCCTGTATGTGTTATCTGTAATTTGTACCCATGTATGTGTTACCTGTACATTGTACCCCTGTATGTGTTACCTGTATTCTGTAACCCTGTATGTGTTACCTGTACACTGTACCCCTGTATGTGTTACCTGTATTCTGTAACCCTGTATGTGTTACCTGTACTCTGTAACCCTGTATGTGTTACCTGTAATCTGTACCCCTGTATGTGTTATCTGTAATTTGTACCCATGTATGTGTTACCTGAACTCTGTAACCCTGTATGTGTTACCTGTAATCTGTACCCCTGTATGTGTTATCTGTAATTTGTACCCATGTATGTGTTACCTGTACTCTGTAACCCTGTATGTGTTACCTGTAATCTGTACCCCGGTATGTGTTATCTGTAATTTGTACCCATGTATGTGTTACCTGTACTCTGTAACCCTGTATGTGTTACCTGTACACTGTACCCCTGTATGTGTTACCTGTACATTGTACCCCTGTATGTGTTACCTGTACTCTGTAACCCTGTATGTGTTACTTGTACTCTGTAACACTGTATGTGTTACCTGTATTCTGTAACCCTGTATGTGTTACATGTACACTGTACCACTGTATGTGTTACCTGTACTCTGTAACACTGAATGTGTTACCTGTACTCTGTACCCTTGTATGTGTTACCTGTACTCTGTACCCATGTATGTGTTACCTGTACTCTGTAACCCTGTATGTGTTACCTGTACTCTGTAACACTGTATGTGTTACCTGTACTCTGTAACCCTGTATGTGTTACCTGTACACTGTACCACTGTATGTGTTACCTGTACTCTGTAACACTGTATGTGTTACCTGTACTCTGTACCCTTGTATGTGTTACCTGTACTCTGTACCCTTGTATGTGTTACCTGTACTCTGTACCCATGTATGTGTTACCTGTTCTCTGTTACCCTATATATGTTACCTGTACTCTGTACCCCTGTATGTGTTACCTGTACTCTGTACCCTTGTATGTGTTACCTGTACTCTGTACCCCTATATATGTTACCTGTACTCTGTACCCCTGTATGTGTTACCTGTACTCTGTACCACTGTATGTGTTACCTGTACTCTGTACCACTGTATGTGTTACCTGTACTCTGTACCACTGTATGTGTTGCCTGTAATCTGTTACCCTATATATGTTACCTGTAATCTGTTACCCTATATGTGTTACCTGTACTCTGTAACCCTATATATGTTACCTGTACTCTGTTACCTGTACTCTGTTACCCTATATATGTTACCTGTTCTCTGTTACCCTATATATGTTACCTGTAATCTCTAACCCTATATATGTTACCTGTACTCTGTTACCCTATATATGTTACCTGTACTCAGTAACCCTCTATGTGTTACCTGTACTGTTACCCTATATATGTTACCTGTCATCTGTTACCCTATATATGTTACCTGTAATCTGTAACCCTATATATGTCACCTGTACTGTTACCCTATATATGTTACCTGTTGTTTGAAGTATCGTCTCTCCTCCTCGTCCACCAGGACCAGGTTAAGATAGTATCGTACAGAAAACTTCTTGTTGATATCCCGCATAGTGGGTGTAGACTCATATCCACTCAGGAACAGTCGGATAGGTATTGATTCCCCTTCAAGACAGAAGGCATAAACCGAACTATAAAACTGTACATCACAGACATACAAATACACTCAATACCATCCCTTTTAGCTGAAACCATGCTGAGAAAGTGTGATAGCCATAAAATGGAAATTGATTCCACTTACACTTAACATTATGTTGGGGATTCAACAATGAAAATAAAATTTCAATAATATCATAATTATCATCAAATCATTTCTTACCATTACATAACATTTACATCTGCCTGCCATAACCTCATTACAAATGTAATAGACAGCTATTGCAGTTATGAGACTATAAATGAAATTGGATACGCTGTATCAGGAAATCACAATACTCTTGTCAGGTCTTCTGTGTTTCAGCTGTTCCCAATATGAAACTCCATTGGATAAAAAAGTGTTTTTTTTGTTCAATATAAACCTTCCAACTTATCATTATTGCCCAAAATGTTATTGGTAATACAAAAATATAGGATACATATATATTTCTGAATATGACAATACTCCATGTAATTGAAAAATGTCCTTCTTTTGAATTTTCCATGACAGCCTAGCGAGTTTCAAGGGATTTGCCAGTATAAAAGTCACTTGCAGTTATATAGATTTCAAATTTACCCCCCCCCCCCCCCCCCCCCATCCACTGTCTCCGGTTAGAACATTTTATTCGCTCACCTTTCACTGGAGCTCCATCCATGATTTCATACTTGGCTATAGTTTCATTTTCATTGTATGTGTTTGGCCCTGTAAGAAACAAGACAGCCATTTCAGTGGAATTTGAAGTTTATGAAAATTTACGTCAAACAATGATTTAACTAGGAACAACAGTTACCAAAGAAATATTTTGAAACAGCTGAATGTTTTAATGATTTTACGCTTTAAGATAAAATTTTGAAAAGTGAAACAGATTTATGTATCAAATAAAGACGACCCAATTAAAAATAACTATGGAAATTAACAAAATAAAGTTTTATTATTTATATTTTTTGATATATGTAAATAATTCACAACAAGCATTGGGAATGGAATGCAGACAATTCAGTAATACATATTTATGGTTATCAATAGACATGGAAACGTCAACAACACTTCACAACAACTACACATACAGTCACAAGGGTTGGGAGGAAGAGGGTACGTAAGAGATTGGGATAAAGAGTTCTAACACTATGATAAAAATACACTGGATACTCTACAATCTAATATTCCATACAGATTTTCACAAGTGATTAACTTATTAATACCCAAAATAATCAAACTTTGAATACAGAAAGTAAAACTAACACTTGTGCTCAGATATACCATGTCATGTTTGTTATCAGATGTCAATGTTGTCATGTTTTTATCAGATAATGTCAATGTTGCCATTTTTTGTTTATCAGATAATGTCAATGTTGCCATTTTTTGTTTATCAAATGACAATGTTGCCATTTTTTGTTTATCAGATAATGTCAATGTTGCCATTTTTTGTTTATCAAATGACAATGTTGCCATTTTTTGTTTATCAGATAATGTCAATGTTGCCATTTTTTGTTTATCAAATGACAATGTTGCCATTTTTTGTTTATCAGATGTCAATGTTGCCATGCTTTTTATCAGATAATGTCAATGTTGCCATGTTTTTTGATCAGATGTCAATGTTGCCATTTTTTGTTTATCAGATAATGTCAATGTTGCCATGTTTTTTAATCAGATGTCAATGTTGCCATTTTTTGTTTATCAGATAATGTAAATGTTGCCATTTTTTGTTTTTCAAATGTCAATGTTGCCATTTTTTGTTTATCAGATAATGTAAATGTTGCCATTTTTTGTTTTTCAAATGTCAATGTTGCCATTTTTTGTTTATCAGATGTCAATGTTGCCATGCTTTTTATCAGATAATGTCAATGTTGCCATGTTTTTTAATCAGATGTCAATTGTTGCCATTTTTTGTTTATCAGATAATGTCAATGTTGTCATGTTTTTTAATCAGATGTCAATGTTGCCATGGTTTTTATCAGATGTCAATGTTGTCATGTTTTTTTATCAGATAATGTCAATGTTGCCATTTTTTGTTTATCAGATGTCAATGTTGTCATGTTTTTTTATCAGATAATGTCAATGTTGCCATGTTTTTTAATCAGATGTCAATGTTGCCATTTTTTGTTTATCAGATAATGTCAATGTTGTCATGTTTTTTAATCAGATGTCAATGTTGCCATGGTTTTTATCAGATGTCATTGTTGTCATGTTTTTTTATCAGATAATGTCTATGTTGTCATGGTTTTTTTATCAGACACTGTCAAAGACTTCTCCCAGGAAACAGATTAGGATGTAGAATCTCTCCCATTTTTCTCTTCAAAATAAACCTAAGATATCAAATCACTTTGAAAGCAAGAATACTCCGCAAAAAATACATAAGCCCAGTTTAAATATTAATGCGAAGATTATTCTAAGCAGGATATTTCTACATCAGGAATGCATTTAATGGAATCTTCCTTACAAAGAACAATAACGTAGATCACATCGGTGTAAGGGTAAAAGCCATTGTTTTCCTTGGGGAGATATAATGTACATTTCATCAATTAATATTCTACAAATATTCATGGTGACCCCTCATAAGCACAAAACATGAGTCACAATCCAGAAACTAACTAATGGGGCAATTGTGTTGATTTTCATAATCATTTTTGAAATGCTACTCACTTACAGACAAATTGCTGTAGTTTCTAAACCTTTTTCATGTTGAAAAACAACTGTTTAACTATGATCAAGCACTTGATGTACTTTGAAAAAAAAAAAAAAAAATGCAATGAGTCTCATAAATATCTGAGATGCAGATAAAGAATCAGCTACTGGGATAATATTCAAATGAACAATTATTGTTTCAGACTTACACATAAAGCATTTTGTCGAAAGTGTTGTAGAAAAGACTTTTGGGAAATTATTCATAAAGAAATACAGCATACTGTGCTTACACTGGAGGATAAACTGTACTCCCTGGTATCTCAGAACTTCCTTTCATTATTTACTGAACAACATGACACATAGACTGAGGTTACAGCTGTGGAGGTATACAGATCACAAGGGAAGTAACTGTGTTTTGACAAAGGGAAGTAACTCTGTACCTGTGCCAGTGCTTTCACGCTTGATAATCTGTATTTCCATGTGCTTGATTTTTATTCGAACTAGCAAGAAGTATATCTTTCCAACTATTACATCTTTTAAATGATACCTGATCAGGAAAAAACACAAGAAATCAAAATGAAATCAAATTCAACATAGCAACAACACAATATGAAACACTGATAAAAAGAAAATCTGTGGGCATCATAAAACGCATGTCTGAAAATAATCATCATAATGAATAGCATGTAAATGGATTTATCCGACGTTGTCGCATCAGTTACCAGACATAATCCTGTACTGTAAATGTGATATTTTGAACCAAAAGTTATATCACATTTCTTTTTTAATGAAAATTAATTTAGACATTTAAAATAGAAGTGAACAAAGCATCTTGAAACATCTGTTTATTCTCTCCGTATATTTCTTTCAAATACTTTATATAATATCAAAATAAGTTCTTCATTTTTTGGCAGTAAGGATTGGCATAGTTTGAAGTCTCATAAATCCACATGTATACACATCTGTACAACAGTGAGATGGTAGCAGGCAGTTTACAACATACAGATAGGGGAGGCATACTACAACAGACAGACATTTTGAGTCTTCAGTGATAAATGATTGGAAAGGCTGTAACACTGTTATTTAACCAAGAACAGACAATGTTTTCTTAAGACTGAATGGTTTTCCCTTCTAAGATAAGGTTTAGTTTTGGACTGACTTTACTATTAATAAGATATGCGTAAAAGTCATCGAGTCATTCACTTCTCAAATTTCCCTATTAACAATAAAACGCAAATGTCTCAAAACATTGTACCCACCAATTACACTGTCCTAATACCTGTTACAGTCTTAATCACAATCATTTACCTGTAGTGAAGACTACATATTTGTAATAAGAGTTAGGGACCACTTGTTCAAAGGACAATTAATTAGCTTAATAAGATCTTGACACAAATATTCAAAACATAATTTTTACGAAATATTAAGTATTTTTATTCATTTATTTTCTTTCTGCAGTTCTCTTGAATATCATTTCAAATTACTTAATGGGAAGTATTTCAGTCTTGCGTTTAATTTTTCTTTGGATGAAATATTTTTGTTTGTTTTTCATTAAGCTGATCATACACTGGACCCTGGTGTAGTTAAACCTAGATATCCATAGATTAGTTTTTACCTGTAGATCATAACATCTAAAAACACATTACACCTGAACCAATGAAATAAAACATGTTTGCCAAAATTCAACCAAAAATTTTGAATTTGACTTCATATGTAATTAGATATTAATAACTTGTACTGTCAAATTAAGACTTCTTCATTTTTTTTTTTTTTTTTTGTGAAAAGCAACCAGATTCACATTTAAACATTACATAACAAAATTTCTAAAATTGAAAAAAAAAGTCAAAAACACAAAAATTCAAATTTTTGACAGAACAAGAAGAATTTTTTCCCCATATTCTTTACTTCAAATTCCATCTTCCTAACAACTTTTTTACCAAAAATGGATTGAAAATTAAAAATTCACCATTCAACTGAATGTGAAGTAATCTTAAAGTACTCTGTTAGTGAGGATTTTGATTTCTTCTGATACTTTTCTCTGAAGTGTCTGACAAAACAACATGCTAAATATAATATCCCTCGCACCCTTCCTCCGCCAAAAAAGATTTTTGTAGATTCTTCGTAAGATTGCAGGTATGCTCTCTTCTCTATACAGTTATTTTCACTTGTGTTATTTTACTAGTAACAAAGAACTGTACTATTGTGTCCTAGGAAAAAATTAGTTTGGCTGTATATGAATTAATATAGTAACTACACATGTTTGAATCTACATATAATAATCATCTGTCTTGTATGTCAGGAATATTGTGACTTTGTTATCCAAGCAGTGCCACAGCTGTCTGTCCTAAACCTACAACCAGTACCTGCTCCTGTTGTTTCTCTACGCACTATAGCCAGCTCCATGTAGCGGATTTTAATGCGAACCAAGAGAAAATAGATTTTTCCGACGATAACATCCTTCAAGTGGTACCTCCACAACGCAGCAAGAAAGATTGATTCATCAGTATATTTCACAAACAATTGAAATGAAACAAACATGTAAATAATATTATATTTACTTACAAACAAATTATAGGTGAAAAGGACTATACTGTATATGCAGTGCTCCAGATAACTTTTTGACATGTGGGGTTTTCACTCCTACCTTTATAAATTGAGGGGTTTTTTCACCCCTGCCTTCATCAAGTGTATGGGTTTTTTCCATATTAGGGTAACACTGAATTTGTAAACATTTTTGACAGCGCCATAATTTGCTATGCGACTGGTTTATAATCACGATCAAGAAAGCGCTTGTTACGAGTTTCGTTTACTCGATAAGTGTCTGTTTGACTTAGATTATTGAGTTTTCTAACTACGTAATATTGGATTTCGCACGGGTTAATGACGCAAATCTTATTTTTTTCCTAGCGTGAAATTAGAAATATTGTGCGTGAAAACGCATTCACGCAGGCTATCTGGAGCACTGATATGTCCTATGATAACCTCAATAAGCCACATTTCTCAAAAAGTGAGATTATTACAGGACAAAAGACGGAGTCTGTTTGCATTTCTACTGAACTGCAATGTATTAATACTGTGTGGTTCAATCACTTTTGCTCTATGCACTCTTTGAACATGTCATGACAAAATTGTAGGTTTGACGTGCCACACCTTCTGTACAGACCAGAGGCTAGTTCAATCCTTTGATGTACATCAAACAAATCTACAGGTATATTGTAATGGCTTTGAAGTTGGGTGTTACTCCTTTGTTATCTTCAAAAGAAGTGTAAAAGCCTGTGATTGGTCAGTTTTTCCTCCTGAAACCAATCAAATTACTTCGCTTGTGCCTTCAATTTTGCTATGACTTGTTCCAGAGGTGCACAGAACGAAAGTGGTAGTAACCTCTGGAGTATCCAAGATGGGATGGCTTTAATCACAGGTACAAGATTTTCACAAGATACATGGTATATAGGATACCATGTAATATCCAATAACATTTGAGGTCAAAGTTGACAGAATTTTCGTTTCAACCAATACAGTGATCAACCTCATATCAATGCTTATGTATACCAACACAGTAAACAGTTCCCTGTTTGCCTTTATTTTATTTTCTTACCTTTGTGCCAGCTCTCTATACATATCATTCAATCATGATTCGAGAAACTCATTCAAAATTAATTATTAGGATTCACATACAACAATTAATCTACCTCAGAGTCTTGGTACAAATGACAAATACATTTCTAAATTGTCTTATGAAAGTCTGGAATTTACCACGCTATAGAAAACGTCCCATTATTTGCTTGTTATTTCGTTAAAATGTAGACAAACCACTTTAAATACATAAAGAAACAATTTGAAAGATACCAATAATTTTCTATCAAGAAATAATTTGAGTTTCATAGAGAAACTAATCAATTGTATCAATTATTCTAAATAAAAAAGATGTTATTTCTTCAACATTTTGTTTCAGTGTTCCCTGAAGTTTATAGATATTACACAACTGAAAAGAATCCAATATAAATCAGACATGTTTAAACAAGCTTTCTTCCTAAAATCTCTCGACGTCTTTTCTGTTAAAATTCTGTTATTTTATTTATCAATTTATCATTAAATATCTACTTACTTAGATTTGTTGTATTCAAATTCTATGTGTAAACAGTCTTCGATTCCAACCTCCATCTTTATGCTGTTGTTCATCTCGGGATACTGTGATAATGTGTGCACTATGATGTCCTGTTCCTTAACTGTGTCGCTTAACCTCTTAACTATTGTTACTCGTAGAAAGTAGCTACAATATTCAAAACCAATCTATTACTTATGTACATGTACAGAGAACATGCATTATCCGACACAAATCTGTGTCACTGAAAGTCTTAACCATCACTTGCCTTTACGAAAGACCTGAAACATCCAAATCACTCTACATAACTAAAACCTTAATTTTCTAATATTTTAGGAAAACGATTTTCAGTTTGTGTTTCATTCAAACACCAAAGACATAAATTTCAATGACTTTTCAAGGCATTCAAGCCAAATTCCAAAACTTTTCAGGTCTGGTAGTGAATTTTCCAGACAAGGACTGAAATTCAAGGTTCTTTTAAAGAACACATTTATATCTATATGAACTTGCTTACATGAACGTCGCGATATATTTTACACTTATTATTATTAGATATCTCTGTAACAAAAGCTGAGTTTATATTTTCAATATTAAATAAAATCATTGATTAATGACATTGTAACCAAGATTGGAAGTCATGAAGTTCAATCACAAAATAATGACAAGTCTTACAGACCTTTATGCTTAAAACTTGATTCAGCTCTAATTCCTGATGACGAAAAAAAAATCTTACCGTAATCTTACATTAGCACCTGTGTAAGATTCATATGGTTTTTCTACTTGTAAAAATTCAAAAGGGTAAGTTGTGCTACTGGTCATATCACCCGGCCGTGCCAACTCCTTCACCAGGGATGTAAACTCATGGTGATTTCCTCGGTCGTAGTATAATTCTGGAAAAACACACAGACACTGAAGTCCTCATCACATGTGATGCAATGTATACCACAAATTTAAAACAAAGACATGTTATATATAGTTACCTTCATTTGATCTAAATTTAAATTTTGCATAATATAGAAATTAATATCTGCACTTTTCTTGACAGACTAGTTTGTAATGACTTTCAAGTGAAGACCCAAGATGTGCGGTTCATTGATATCAGCGTAGAACAGTTCTAGTTTTCTTTATCTGGGATTTGAAATCAGGCCTCTGTTTCTTGAATCTTTCTTAACTGAAGGAATTTTCCTTACTTCTTAACTGAAAATTGTCCATTAGAAAGCATTACATAGTTAAGGAAATTTCCGTGAATTCAAGTTTTTCCTGAACTTACGCTATGCTTTTCTGTGATTAAGATTTCCCTAAGTTAAGGAAGATTCTTAAAGCAGGAGCCAGAGATTGTCCTGTACAGGAGCCAGAGATTGTCCTGTACTGGAGCCAGAGATTGACCTGTACTGGAGCCAGAGATTGTCCTGTACTGGAGCCAGAGATTGTCCTGTACTGGAGCCAGAGATTGTCCTGTACAGGAGCCAGAGATTGTCCTGTACAGGAGCCAGAGATTGTCCTGTACTGGAGCCAGAGATTGTCCTGTACAGGAGCCAGAGATTGTCCTGTACTGGAGCCAGAGATTGTCCTGTACAGGAGCCAGAGATTGTCCTGTACTGGAGCCAGAGATTGTCCTGTACTGGAGCCAGAGATTGTCTTGTACAGGAGCCAGATATTGTCCTGTACAGGAGCCAGAGATTGACCTGTACTGGAGCCAGAGATTGTCCTGTACAGGAGCCAGAGATTGTCCTGTACTGGAGCCAGAGATTGTCCTGTACTGGAGCCAGAGATTGTCCTGTACAGGAGCCAGAGATTGTCCTGTACTGGAGCCAGAGATTGTCCTGTACAGGAGCCAGAGATTGTCCTGTACTGGAGCCAGAGATTGTCCTGTACAGGAGCCAGAGATTGTCCTGTACTGGAGCCAGAGATTGTCCTGTACTGGAGCCAGAGATTGTCCAGAGATTGTCCTGTACTGGAGCCAGAGATTGTCCTGTACAGGAGCCAGAGATTGTCCTGTACAGGAGCCAGAGATTGTCCAAAGATTGTCCTGTACTGGAGCCAGAGATTGACCTGTACTGGAGCCAGAGATTGTCCTGTACTGGAGCCAGAGATTGTCCAGAGATTGTCCTGTACTGGAGCCAGAGATTGACCTGTACTGGAGCAAGAGATTGTCCTGTACAGGAGCCAGAGATTGTATTCACCTTATTTGTTTAGGTAGCCTGCAAGAGGCCTCCTGCATGTTGGTCAGTGAGGAAACAAACATGTTTTACATGACCTGAATGAAAATGACCCAGACCAGACTGTTCTCTGGGCAGTTAACCAGGAAAGCTATCTTAAGTGATTAATACTAACCTATTTGACCAATAAACTCTATTTTGACACCCTGATGCTCCAACTTGCTTCCAGCTTTCTTCAAGGTAACATTAACCTGTGAAAATAATTGTAGAACAATCACAGAGAAGCCTGATGACAAAAATAATTCACACAACCATATTCAAAATTTTTTATTGCAGATTTTTAAAAACTCATGATGTTGACATCATTTCTTATATTTTCTTCATCTGCAACAAATCGTTAACGATGGAAGACATTTTCATGTAAATGTAGAGTTGCAAATTCAAGAGACTACCTAAATATGACTTCATAAATAGTCCTATCGCTTACCTTGCCAGACACTGTCTCACCATCATAGTACAAATAATGCCTCTCTTTTTTACCATCTTCTGTTTTGATTTCTGCAGTTTTTCTTGATTCTTGACCGTCAAGGACGATGTCAATGTCGGCACTTTGGCCAAATCCAAAGAAACTCTGAAATATAACAGAAATGTTTGAAATCCCTTACATCGCCAGAAACATGAACAAACAAGCTACACATTTCCATTCTAACTTGGATAACTTCTTGGTCACTTTAAAGAACATTGTTATCTGACGTCATGTATACATAACATTTAATATTGTTCAATTGGTAAGTCATTTCTCATTGAACATATTGTTCTATATCAACTTTTTTTAAACAAAGGAACAAAAAAAAAAAAAAAAAAAATAAAAGTTACCTATGCAAACAGACAAGGAAGGTTATTCATAATGGGGAGACAACTGTGTAAAGCAGTTTTTAAAATGCATGCACATGAAAACCAGACCATTTCTTTGTGCTGCAGTCCAAACAACCACCATGCTTTCAACTGTTATTCCTAACTATGTTTCCAATTGGATATTGCTCTAAGTCTCAATCACTTGTCCTTTCTTTTTTTCTTTTCGTGTATCATAACTTTGATAATCATAAAATAATCAAATAGCTTTGAGAAATTTGTGAAAAAGTACCATTCCAGCTTTTACACTTATTCTACCTACATATACTGAGAAATGGGAATTAATAAAAAACAAACAAACAAACCACATCAGAAAATTAATCAATGATATACATGTACCATACCATGATCATATTTTGAATTTGTCTCAGAAAAATTTACGAAAAAAAAATAAATTAAGAAGAAACATGAATTTAAAAATATGTTATTTACTTTAAATACAATGTATATCATAATATATGTGCATACTGTGGTGTATGTATTCAGAGTCATTGTTTGTTTTAAATACAAACATGTAAATATTTATTCACAATCACAAACTCACAAGTCAACTGTTTGTGATGGTAGAAATTGATATCAAGAAGCACGGACTGATATACTATAAACACTGCACCCAGGAACAAGTGTTACGTAATCGTTAGGAATATAGGACATGTTTATTGAGAGATTGTACAGCACACAAAATCAACCAGGAATCTGTGATACACACCATTGTCCAACATCAATCAGGATAATACACAAAGGACCAAAACCAGTAACAATTTAATATCAACATAAATAGCTGTCCCCTGACTGCAGAAAATCTATATAAATAACAGCACTTAAGTAGAAGCTAATGCACTAGTGAGCTTAAGGTGATTGACAGACGGACTAGTTGTCAAACAATATAGGAAACTGCACATGCCATACAAGTCGATGAAGAGTTTACATAGCCTTGAGAAACGAATTTAAACAGAAGTTAGGGAAGGTATACGTGTATATCTACAGTGTATATTTCCATATTTTCAAATCTATTTCATTGTCTGAAGAATTTATTTTTTTATTCAATTAAGACGATTTTTGCAAAAAATTAATTACATTTTTAACTTCAAACCGGGAACATGTAAATTTCAACAGTTAAATTCACATGGTAGAATAATTTAAACTTGATCACTACTTTCATTTAAGTTTTGTATGTAGAACTAACTTAATGGTATGGTATAGCTATTATAACATTATTTCCTTAAATTCAAGAATATAATTCAAAATTAATTGATTTCTGAATTCATTCATTTAATTTATTTTAAAACAAACACAAATTAAAATGGCTCATTTCCACTAGCTGTTTTCATTTTTTCACACAGATTGATAGCCACAATGAATAACAGAGAATCAGTTATGTTTGATACTGGAAGCATCTGATAAGCTCTAAAATAATGGCAAAAGGTCATCACCAATATAGGTACCAGGTACTTCACAAGAACTTATTTGGACAACGGATCAAGATCGAGCAACATGAGATACAAGTTCTATTCACCGTCGTCTTAGTTTCAGTTCAAATTTACTTTGATCATTTACATTGGCCGAAAAAAGCCTGAAAATGTTTAATTCTGTGCTTTTTATGTGCTTTAATCTTCAATTACCTTTAGTCACTAAATATTATAAGCCTGTTTTGTACTGCAGTCAGCCCGAGGATGTAGAGCACTGGTTTTATTATAGGAAATATATAACAGATGAACAAACAATTTGTTTACACTTACAATCATGGCTTCAGTTCTGTAAGAAATACATAAACATGGAGACTGAAAAATATTTTGAACTGCAGACAGATAGAAAATATATTACAAACATGACAGGACCTCATTAGATTTACAAATCTGAGGGTCTTTATATGTGAAACAAGAGGCTACCTAAATAACACGTCATAACAACCAGTTCCACATGGAACCTGACTACCCAGGACACTTCATCTTCCCTTCTGTGATAGTTTAAAAGAAATTTTGTCAGAATCTGTTGACCTGTAATCAGCCATTTTTATGAGCTGAAAATTCTGAAATTTAGCACATCAGTTACACAGTATATCTGCTGTCTACTGAATCCTACAGCTGGTGAACATGTCTGAAGTGTTTTTTCAACAATTAAAAACCTTTCTGTACTTCTACATATGATTGTTTACACACCTAAGTTGTATACATGTATGTAGTAAACAGCAGATCTCTATTTGTTACAACATGATTTGATTGGTAGAATGTTAACTTTCCAACTGGAATATTTTTACAGTTTTAAAACTAGATCTCAGCTGAAAATCTAGAATATGCAAAAAAAGCCAGCAAGAAGATCACATATTCAATTTGTGGTATGCGGATATACCAGTTTCAATTATCTCTTTCAAGACTTTCTGGAAAACTGAACCTGAACATTCAAAATCATTCATATTATATTTCAATGTATGTTGAATTGTATCTTAATAAATCTTCATCCAGGAATGTTTAAACTCTATTACTTGTGTTGGATTGATGTTTCTTACAAATGACTCGTTACATACTTTAAAAAAGCACTATATCTATGTATGTCTTCAATGAAATGGCCTGAAATGCATGCATAATTTTGTGAACAGATTTTTTCAACTCGCTAGTCGGAGATGTGTACAGTAGTGAGTACTGTATCTGCGAATGTACAGTACATAATCTTAACTGTGGAGTAAATCTGTATCTAGCAAACTACCAGCGTTTGAGAGCCTGGTTCCAAGACGCCATTACAATAATACCGATATAGCTTTTCACATTGATGACAGACCTCCTCACCATAGTGTGAATTTGCAGAAGGGGAAGTGTAACCAAATTTGATTTTCCATTGAAAACGCAAAAGATTTTGGTTGTAACATGCATTCACTGCATTACATATCACGACAGCGTTTGCTAATAACAGACGACAAACGTCATTCCGTTCGCTTTGGAGAACTGTCATACAGTCACATGATGCTGCAGCAACACGGTTAACATACCTCCCACTACAACAAGAATTTACATCAAACTACATCAGTATTACAATATAATTTGTGACTTTGGAGGCACGTTTACGCATGTCGTGTTTATAAGTGAAAGCAACGCGATAATCAGATCACTATTGCAGGTGAAACGCGTTTATTTACCATCTCTGGGTCCCTCCTCCTTTCGGCTAGTACATCAAATATGGCGTCCAGATCTCGCGGAAGTGACATTTCCATAAATTAAACTCAAAGTATTGTTAATGTTATTTATGTGAAAATAATATTTCATTTGTTGTTAAATATTAAGAAAAAGGCGAAAATTTATTAAAATGTTTCCTTTTGTATTTTGATATATTTTTTCATCATAATTTTTTTTCAGGTGCGTTCGATTAAGAAGTTACTTTTTAACCTTGTCTGTTCGATGACCTCCACTTATTTGGCTAGAACGATTAAGATAGGTCAATTAACGTTTTCCTAACGCATTATACGTAGTTATTTTCATTTCATTATGGATACGAGAAACCTCCCGACTAAATAGTCTTCGTTTATTTTATGTTGCTGGCAAGGTTTGATTTATTTAAGACTGCTTTGTATAATACAAAAGTATAACAAACTGGACTGTAGTGAAGAAATTTGAATCCATTTTTCACCAAAAATACATAACTAATTTTTTTCGAAATAAACAGTAGAAGAAGGCTTAATCATTTTCAAATTTGATTGTTCCAACACTTTGATGACTGATAGCTCCTGTTAACTATTTATATCTGTAAAAAAAATTGCTTATGTTAAAGCTATTTTCAACTAAAATACCACCCAGTGTTGTATATCACATTCCGTCCAAACATCATTAAAGCAGAGATGTATGTGATATATACGTCTCTGATTAAAGAGATAGAAATTTTAAAAAATGAGTAATTTTCCAATTGACGCATATAACTTTTGTGATATGTCACTTTAATTTATTAGTATTATTTTTGTTAAGAAAACGAGATTCACTTCTCACTAGCCGACAGAATGGCTTTGTAAGGCTGGTAAGTGCTAAGTCCACACAAACTACCTCACAGAGGCACAGGTATATAAGAATATTTTTCTGATAAGAAAAACAAGATGGCCGCCATGGCCACCATCTTGAAAGAAACTCGTGCTCAGTTAGTCTGAAGAGTTGTGACTATTTATCCGCATAATGACCGCGACATAGACAAGACAGATAGTGAAAAATTGCGGATAAATATTCTTAGTCAGAGGCCCTTTCGATTAGCTTGGTTGGGAATTGAAAATAAAAACAAGAAGAATGGAGAATGAAAGAAGTGTTGTTATTTTTTTGTCTGGTAAAAAATAAACAACATGGCATAAATGGGAGTCATTTTACAACATGATTGCATAATCAACTTATTTTCAAGATAACAGCTGTATCAATATGATTTCTTCTTAAGCATTTTATGTCATGGCGGGGAGTCCGTTGTCAGTCTGCCGTCAACTTTTCTCCTGAAACAGCTTCCTCCCTATAAGAAAATTACCCATGACACTGATAACGGGCCAGTACCATACTTCGATATAGGGCTATCAAGTTTATTCAAATTAAAGACCTTGATCCACATCCAAGGTTACACGGGTCAGATGTGTGGTAAAATCTTCAAACAACTGTATGAAGGGCATGGCCACCAGGTTTGTTCAAATATTTGACCTTGTCCCACTTTCAAGGTCACACGGGTCAAACGTTTTAAAATTCTAAACTACTTCTTCTCAATAACCAAAAGGTCCTTGGTTCTAATATTGCATCTGTAGCATATTTGAAGGACCTGGCAACCAGGTTTGTTTAAATATGTAACCTTGACCCGCTTTTAAGGTCACAGGGGTCAGAAATGCTAAACATGTCTTCTTATCAAGAGTCAAGATAGTCAAGATTCAAGAAGTTTTATTTAAAGTCACATATTACAAACAGGACAAACATTAGCACTGTAGTGCTATTCTTGCGACAAACATAGGTATAAGATTAACAATATCACAGTGCAGTTATATAAATACTATGTACATAACAAGATCAATATCAACATATCACAGTTAGTTTAGACCTAGATATAATGATTAAAGATACAGTTTAAAAATGGATTCTTGTATCTCACACAAGGATTGCTAAATGTTGTATATCAACATTATTGTGCACTGTACTTGAGTTACCTCCCCCTGAAATTGGACTGAACTTGTATACTCAATGGTGACACCAAGCAGTTTTTGTAATTGTTTTAATTAAATGTTGACTAATATGTAATATTAATCCTATTACAACGCGTATGTATTTGTCAGTTGAACCATGCACATATTAAACTATGTTTTGTAACTATTACACACTTAAAAATACCTTAAAACAATTTCACAAAGCCGGGAATAGGCCTAACAGCAAGCAGTCGTGATGCGTGGTGGAAAACCCTGATCTCAGTTACATGGAACTTGACCAATCATCTATAACAACCAGCAACACGTCATCAAATAGTACATGATTTTATCCAATAGAATTGATTCTATTTTGAAATTGGTTTCACCCGTAAATTAGGAGTTTCCTTAGGTAGTTTTCTAAACGGTGTAAACCGAATTAAGCGCCAACCAAATTAGACCGGCTTGAAAAAAGTGAACACGCATTTCTTTCATTTCATTGCATTTCATACTGATAAAACAAATATCTTTCTGGCATTTCAACAAATAAAATAAATAAAATGAAAATAATGAATAATAAAAAAAACATACATATAACAAAGGAAAATACAAAAAGTAAAAAATACAGACATTTGTAAGTTAGATATAAGTAAATTGAGAACTTTTTCAAGCTTTTTTTCATTTTTGTGCAAATAATCTATTCAATACATCTAGATTTCAAACATTCTTTTCAAAATACCTTAAGCTTTCAGCGTTATATTGCTTGATGAAAGCAAAAGCAAAAATGTGTTTCACCTTTTTATAATTTCATGTAACGAGAGAAAAGGTGTCTTTTCTAAATAAATGATCACAATATTATGAACTATAAATGTGTATACTGGTAAATAATCATCTATTGGATATATAATGCTTTTTGGCACTTAACAAGAAAATAATAAAGAAAAGAAATTTGAATCACAAAACATGTAATGAAATACAATTTTCAATGGATATATCAATTACACATATACACCAACACTATTTAAATGTGCATTATACAATTAATGCAATTCAAATTGGATTATTCAATCAATATCTAGAAAGCAATACCATTTTGAATGGATATCTATATCTTATGTAAAATACCATTATGAATGGAGATGCACCATGCAAATTACCTGCCCAGAACCAGGTTCACAATGCAATAAAAAATTTGATCTTCTGACACAAACGTTTTGTATAAATTCAATATTAGTTTGGCATGACAGGTTTTGGAGTTATGGTCAGTGGCCATACATTTCCAACACATTCTTCTCTCCTTTACTCTCTTTTTATGTGAGAGAATTGTGAGTCTGTTTTGCTTTTCTAACACTTGTTCAAGCACACATGTACCTTTGTGAGAAGTGCCTCTAAAAAACTGCTTTGTTACAATGTCGTTGAGTTTTTCTAAGCCCTGCTGGCTGTATCGGACAATAGCACCATATTTTCTGGTGAGTTCACCTACATGATACCTAAGCATATCAATGTACGGGGTGACATCTATGGCTTGATAACAACTTATGTACAAGTCACACCACAACTTTGCTTTGTATTCTATGTCATCAGCATCTGGGGTGTCAGATTTAATACACAATGCTCAGCTCTCTAAACCCATCCCACAACTTCTGAATCTAAACAGCTTTATTTCGGCCATCAAAAATCTCGGCTGAATCAAAACGGTCAAGCAGATAAATTTCTCTGGACCAGTGAGCTCATGATACTCAAATCTTTAACTATCAACGTTTACACCAAGTTCAAAATGTATTCCCAACATTTGCAACACATTTTTGAGCTTCAAGACATTCTTTAACTTATCTTGCACTGTAAAGGTAAAAGTTAAATTTTCTGTTATGTTTTCCATGCACCTAAGATCAGCGAAGATTAAATAATTTGCCAGCAATGCGTAAAAACATGTGAAGGTGATAAATCTGTGTTTGACACAGAGAAACAATTATTGCCATTTTTTCTCCTTTTTCCCTTGGACATATTTTGCCTTTGTACCTCATTGTACTTGTATTCAAGCCTAGCCCCATGAGTAGTCCCAGCCCCATGTGTAGTATCATCCATAGACCAATGTTTTGACAGATCTAATTTCTCAGTTTTGCTACATATGTAGTAAAGGCAAAAGTCTTGTCAAGCAATTGAATGTATTCCAAAAACTATCGAAAGAAATTTGTAATCACCCCAAAACATTATTTCAACTTTGAAATTTCTTTCATCGACTGTCAGTGTAGTTCCCTGTAACTGGTCTACTTCTTTTCTGAGGTCATCTAGACCAATTTCAAGGTCTTGATATTTCTCTTTTGTTCTACTAATAGCTAATGGGTAGTTACCCTGCGCAGAAGCACTCTTGTTCTCATTGATAATGGTAAAAGTCACATTTTCAACATGAACTCTCTTTCCCACATTAGTGCCATCCCCAGAAATTTTAATTCTGATGTCTCCATCTGGTGCAAAGTTTTTGTTCATAAAATATTGGACAACACATTTACCAAGTGTTTTTTCAGAGATTGTTGAACACCAAGGCCATGTGGAGTAATTTCAATATTGAACTTAGAATTTAATTCAGCCACAATCTTACTAATAGCATAACTTCTTGGAAGTGCTTTAAATAACATACTCAATTCATGGTATGCTTCATTACTAATACTGAAAGTATCCAAGATGTATATAAGGGTATTTTTGTCATCAACATTTTGATTCAAGTCTGAATTTTCTTTAAGACTTATAATCAAAAAGCTTCAAAACCTTGTCTTCATTATTTCTCGTAACTGCAACTGAAATAGGAGTAACCCCATTTTCTGTCAGAAAACTTAATGCTGTTCTACACTTATCTGTGTCTCATTTCCTAAGTTTTGATTGATACCCAGGTGTACATTCTGTGAATGGTTTGCGCTTCAGTGTTTTTTTTTTTTTTCATTTCTTGAGTTTCTGTTGCTAAACTAAACTTACATAACTTTTTTCATTGTTTTCTTTTTCCTTTTCTTCTAACTGCCTCTGACTGA